GCGTCCCGGACGACGTGAAATTGAACTGGGAAACGTTGCGGATGGCCATCAACGATCACATCAAATCGGTGAATTGGCTGGTGCGCGTCGATTTGAAGGACAAAGGTATCGAGTACGTGAACGGTTTGGGCGCGTTCGCCGACGCCAATACGATCAAAGCCGACGCTAAGGGTACCGAAAGGATTTTAGTTGGTAAATATATTTTAATAGCGGTGGGCGGAAGGCCGCGCTACCCTCGCATACCGGGCGCCGTCGAGTACGGCATCACCAGCGACGATATATTTAGTTTAAAAACGCCGCCCGGCAAAACTCTAATAGTCGGCGCCGGTTACATAGCCATGGAGACGGCCGGTTTCCTGAACGGTTTGGGCTTCAAAGCCACGGTGATGGTGCGATCGAAACCGCTCAAAGAATTCGACCAAGACATGGTCAGGCAAATCAAGGAGGATTTGCAGGATCGCGGCGTCGAATTCCTCAACAAATGTCTACCGACCAAAGTCGAGAAAATCGACGATAACAATCTGAAAGTGTTTTGGGAGAACGACAAGAAGGACACGTTCAACGACACCTTCAACACGGTGCTGTTCGCCATCGGTCGCGTAGCCGCCACGGCCGATCTGCAATTGGACAAGGCCGGCGTGAAGCTGGCGCAGGACGGCGACCAAATCGACGCCGTCAACGAGCAGACGAACGTGAGCAACATCTACGCCGTGGGCGACGTGTTGTACGGCAAACCGCAGCTGACGCCGGTCGCCATTTTGGCCGGCAGGTACGTGGCCCGGCGGTTGTTCGCCCATTCGAAGCAAGTGATGGACTACACGACGGTGCCCACCACCATATTCACGCCGTTGGAGTACGGTTGCGTGGGCCTGAGCGAGGAGCGGGCCGTGAGGCAGTTCGGTCCCGAACAGATCGAGATCTACCACGGTTTCTACAAGCCGACGGAGTTCTTCGTGCCGCAGCGCAGCTACAAGAACTGCTATTTGAAGTTGATAACGCGCCGCGAGGGCGACCAGTACATCGTGGGCATGCACTTCGTCGGGCCGAACGCCGGCGAGGTTATACAGGGCTACGCGGCGGCGTTGAGGCTGTGCATGTCCTACAAGGACCTGGTGGATACGGTGGGTATACATCCCACCATCGCCGAGGAGTTTATCCGGTTGACTATTACGAAACGTTCGGGGAAAGATCCCAATCCTACCGCTTGTTGCAATTGATTTTTATCTTCGAGTGCGATTTAGTTTGTAACAAAATTGCGATGGATAATTTAGAGATGTAAAAATAAGAGGAAATGTACAACTTGTTGTTTATTAGGAATTAAAGTTTGTGAAGTACAGGGTGTTGAACTGAATTTTAATTAAAAAATTACAACAAACGGGAGATAAAATCGTTGAATACATTCCGCCTTGTTTGGTACGTGTGCGGATTATCGTTCAATTAAAAAAAAAATCGGAGGCATTAAACCGATAACCGGCGTTAATTAGTGATAAAACAACAATCGCCCATCGACGAGAAAGCAATTGCTATTCTCTTCGACGGTTGAAAACTCGAAGAGCAGGCGAGTCCTTGGAGAGCCCGTCATGCACTCTTAAAGATGAAAATAATAAAAGTCTATAATAAACGCGATACGTTAACCTCGATATTCAAATGAAACTAATCGGAATTGTATGCCGGAGAGGTCTTCGTTTTAATTCATTTCCGTCAGGGAATATTAACAATAACAATATCGAAACTATTGTTTGAGTTTATTTATTTGGAGCCTAATAACCTCCAGACTTTTATTTGCTGGGGATTTTTTTTGCAGACGTATTTGTCAATAACTAAGGTGTGAATTTATATATTTTTTTGAATTCCGATCGCTTACCTAACGAAACGAATTATGCGCTAGAAGTTGGAAGACCTTGACTCGAGGATTCGGTGTGTACGCTCGAGTACTTTCGACAACATTAATGGCGTTAATGATATTTCTTTAAAAATAACCTTATACCGTCTACAAAAATAAATAATCGGTTGTAGTGATGATGAAATCGATAATTCACTGAAGTTTGTACCGGCAATTTCACCTAAAAGAAGCCTTTTAAAACTTCAATACTTTGTACATATTTAGTATCAATTCTATCATCTGGTTCACGTTAAAAAAATCTAATAAATTCATACATGATCTAGATAGGATATTGACATCAGTCGCTGCAACTCGCCCTTAAGCAATTTCACGCGATTAACGATACATTTATGTACAAACTAATGACTAAATATGGGAGTTTATTAACATTAATAAAAAAAAGTGTAATTTATGTGGTATTAAACATCTGGTCGCAGTCGATTTCTCGTTACATCACCGCTATAGTACCGAGAATTTCGCCGCCGAAAACGGCTGGCAAAATTATTTATTTGCGGCGATTCGACCCGGATTACGAACCTGGCTGAGTAACAACCGAAAAAACGATCGCAGAGAATCATACACGTAAGTAGCTGTATGACCGATTAATGGAAGCGTCAAATTTCGTGCTCTATTGTATCCCAAAAATAAATTCCTCGGGACAACCCCAAGGGTGCCAAAGTTATTTGTCGGTCGCACGAAAGTCAACCCTTTTTTTTATTCTCTTCTGCTTCTAATTATCTATTAATAGGAGGCTCTTGTGGCACGGCGCGTCCGCCTAAGAAGCCCCAGGAATAATCTAAAAATAAACCCTCGGAAGTACGTTCGGGCGGTAAATGACACACTAGACTAGAGGTCCGATAGGAAATCCGAGCCGCCGGCGATCCGTCGAGCAAAAGAACCCTTTTAATTCGTATTTGAACAAGGGCGAATTCTCCCCCGTTAATAAAAGCATTTTTAAAGTGCATGCATATCGGAGGTTTTAATTTTTTTTTCCGCTCGGTTCATCAGTTCCCGCTTGCCAAACGCACTGTTTCAACGCCGCGGTTGTATTACGATTTATTATTCATTTGCGCTATATATCCGAGAAGGGTTCGTGCAATTAATACGGTAATTTTTCATTAATTGCCGCTTGTATTATAATAGCAATTATTCGTTGCATTATGTGAACAACCTGTTATTTTTAGATATTAGTTGGAAAGTAGGATTCACGCACCGGCAAGATCGATCCGCGGCGATAAGTCATCTCGAAATGAGGTTCTTCCTTTCTTCGCTTCTTCTCCACTGTTTTTACATACAATATAATATCACTTTCCCTATTAACTACCACGAAAATTAGGAAGTTGGCTGTAAATGTCAAAAATTATGTTGGTAACACCAGCTGTCACTCAAGCAACCGAACAACCGTAAAAGACGAGGCCTCGATCCGAAGAAGAATATCTCCGGTAAATCCTGCCTTTGTGGTTAGGTAGGTAATTATTTTTTAATCGAAAAATTCGTCGAGCCATTTCACAGATCGTTAAGCAATTAACAAACAATATTAATTAGGCCGGTATCGATAACGGTAATTTCGCAATTGATGAAAATCGATTCGACTTAATTGGCTAAATTGGCGATGTGAGGAAATTAATGTGTTTGTTTAAAAAAAATTAAGTATCCGATATTTTCGTCGAGAAATATTAATTTTAGTTCGGCCTGCACGCTTTCTGAATTTCGGTGAAATTCCACATGCGGAATGTTTATTTAATTGTGGGTGAAACTAGGCAATATTTACCTGATGATATTATAGAAATTGGTCTATTGAAAGTATTGTAATTAATAAGACTTTTCACTAAATTTTAGTATCACTCTGTTAATTATTTGGTTTTAAATGGCCAAGGGAAGGCCAAAGAAGCAGGAAAATTCGAGTAATTCGTGCCATTCGAGGCTGGGGGATTTAAAAGTGTCAATAAATAAACGTCGAGTTAACGAGTCGTCGGTCAGAAAGCGCCGTTTTCACGTGGGATTCGCTCGTAAATCAACCAAACGAAACTTACGGGGCCTTAATTAAACTCTCGCCATGTAATTGCGGAGGATTAGCCCACGAGCTAATCAACTCTTCGAATCGTGATCGTACGAACAATAATATTCTATACCTTTTTGAGCAGTTTACTCGAAAAAAAAAACTCCCATTATAACATGCACTTATAATGCAATCATCTCGCGTTTGTGCCCTTTTAGTTTCGCTGGTATGGAAACGGACTTTTTCACTACATTGTCCCCGATCGGTAGTTTCTTTTTTCTCGCCGTTTAATTTATTAAATGCAACTAGAGCATTACGGGCAAATTTCTACCGATCGCGTCGCCATAACGGCACAGTTACCCCGATTTTTTTTATGAATAACCGACGACGACTTGTTATTTTTACTTTCATAACAGTTATTTTGTAACGAGAAATCGATTCCCAACTCTATTAAATTCGACGTTAATTCCTGTCACTGTTGACTTGACAGTTTGTAAGAATTTCTCGTACTGTGATCTAGTTACCTCACGTTTTTGTAGATTTGGGTTCGAAGATGGGAATTATGGTATTGGGTAATTCGTCAAAACAAAGGCACAGAGTGCATCATCGGTGCAATTTAAATGCATCCGCCGATTGCAACGAAATGTCTTCCGTTCGGAAGACTTACACAATCGGAAACCCTAGCCCGATCAGGATGAGGATGTAATATATCGAATTAAAAACTCCAAACTTTTATATTTATAGTTAAAAACTTGAATCAAACGGAACACCGGGATTTTAGTGGCAAAAAATGCATTGACAGGATATCTATTTAGAGCAAATTTGTGACTCGACTCGTGGGATTCCCCTGCTTGAGCAATCCGAATTATAATTTACTCGCTAGGCCAATTATTATCAAGTATGTGTCGAACAAAATGCGCCTATACAGCTTCTGTTATTAAAATACCATCAAGACGAAAACCACGTAAGGCCGTTGAACTTATTACAAACGAAAACGCATAATAGAGTTGCTTCTTTTTTTGGCGAAGCGCCCGCGTAATTTCCTGTTTAACGCGTGACGAAATTTCTATATGCGTTTATTACTAATTTACCACGCATTTCCCCCGCGTACGCCACTGGGTTCAATCGGGGGAGTAACCAGGTTTTTATTAGAAACGACGGTGCAATTACATTCATATGTAAATAAGTGTCGCGTCATTAAAACACCCTCCGCATATATTTATTCTTTTATTATCAACTCCTATTCCATTTCACTTAACATTAGAAGGAAAAAAAACGCAACTACTCGTGTATTTCCTCGGTGACGTCGGTGATGTACTTGGCCAAGGGATTGTACATTTCGACGAACTTCAAATCGTTGAGGTACTCCTCCGTCTGCCAGGTGGAGTATATGGGCAGGGAACTCTCGTGGTGCTTCTCGATCTTCTCGTTGGGCTTCTCGATCGACGACGGCAGGATGGTCTTCATCCAGTCGATGAACGGCCCGTCGCCGATGTCGATGAAATACTCCAAATCCGACTCGGTGGTCCTTTCGCCTTTGTACACGTGCACCAATTCAATGGCCACGATTTGCGGATTGCCTTTCAACAAAACCGTGTGGAGAAACGATCGTCGCGAGCCGATCGAGCTGGTTACCTGAGCGTATGTTCACCAGCACCTTCCCGCTGACCGGTCCGATTTTCAACAAAGGCCTGTTGGATATGTTGGCTTGGTTGCAGCACACTGGCGAAGCGGCGGTCGCGTTGTGGCAAGGCGTGCTCTTGCAATTGGTCAACTTCTCCGGCAACCATTCGCGCAATGTGAACGGCCTCTTCTTCTCCACCTGCTCGGTCTGGTCCTAACCCAAGCAAAACGGTCATCCGGATCGCGCGGTATTCTATCGAGCTCTAATACCTGATCGCCGCCCCAGCCGAGCGTCACGAACTTCCCTTCGAGCGTGCTCGGCCGCAGCACCGAGTCCGCCGCCACGATCACCGGCTTGATGGTGTTGTCGTTGAAGTTCGGCACCACCTCCAGGATGAACACGTTCCTGAACGGGCGCTTCAGCTTCGGATTGTCGAAGATGCGCTCGACGGTGTGGATCTGCCCGCCGCCGTAGAAGTACGCGCTGCTCGACCGCACGATCGCGTCCTTCAGGTCCTTCATGTCGAAGTACTCCTTCAGGCAGGCGTCGCCCGTCATCACTGCGAAACCCGAAGGATCGCTAAAGATGAACCGTAAGTGTAAGGGTGCGTTACCTTTATCGGGGGACATGATGGTGCCGGTGCAGAAGAACTCGAGGCTGCCGGGCTGGTCCTTGTACCTGTACATGCTGACCGACGCCAGCCAGTTGTACTCGTCGAAGGAGCTGTCGGTGGGCGGCTCGATGGGCTCGGCCCGGTTGATCAACGACGACGTGGGGTAGCGCCTGATGTTCGCCGCCTCCTCCTCCTCCGGCTCCGGCTCCTCCTGGATCTTCGGCGGCAGGAAGTAGCCGAAGAGGAAGGCCGTCGTGCCGCCGATGAGGATCAGCATCGTGGTGAGCAACACGAAGCCGCAGTCCTTCTTCTGCGAGTTACTATTATTACCGTAGCAATTCGCGTTCATTTTGACGGGGGTTGCTTGTCGTTTGACGCGCGAACGTTCGAAGCTGTTGTGGACGCGGCGTTGCCATCGTTGTTTTTTTTTTTCGAGGATTTGGGGATATTTTGTTTGGGAATTGGCGAAAGATCGTTGACACCTTTCGTCGATATTTCGCATTAATTGGTTCATATCGAGTCGGGCACTCCTTTAACGGGCAAGCCGAGACGCTAAAATGCGCCGCATCCGTTGCCATATGTGCACTTTGCACGCAATCGAACGGTACAAATGATGCAATTCGATTGGGAAATCGTCGCGATTCGCGAATGGCGCAACGGTTTAATTGGAGCGTGACGAAAATTCCAAAATTTCCTGCGAAATTTCTTGAATGTCGCCCGATCGGCTTATCTGGTTGTAATCCGACTTTATATGGGAAAAACGTATATGAATCAAACGGTCCCCATAAATAAATTACCTAGTAGGGGAGTGAATCACCCCAATCGAGCCGAGTAATGTTCGAATCCAATGACAATACACCCTTGGAAATGCAAACATTACATTATTATTTCCTTGCACTTGCCCTTGGGATTACCCGGATCGGTTTATACTAGTTCGGGTACAAAACGCATTTTGCTGTTAGATACGGAGTAACGAATGAATTTGGTGCACTTTCAATGCCCGTTTCATCGTCCATTTTATCATGGAGTTAATGAACAACGATAGATCGTGCGTTGTATAGTCGATTGAAGCGAAATCGCGAAATCGTCGGCCGGCGACTCGAGACCGCGGAGGATCCTCGAGGGGGCGAGTGGCCGGCGCGTGGCCGGCGCCCCGGTGACTCACCGGCGTCGCAGAACCCACGGATTTCTCTACACGCCGGCCGGGCGAAGTTGAACGAACAGCCGGCGAGCCGACTCCGCTGCCGCGTTGGACGGAACGGAATAGAACTTGGTCGAGGATCGAGGATTCGAACGCGCGACGTTCTCGCTGGTTTTGTTATTTTTCGCCGGTCGATTTGTGTGTGTGTGTTTTTTTTTTGTACGGCGAGTTCGTCGGTGCCGGTTGTTCGAAGGGGATTTTTCGTTAGTATTTTATTATTATTTTTTTTAACCAGCGGTTTTTCGCGGTTGTGGTGGATGTTGTTTCGGTGGGTTTAGTGGACTTTGCGGTGCAACGTGGGGGAGGTTTTTACTTCGTTTGATTCTATTTTAAAGGTAACAAATTTCGATAAAAATATATCATTTACCCGGCCTTTATAATTGTATATTATTTTCTATAGTTTACTGTTGCTTTTTATGATAAAGATAACAGTTTTTCGTACAATACCTTCATTTTAGAAGAAACTAATTTACTACGAATAGAAGAAAATTACTATTGAATCCCATTAGTTTTTTTTTTGGTCGATTCCCGTTGAAATTCCGAAATACTCTGCCATAAACGTGGAATCGGGAATTCGGCAAAAACTCGCCTATACCTCAGCGCAGCCTATCGAAAAGACGACCGACATACCTTACCGGCGTGTACGTTCGTTAAAAAAAATAAATTAGCGGTTTCTGAGCCAGTGAACTGAAAACGGCTGCCGTCTCGTATCGGAATAAGGACCCCGCACAACGGCGGCGAGCTGGAGAGAACGAAATAAAAAAAAGAGCCGAGGAATAATCAACGCCGTATAAAGAACCGAAGTATCAACGTCCGCCTAATCACATCCATTCAACCACGTACTTTTGCTTTGCGGTCATATTTTCCATTAATCGAGCGCAAAACGTTTTTCTCGTAAACGAAAAAAAACGGCTCGTTTCGATCGAAGTTGCGCGAATTGTCGTTTGAAAATAATCGCTTACAGATAGACGGAAATAGCTGGAGACTGGAGATTAATCGCGCAGGTAGCGTCTCGTGTTATATATCTTGAGCTGTACCTAAAAAAAGGCGTAAAGTACGAAGAAAGTTTGTTTCGATTTAGTGCTTCGATAAGCGAAGAGAAATTCGCTAAAATTGCACAGATGTAAGATGGCTTTTTATTACCCGGTTTGTTGATGTTTTTTTTCCCGTTTTAAATTCCTCGCTACTTTTTATTATGTGTATACAGTTAAAAATACGTTTGAACGTTCGCCAAAATTTCGCTCGCACGGAAAATCCGCATTTTATTCCCCGATTTCTGGTGAATATTTTCGCTTTATTTATGACTAATTTTCCCGGTGCATTTTATGACTACACATTTTGATTCATTTTCTTCCAACTGGGCGATGCGTCGAAAACAATATTGTTATCGACACATGACCGAGCTCTTTGTGCATTATACATTTAATGAATATTCCTGATCGAACAATTAGCAATTCTTTATTTAATTACAACCCGCTGTATAATTAAATGGATTTAATTCGATGCAAATGCAGGTACGAATCAATCGCGAACTAATTCGTTTTACTGCATACGTTCGCTGGATTTCCATTTGATTAATCGAATAACGGTGAAACTTTCATCGGTCACTGGAAAATCCGTTCGGAATATTTTAATGAAAATTGATCCATCGCTCTTCATTCATTTATACAAAAATTGGATTTAAAATATACTTTTTAACTAATTTCAATTATCTTTCGTATAATAATAACAAATACATCTAATTAGGATTATTAAAATTAGCAGGGCCGCTCCCCGGAGCTTCTCCCTCCGGGGGCGCGGTGAAAACTCGAAAAGCCGGACTTGCCCCTTTTTTTTATATGGGAATTTAACGAGGCATTTAAGGGCGGGCAAACGAATTGCTCGTTTAAAAGGATTAAAAGCTACCTAAAAAAAACTTTAATTATCCTCTAATATGCAAATAAATTTTTGTTGATTAGCGTGAAACTTTTAGTTATCAAAATGGAGGTTTTATGTCATAACACCAAGATGGCCGCTTGTAAAGTACTCTATAAGAGCATATAATCCTTAAATCGAGTTAGAGCCGTGTCGGTGACATGCGACAAAGAACTTGGAACGACGTTTTATAAATAAAACGACGGACGATATTTGAAATCGAGCCAAGGAATGCGCTTTAAACCGTGCAAGAACAATATTCAAAGAGGAAATATGGATTGTCGGGATACACGAGTTCCCTTCCACAAAAAAGACGACTTCCCGGTAGAAATATATACCATGTTCACTTTAACATCTCGTTGACGTCATGATGTTCACATATTGCACAAGTTACAAGGGTAAGGTAAAAAGTTCTCGGCCCGACAATCATAAATAGCGATTTTCAGATGAAAATCTTTAGTTCGGGAGTTCTAATTGATTCCAGAGCGTTCTAAATGGTTCTAGATAGTTTTAAATGATTCTGGAGCCTTCTAAATGGTTCTAGATAGTTCTAAATGTTTATGGAGCGTTGTTAATGATTCTGGTGCGTTCTAAATAAGTTTAGACAGTTGTGAATGATTCTGGAGTGTTCTAAATGGTTCTAGATACTTCTAAATGATTCTACAGCGTTCTTAATGATTCTGGAGCGTTCTAAACAGTTCTAAATGACTCTGGGGCGTTCTAAAGAGATCTAAATAATTCAAGATAATTCTGGTCAGTTCTAAATGATTCAGGTCGAAAATTTTTCACTCTATGACACCATCGCACTCTATATTAGTGCATTTATTTGTACGATACTCGAGAGTATCTAAAAATGAAGCGATTTTAATCGCTCGTTGGGAAAATAAACCGCCGCCATCCGGACGGTAATTCCGACGCATAATATTTAATTACGACGATCTAACGCCTAAATAACAGCACATATGACTAAACTCTCTCTCTCGACGAGAATATAAAACAAATTTAACGCGCGTCCGAGATGGATTCGATGTACAAAAAGATGACATCACGGTGGAAGTGAACAACAATAGACGTGAACCCATTTAAGGAGCCCGGCATGACTAAGCCCCGTATGAATTTTAATGCATTTGAAATCGCTTCGCTGTTGTCCTTCCAGCGAAATTACACACCGAATTACTCAATGTAAAATTACCAAACTGTCAGCTGTCAATCTGTCAGCTGTCAATCTGTCAGCTGTCACTCGGATGCAACGTGTATATAAATTCGGACGCGCTGTATATACACGAGGTGAAACGAAGGTGGATTATTAAATGGATTTCCCGGGGTATCGGGCGATTGATGGGAGAGTCTATTGGGCTATTAGTCGAGCATCTTTCACTCGATACGGTCGTTTCATTGTTCTGCCTTTTCTAAACGCTCATTGTTTTCCTACATGATAACGGCATTGTTCGATTCGATTGTAGAAAATAAAAATAATATCGCGCCGCAAGAGCGCTATCGTAGCTAACAGGATTCGATCCGGGGCGAAAATTATCATATATAGATTCGTTAATTAATGCTCATTGTGCTCGAGTGCATCGTGGATGGGACTTAATCGGCTCGCCCTGTATACATATCGCGACTCGCCCGTTGCCCTTATAAGGTCGAATCGAGGCAAAAAAGCCGTCGATTCGAGTTAGATTGAGACGTCTTCAATCAAAGGCCAAATAGGTAATAGAGCGCAAGTCATTTTCTAAAAGGAAATGAGACGTTACGTTAATGCGCATAAAGACGGATACGCTTGATTACATACGCGCATTGTAGAATGCAATTTCGCCTAATGAGAAATGTAATTAGCGAAAAATTATCCGCTCCGTATCCAGCCGCCTTCGAAGGATTGAAAATTGCAATTCTTTAGTTACTTTTTTAGTGATATTGGCACCAAAATTCGAGTACCGATTTGACAAATGTTACGGGTGGATTAAAAAAAACACAAAGTTTAAGTTTAGCTGGCAGAAAGTAAATATTTTGGTCTGGCAAACGTCGACTTCTTAAAAACACTCCGACGACTGCTTTAAACAGGAAAAGACTCGATAATTGTTTAATTTCAAGTCCAAGAAGAGCGTAATTTACATCAATTAGATCTAATCTACAAACAAAAAACCTCTTTCGATATGCGATGTAAAGATAGAAAGGATTTTTACAGTCACAACTTGTAATAGGATTATTAGAGCAAATCAAATGAACCCATTATTTCCTGTCTGGTTCTACGATTTTTGAATATAACGTATCGCATATAAACTAATATGTTTAATATTTTACTTAAGATAAAAGTTTTTTTAACAATCAGGTCGATGAAAAATAACTTAATATGTTCCATGCAAAGCCTTTTGTCTACATTGTAATGGAATTTCTCACGTGCATACATTTAACGAATGCGTCTTATTATAAATTAAAACCATGTGAATTCGACCGTATTTATTTCAAATTTACGGTATTTTTTCTACTTGGCACGTTTTTTCAAACCGACTCCACACAGATATTAATAATTGAGTTTTCTTATTTATTGTCAAAAATTATACCTTATATGCGCACTTTTTTAACTTTCTCTTTACCATTCGAGTAATTTATGTAACGAATCATTATATATACAGGGTGTTTTCGGTATTATCTCTAGGATGTTTCTTTTATTACATCGTGAAGGAATGCGCGTAGAAAATTATCTGCGAGTTATAGGTAATTGCTCTTTTCTAATCCACTGTTTGCGAACCGACATCGTAAATCTTCGGGGTGTCACTGTAATCCATAACTGTCTCTAGAATAGTCACTGCATCACACGATTGCGTTACCACTAACTAGCATTAGTTTATTACAGTTGTGGTATATCTGATAAATAACCGTTAGTTTTGTAAACATTGCGTCGTTTATTAGCGATTTCCACTTGTGGGTTTTTTCGGGAAAGTTTATTGTAAGTAAATCGAACGAAAAAAACGGTCTCATTCTATAATGGATTTTTAAGAAAAATTACGATCGTAATTATTGCAATCATGAAACGGTAATTGAATTGTAATTGCTCGGTATGAATCACTACGCTAGATTCGCCGTAAAGTGCAGAGAATTACCGAGCTCGCAACCGTGACAACTCCTTAACGTTTTTTTTATGTAAATTCAATAACGTTTCACCGTAATTTTTTTCTCTAATTATTTACCATTTGCGATTGTTAATTACCTGGCACATTGCGAAAGATCAGTGCTTTTTTTCCAATTTCCTGCCTGCTTAAAATTAGATCGACGCAACTAAGTATACTAAAGCGCCAAGGAGTGATCAAACTCGCTTAAGAATGTATAAACATTTCGGTGACGACGTCAAGTTTAAAAATCTGATACATTGTCAGTGTTACCAGAAATTCCCCATTTTTAAACGGCCAACTAGTTCCTAACTACTTCCATAACAACTACAGGCGACGTTCAGTTTAAGAAAATGTCAGAAAATATCTAACATATGCCAGTAACATTTCACTAGGAATTTCATGAAAATTCCTCTGACGCAAAATTCTTAGTGTATTCACGAGAGATCATGGACAAAAAACGCTACACGAATCACAGCATATTTTAAAGAAAACTTTCTATGTCTCTTCGTCATAAAATATTCATCGCCATATCCAGTTTAATCAACTATAAATAATAAGGTAATAATTCTGTTAATTTTCCTAACCTCGTCCAGATTACAGTCGCGCCCGGATTGTCCCATTAAATGTTCTCTACGTAATTGCAGTACACGATAATTTTCACAACATTTTTCCAGACGACACCGACTCGATCAGCAAATTCCTAGTGCTGAAAGCGAAACAACAAGGCTCTTCTGACAACATCTCCGTGATAGTTGTATTCCTCCGAGAACCCTCGAAAATAGCGGCGGAAGCCCATTGGGCCAACCGCAACCTGTATACTATGGAAGAGGGATTGAACAACGCCAACAATCCGAACCCCTTCGGCTGCGCCAACGGTTCGCCGGCCGCCAAAACCGAAGGAGGCCTGCACAAGCAGAACGGTAATATCAAGACAACGCCTTTTTTCTCGACATCTCTTCGAATCTCCCTTAACGTTCCAGGTTTGGCGCAGGAGCAGATGTTCGAGAAGTCCAACGGCAAGCGATTGGCTTCGGAATTCGATGAACAAGACGACGATTTCGGCCCGGAAACGGACGTAGACGCCGTCGACGATGTCATTCCAGTTACAACAGGTGAGATAGATGAGCATTTTTTTTTGGACACGTTGTATGTGTTATATTGGGGTAGGTACGAAGTGCGAGGTGCCGAAGAGTTTCGCCGAATGCTTCGATCCGATCAGCAATTACTCGGGCTTCGAAGAAGAGGGCGTTTGCAATCCGTTCGTGGAGCACCAGGAGAAGGCCAGCGCCGAGATGCAGAAGGTGAAGAAGAAAGTGGAGTTTCAGGAGGACGAGGAACGGGAGGCGCGCGAGGAGACGCCGACGCCTCCGGCCGACGCCGGTGAGTTTTTTGTCCAGATGTTATATTATGTTCTTCGTGAATGGATTTTTCTCCAACGTAAATAACACAATCACGATTTGTTTATTATCCGTTGGTGGAGATCTCTGTTGAGATAATTCGAGCCGTTTGTATTCTAACATTGGTGAAGATGGTCCTTGTCGATAGGAGTCGTAATTACGGTAATAAAAGTTGTGTATTCTTTGGTTTTCGTTGTCCATTTGAATACGTGTTCGGAATGTATAACGAAATTATCGGTTTCTGCCGGTCGAGGTAGATATTTTGAGGTATTTATGTTCAATTTGGACTTAAAGGTTGGTCGAATGGTATTACAAACTGCAACATAATACACGTTCTAAATTAATTACAATCTACAATCTGTACGTGTTTTAATTAATTTTCTAATTCGATTCCAACGATTTTAATCAATTTTCTAATCGAAAACAACACTAAATAAATACGAATACCAATCAATAGCTAGCATCGAATTTCCCGACCAATCTCTACTATTACTTTACCAAAAAAAATAACAAACTTGAAAGTGCGAACAAAGTTTTTTGAACTTGGTGTTAACGAACTGAAAACCTCCAGAAATATCTTCGGGGAACTTTTGGGTCTTGTCTCTCTGTACGTTTGAGACGGTTTAATTCGTAATTTCCGAAAGATGCGCGCTGTCAACCCGGCCACTTTAGCAAACATAACGCGAAGAGAGAGCTATATTTATATACCGGAGGATCGTAAATTTTCCCAACGACAAAAATAACCGCGCCTGCATTAAAGCGTTATCTCCTTCGGAGATGAATTGGTCCGCTCGAAATAACGTAATGTCACGGTGAATTGGACAATAGGCGCGGTGTATCGTACATTTTCCGTTCAACTTGTACAATTTTTGGAGATTATCATCATGAAATTCAAAAGGAAAACCGAAGAACGTGGCGTGCTCGGTGCATGACTGTTAAACGGGAACAATTTAATTGTTAATCGTCGAATGGACGAGGAGAACAGTTAGTTGTCTTACCTGTAAACCGCTAGTTTACTACGCTTTGGTATGCGAACAAGAAAACCAAAAGAGCTCGTGTTGAATGGGGGATGCACAATCGAATTACGGATCAGTGTTACCAACGCGATTGTTGACGTTGACGCACGAACTGTCAATCATTTGTAATCACTTAATTGTCTGTACTGTAATAGAATTTTGTTGGTTTGGAAGTCTATAAATAATTAAAACGGGTCGTTGAATATTCTTATTTTTTTATCGTACAATTAAATCGAAATGGTATTTTTTAATTGCGTCGACTCGTCACGTTTTAGCTTTGGGGCTTTTTATTTCTAATTTCAAAGATGGTATTCGCATTCACGGTTTCGCCTCTGCGTGGGTATGTAGATCTTTAATGGAAATTAAATTGCGGAAATAATCAAATCAAATTTGTGCAATGTGCAAATTTAATAATGCACTAGCAGCCCTGACAAGTTCAAATTTTCTATTCATTTCACAATTTTCAAATATGAAGTTGGCATTTGACATATGTCACTTGCCATCTTGAATTCTATAGGTAAAAAAAATCAAATACACTTTTTTCTTATTTTATTACCATAATTATTAAAAAAATAACTTATTTTGTACTTCAGTTTCTTCCAACGCGTAACACGTGCCCTTTTGCACGTATGTCAAAGAGACGTTAACTTTAGACACCGTCGATTATGTACAGTAATGCCTATGGCTGCGGTGCCGGTATTTTAACGTACAAAGTAAAATCGAAACAATTTACTGGTTTATTAATCTTGGCGTTAATATCTAACCTGTGATTGTATCACGTAAATAATAAATGATGTGTAATTGTTTATTATACTAGATTTAATTTTTTTATGAGACCGTATCCGATCACGTAGCCACTATTTGATTCCGAAACCGGCGAAGGCGGTTTGCCGGTTTTAGTTTGTTAAATTCTTATCTAATCGTAAAAACGCACGATTTATTTATGAATCGAAAATTTCCCGGTAATCTTCCGATTTCTATTTTTAAAATAAAGCGTAAATTGTTATTAACTATTAATTTGTTTATTTTTACTCGCCAAATTTATCGAGATAAAATCACGGCGTGTAAGTAGGCGTTGGGAATTTTCGGTCGGTTTGGCAATGTCGCCGAGGATTTCTGTTGATTTTACAGTTTGCGCACGCGCAAGTCGTTGCCCAACCCGATTTCTCAGTCTTTTACGCCGGTTTCGACTGTTTTGTTTCTGGGAAGTTTTCCGAGCTTTTAACTTTCTTCTTATGCTGATAGTGCCTTTATTTTTTAAACGTTTTTGATAGTTTTTTACGATTTACTGGTAGTGTGATTGTGGAGAATATCGCTGGCTGGATCAGCTGCGGCGTTTTGAGCTAAATATAAGGTGAGTTTCTATTTATAAGCGGGCACATAATTTTAAATGTGAACGGTTTCAAATCGAATTCGGTGTTTCTATAAATGTATTGTACAAAAAGAAAAGTGCTTTACAATTGTTGTTTGGGATAAATGAACGGGAATGCGTTGTATGTTGGTTTCACCTTGTTTTTTCGACGATCGGTTTTGTAAAAATAAAAATTTGGCAGTGTTATTTGGAGGTTACCGTGCATACATTGCATTGTAATACTTACACATAACCGTTATGAATCGTTTAATAATTATTCAACGCTGAAAATTCATTAACTGTTTCGTTTTTTTTCTTGTAAAATGCCGATCTGATGCGATAGATATGTGTCAAGGATTTTGCTCAAGTTTCAACTGATAAATTGTGTAATTACTCTTCGGTTTGTCCTGGAAGAAAGGAAAACGTGCCCACAATTTAATGCCTAATAAATATTAACAACAACCTCCACAATGTAGCATTTTTGATTGTTGTGTGTAAGGTAGGATGTGTAATGCAAATTTGTATACCCACTATAACTTATCTGTTTAATGGAAAAATACCACAAACTTCACAGGTATCAAGGATTCTAGGATTAGGATTATGTTCGATTATATTTGTATAAGTTGGCTTTGTACATTTGTTATTAACGACGTGAACATAGCAACAAATCTGTCATATGTCATAAATGACATTTAGAGGTTATGTGTACTTGTCAAAAGTTTCTTTATCTACCGAATGATTGTATTAATTTTCGAATAATCGAAACGATTATTACGCATTAAAGTAACGGAATTGTTGTGGCATTTTGATTGAATCACGAACAGAATTTTCAAATTATTCTGTTATTCGCGAAATTTGATGTTGTGCACTCAAAGTATTTTTTTAAATCCAGACATTTGTCATGTTACATTACGTGCATTCTTATTTCGTACTTTTCTACTATTTATAACCAAATTCGAATTATTTACCTAACGAATTCATTCATAAGAAGTCGTGCCAAGTTCGTGAAACTTTCATCGACCTTCGTATTACCTCTCAGATAACTTACATACCTCTGGGCATGTTAAGTAAAAAAAACTTATCTATCTGCATATTATATGTGGGAATGATTTAATCATATGAACTACATATTTAATTTATATTCGTTTTAATACCTTGAATTTTCTATATTTGTTCCATTTAAAGTTTTCGTCAGATATTATTTTTCTCTAGTGAGTACTGTTTGTTTTTTATTTGTACTTTTAGTTCGTTTCATTGAAAGAAGAAAGCTGGAGTTAGTAGAAAAACTGTATACAGCGTGTTTGTTTTACCATGTTATTATTTATAGAAACAATTTTCTGTTTGTTTGCATTAAATGTTCTCAGTAATCTATCAGATATTAGTAATCGATTTAGTTCGCGGTAAAAATGCATAATTATTCATTTTTGAATATACTCTTTTTTGTTTCATTGTATACACAAAATATAGGAATTGAATCATATGTACACTTGAATGAAACCACATTTAGATTGGTTTATTTTGAAAACATTTTTCAGCGAGGTTAACACGATTCTGGAACCAATTTTCTTGTTTTTACTTCCTGCGGAAAATTGCAATATTCATAAAACCGAAAATGACAAGACCTTCGTATTTTTAACGCGGTTTTTTTTACTGTCATCGAACCGTGTAATGTACCGGCAATTTCGCATCGCATTACGTTACCATTTCGTTATCGTCGAAACGATATTTTTGCGCATTGTTTCCTCTCCCCTCGCAATTTTCAATGCAGTTTTCCGTACGATTTACTTACCGACGTGTGGCAACGTTATCATAATAATTTTCGCGGAAATCGTGCATTCCCGATTTCGTTAATGTGCATGCCACACCCTGGGATAACTCGCCGTTTCCAGCATTAGGGTAGGTTCTCGCGGATGTTTCCCTATCTATCGATCTGCGAAAGGGATTGGTAAGCGCGAGAGAGTGCAAGGACCGCCCGACGTTTTCTCTGGATAGCATCTAACAGGTGTCCGATTTATTAACGATTTGTTGCCGGCGATACGAAGGCGTTTTCCACTCGGTTTTTTTTTTGTTGGCTTTTTGCCCGTACAATATCGAATGTACATTGAGAAAATGCGGCAGTTTTGTAACATCCATTCGCGGGCAATGGGAAACTTGAAAATCGAAGTTTCCACCGCAACGGTACAAATCTCGTAAATAAAATTGCGATGCCATTATCAACCGCAGAATAATTGCATTGTAATTGTATGTTTTATTTTTTTTTCTCTATCAACGACATGTATTTAATTGTAAAACATTGCAAATTATCACCTTTGTTTAATAACAGTACCAACGCGTTTGATTTAATCGTTAAACAGATAAGAGGCGTTGTTAATATGTATTATGATTCAGTTTACACCTTTATTGTTCAAAATAATTGTAGCAACGTTTATAAATTTTATGAAACTGTTTGATACAAAAAAAATTAACTCGTGTGTATTCCTAATGGAATTGCGATACACATAAGAAGAAATTCCGCGTCAGAAATCGAAACGGGTTTCATTAGGCGGGCTTTATAGCACGCGAATTTACGTTCAAAAACCAATTTGAGTTGGTCTCGTTTAAGCGAAAGTCGACTCGCCGACGCCCGCGTTTGTAATATGGAAAAATGAGACCCGTAGGTGGGCGCCCAACAAGTGTTTTCTAACCCGCAATATTCGCATTCGAAAGCCCCATTTTTAACAGACAATTCTCGTTTGCAGTTCACGATGCTAGCGGTTTAGTGGACAGCGAATCGGAGGACGAGTGGAACTATTTCAAAGGAGGCGAAGCCGACAAGGAGAACGTATCCCCGCAGCTGGAAAAGGAGGTCAGTAATCTCCCAAAATCTCCATACCCTTAAGCCGATTTTTTTGGGTTTATATTAAAAAAATGGCCGTTTTAGGTGGCAGACATAGCGGAAGAGGACGATACCATGTCGCAGCTGAATCCGAACGCTGCGGAGTTTGTGCCCGTGTCGCCGACGAGGAACGTCGCCTCGCCGCCGAGCTGTATTAGAGGCCTGAACGAGGCCATCATTTCGGAGTCGCCGAAGAAGGCCATCGACATCGATATCAGCTTGCCGAACGTTCGGGACTTCGAGAAGGAGGTGAAATCCAGACCGGGCGATATCAATTTGAGCGATGGCGTAAGTCGAATATTGTTGTATATTTTGATTGCTTTGGTGCTATCGTAGATCGAAGAGAAATTATTATTGGATTGGCGTTTTTTTTTGTTTAGTTATTAAATGGATGTAGTCATACATTTTATCAGTTATTTTATGTCAATATGATGGTAAAGTTCACTAAATATAACTTCCGATTAGATTAGCTTGGCGCGAAATTGGTTTTTTGCGGATGTTTTTAATACTGGAGTCTCATAGTTTATGTAGATGTTCGATACAGTTTGGTACAATTATACAGCAAATCTAACAACTGATTCTATTTTTATTAGAGTATAAGTAAAAGTAGTACGTCCGACAGTTCAAGTTCGAACGTGTATAGATCATTCGAAGATTTACCGACAATTTGTTCTTCGAGAGTAAGCCCCCAATTTACCGATTAATCCTACTAAACGTTTCTAATGTTTGTTCGTTTTAATATTTCCTAGGATAACCCATCGAAGGATTTAATGGAGAACATATTAAACGGCAAGAACATCGACGAGATACCGGAATTCCAGCCGAACAGCGACAGCCCGAAGAAAGTCTTCCAAACCGATGAATTCCACTTTGGACCGAAGGCGCTGCCCTTCATCAACAAACCGAACGAGCAAGACGACTCGAGCACCGCCGATTCCTGCGCTTCGATCGACCCGGCGACGGCGTCGCCCGATCTGAACAAATTGCACGACATACCGGACGATTTGGAGAAGTTTTTAGAATCCGATAACGACATTTCGAACGATACGTCCGATCGCGGCGCGTCGCGCGAACCCCACAAAGACAACGACGCCTTCAAATTGTCGTCGAACTTCGACAACGAGAAAGAACTGGCGTCGCCGTTGGAATCCGAACGAGACGCTTTGAAATCCGACGAACCGAAACTTCTGCCCAACATCGATTTTTTGAACGTCTCCTCCGAAGACCGTCCCAACGACGTCGCGCGGGATTTGCTCAACTCCGTCGAATCCGAATCGATTTGTTGCTCCAACGAATCCAACACGGTCGAGTCGAGTCGAGACTCCTACGACGTCCTATCGAAGTCTCCGGCGCCTCTGGAAAGCGACTACACTCGCCCGGAGGCGCTCGAGCTGGCCCGGCAGTCGTTCGAAGAGCTCTGCTCGGCCGAGCCGCCGCCGCGCGACTTGCAAAGGGAGACTTCCGTGGACGCCACGCCCGCCGAATTGATCCGAGAGGCCGACGCGCGGTTCGAGGAGCTGTGCAAGCCCTTGGAGTCGCCGCTGGAGGAGGTCACGTCTTCGGTTAAGGACGATTTGTCCGAGGGAACGGGAGATAACGACAACGGCGACGTCAGATTAATAGATACCGATGATCGTTTGGTGGCCGATGTAGCTCCCGAGCCGGAGCCGATTATCGCCGAGGTGAGCGAATTGTTTTGATTGCTCGAGACGATTTGATTGTAATTTATGTGTTGTAGAATGAGCCAACGAAAGTAGAGAACTTAGTCGAATTACCTAAGGAAGAGGTCAATGTGATGGTTCCTTCGATTGAACACGATGAGGACGAAAGTTTGTTGAAATCCTGCGATATAAAGACTGAACCTATTCTCGAACCTACGGTCGTCGCGCCTGAAGCACCTAAAATAGATGATACACCAGGTTAGTTTCTTTCAATTATTTTATCGCAACTGACATCAAAATATACTTTGATAGATTCCATAAGGGCACGTTATTACACTATAACTACTCGGTTTAACTTACTTTATAATATTTGTAGAAACAAGTTCGAAAAATACCAAGCTTATTATACCCCCCCAAACTACGGTCGCCTCCATTATCCTCAATAACCTCGAAATACCCCTGGCCGGTAGCTCGTCAGCCCAAGCCGCCTTCAGAAGAGAAATAATCGGAACTAGCGACATTAACAAGTCCTTCGGCTGTAAGTTCGAAACGTATCTATTATTCTGTACACACCTCGGATCGCCGGATTGTCTCGGAGGGACAATGGAAGGGTCCTAGAGAGACAATCCCGGTGATAACTGGAAATGTTTTTTTTTTGATAGCCCTGGTACCGCGCGACCGCGATTCCGCATTAATATCGACGATAATATTGAATTCGTCGGACGTAAATAACTTGTATACGAATGCGATTCCTCGCCTTCTAACCGAGAGTTTTAAATTGTTTGTCCCTAACGCTACGCGTTTGACATTGTCCATGGGGAAGGAAAATAAAATACCGGAAATCGTTGCTTCCTCTTCGGGTAAGTCATTGAAATTTAACTGGTGTGGATTTCACATAGAAGTGTCATCGATTTACTTTCTCTCTAAATATCATGCTGATTAAAGTTTGTTTTTTTAATTTGATGTGAATTTTATATTCCTTCCTTTATGGACAATAACGACTAAGGTAAAGTATCATTTATTTAATGTATGCTGGTTGAAATTGTATCTCTTAATAGCGGGAAAGTATGTTGGTCACAATTAATACGATGATACGTCTATGTGAATCCTAATGAAACTTCCCAACTCATTTACCCTAATTCCCATCCAATAGAAATTAAAATCGAAGATGAATTTAATCTTCCCGAATCGATCGAAGAAAACGATTACCAGCCCTTCTACGATTACTCCCATTTGTTCCCCGCTAGCGAAGCTTTAGTGCTCGACGGGGATTTGTACGCGATAAACGACGAGGAATCTCTATCGCCCGAAGAAAATCGCATTGTGGCGCTCAAGCAACTTCTGCAGCAAGTCATAAGAACCGAAGAGCGACCGCAATCGTCGATCGAGTCGTCATCGACGCCCGCCGACGAAACCGACAATTCCCACGTGAACGCGGCGTCGGATTGCAAAAACTGCGGCGACCGATTGAACTCCACGATTTTGGTATCGAAAGGGATCTGCATCAACCCGGAGATGCACTGTCACATGGAAAACATGCAATCGGTGGTGAGCGAAACGGATTTGTTGGACTACCAAAGAACCGCCGACGAATACGGATTCGTCCGTTGGCCGAGCACCATCGAAGAAAAGGGCATCTTCGTCGAACCGACGTCTCGCAACGAGGACGCCAGCGACAATCGCGCCGACGAAAAGATCCAATCGAAGAGCGTCCACTTCGTGGACGTCGACGGAGCGTCCAACGCCGAATTGGGCTACACGTTGGAGGACAACGATTGCTCGTCGAACTCGGACATTTTCCCCAATCGATCGGCCAGCGGCGATCGATTCGATTCCGTAGCGAGCGATAAATCCGAACTGGCGGAGGTCGAGTACGCCAAATCGCTGATGAACCAATTGATCGACACCATCTCGGCGAATCTGCAGGACAACAAACTGAAGACTTCCAACACGTTGATGGTGTACATGCTGAGGAGCGGGATAGAGAAATTGAAGCAAACCAAATCGCTACCGGATTCGTTTAGCAACAAGAAGAAGAGGAAGCAACCGGTTAGCGATTGCGTGGAAACTAACGAAGACAACCAGGATACCGTCAAATCTTCGATGTCTGATAGTTTTCGACCCGTTTGCGACTACTCGTTTCTACCGTCGACTTCTAACAACGATGGAAATATCGTTATACCGGCACCGGAAAAGAATGATATCGATGCTACAGATGAATCTCGAATAGGTCGTGGATCGTCGGTCGTTCCTACCGGCTTGGATCGGCTGGAGAAGCCTCTAGCTGATGATGCAACTGATAAATCGATTACCGTTTCGAATCGGGTCGAGAAGGTTGTGAATTTCGATGATAACACAGCGCCTTTTGAGCGTTCTACTCGCGTTTCTTCTGCTGTTGGTGCAGTTCAAGGTGTGATTGATTGCGATTACTCTTTGGTACCGCGTATCGAAGATTCTGATTTACCTCGGCCTGTAATGAAGGTTGACGGTGCTTTAGATTGCGATTTTTCGTTGGTGCCTTCCGTCGATTACGATTCCAATTCGGCTAGTTGTCCTATAGTTAATTTAGGGAAGGTTAAAGACGATTATTCTGCATTCGACGTTCCGGATAGCGAGTATTATCCTTCGGCTCCTTTAGATGACGGGGTGAAACCTTTGCAAAACGATTTTAGTAAGTTCAAAACGTTTTCTCCGTCTGCCGATGTGCGGGAATTTATTAGCAAAGGGCCGGATTGCGATTATTCGTTGATACCTTTCATTGACGATACTAAAATAACTCCAGTTAATGCTGTTGAAAACGATGTTAGGGCTACTACTTACGATTGCGATTACTCTTTGATTCCTTCCGTCGATGGTGCTAAAATAAGCGGTAATAGTTCGCAAGTAATCGAGAATGTTCAACCGTTTGTTCTTTTTCCTAAAAACGAGAATATCGCACCGCCTGCAAATAAAAAATATAAATATTTCGGAAGTCCATCGTTTCCCTCGATTGGCGTTGAACAGGTTGATGATTCGACTTCCATTCTTTTACTAGCAGGTAAAGTTCCTCTAGATGTACGTGAAAATGTGTCATTAGCAGATACGCGTCAACCAGTTTGTGATAATTCCTTCGTCCCTCCAACTAATAAAATAAAGGACTTGTCATCACTCGATGAACACCGACCAGTTTGTGACTATTCATTCGCTCTTCCTTCCGACGAAAAGGATGACTTGTCATCACTTGATGGATTCGGACTAATTTGTGACTATTCATTCGCCCTTCCAACCGAAGAAAAGGAGAACTCATCGCTCGACGAATACCAACCGATTTGCGACTATTCATTCGCCCTTCCAACCGAAGAAAAAAACAACTCACCACCTGAGGAATATGTGCCGGTTTGTGACTATTCATACCAACTTCCTTTCGAACTTATCCATACAACTTCATCGAGTGAGGTGTATCAACCGATTTGCGACTATTCTTTCGCCCTTCCAACCGAAGAGAAGAATACTTCACCACCTGAGGAATATGTACCGGTTTGCGACTATTCGTACCATCTTCCTTTCGAGCTTATCTATACAACCTCATCGAACGAGGTGTATCACCCGGTTTGCGACTACTCGTTTTCTCTACCCACCACTTGCTCGTCTATTCCCGCTGTCGATATTCGCGATCAACCGGATTGCGATTATTCCTTAACACCGATCGTCGCTTCCGACGCGCCGAAGAGCGTAGAAAACGAATTGGTTATCAAAAGAGTGGCTTCGTTTACCGAGATTCGCGAGCCCGTTGGGAACCAGCCGGTACCAGTCGTCGATAGCAAAGCGACCGCTTCTAAAGTTCGTAAAGGAGCGGTACAGTTTCGAGACGATTCTCCGGCTGTGGAGGTGGAGAAGCCGCCGATTCCTATCGTAGAATTTAGCGAAATCGTTTCTCTTGTGTTTAACATGTCTGATGGTGTAGCGAGGGTTATGGGCGATGCGGATAACGTGCCGTCTTTGGTTGGGAACTTTTACAGCCCCGTTTGTGACTATTCATTTACTTTACCCGGTGACAACGAAGACGTTACTTTTAAATACGATGACTTTGAACCAGTTTGTGACTATTCGTTTAGTTTACCTACAGACAACGACGAGACTTCGATGAAATCTACTGACGACTACAAGCCCGTTTGTGATCACCATTCGTTTTCTTTGCCTCTATCATTACCTTTCACCGACTTTAGGAATTATAGTTTAGACATTGACAATCCTACGTATGAAAAGTACCAACCAGTTTTCGACTACTCGTTTAGTTATCCCGTCGATGATACTGCCGTGAATGATTCCCCGACCGTTTGTGACTCGTTTTCGTTTATTCTCGACGACGATCCGTTGTCGAATAAACGCGATTTATCGTTGTGTTACACCGATTTCAGGAATTACAGTTTAGACTGTAACAATCCTACGTTTGAGAGGTACCAACCGGTTTATGATTACTCGTTTTGTCATCCCGTCGACGATGCTATTGTTGTTAGTGATAGTTCTAAGCCCGTTCGTGATTCGTTATATTCCATCACTACCGATGATAACGTCGACGACAGAGATAATTTCCCTTCGGGTTTCACAGATTCCGGGAATTATAGTTTAGATATCGACAATCCTACGTTCGAGAAGCACCAACCTGTTTTGGATCACTCGATCAAACCAATTTGTGGCTCTGCATTTTCTTTTCCCGTCGAAAACGAGGCCGATGTTTCGCCAGCAATCGATCGGAATCAATCGTTTGGTCTTTGCGATGACCGTAAACCCTCTTCGTCTCTTCCTATTGAGCATGGCGTCGCTCAAAATGATTCTCCTGTGATTGAAGAATGTGAATTTGTCAATAACCAATCGATTGCTCTTCCTACGTACGGCATAGTAGCATCATCGATTGACAATGTCCGGGAGGTTCCCTGTTCTCTTCCTAACGACATCGATGGCATTTCTCTAGTTATTGAGGATTATATGATGCCAATTAAAGCAAGTGAAGACGTTTTATCGTTGACTGACATGTACCAGCCGGTTTGTGACTACTCGTTTGCTCTTCCCGGCGAAGAAAGGGAAGATTTGTCGCAGTCAGTTGACGGTTATCTGCCTGTTTGTGATTATTCGTACGCTCTTCCCGGTGAAAGTATGGAAGATTTGTCACAACCCGACAGTTATCGACCCGTTTGTGATTATTCGTACGCTCTTCCCGGTGAAAGTATGGAAGATTTGTCACAACCCGACAGTTATCGACCTGTTTGTGATTATTCGTATGCTCTTCCCGGTGAAAGTAAGGAAGATTTGTCACAACCCGACAGTTATCGGCCTGTTTGTGATTATTCGTTCGCTCTTCCCGGTGAAAGTAAGGAAGATTTGTCACAGTCGCCCGATGATTATTGGCCTGTTTGTGATTATTCGTTTGCTCTTGATACGGCCGATTCCAAAAAGGTTGATGGCGTCGAGAAAGTCGCTTCTGTCGAGGATAGTTTAAAATCTGTTGGTGATTATATCGGTTTTACAATGCTCGTAGATGATTGTAGCTCGATCAGTTTCGTTGAAATAGGTAAAACTGTCTCTGTAATGATTGATAAAGTTGACGAAGAGATCGGTTATGAACCAGTTTCTAGTCGTGATGAAGCCGGTAAGGAACGAACCGTTGGTTTCACCAAAGAAGCGGATTCGTTTGCGCCTCCTATCTCGAAAGTTTATTCCAACGGTGAGGAAATTGAGTCTTCCGTGATTGCGTCTGTGGAGGTTTCTAAGGATAAAATTGCTAAAGAAAGTCGCAATCGCGAAATGGCCTCTTCTCTGGCCGATAACCTTCTAGATGGTATCGAAAGTGCTTTGGGAAATATCGGAAAGGACGCCTCCGGCTTGGTCGACGCTTTCAAAACCAACGATGCTACGAAAAGCGTCGAAAAGGTTATCGAAATTTCCGAAAAACCATCCAAAATGTCGCTATTCGAGGACATCCCCGACCTTCCGGTGCACCTCGAGGACACTTTCCGACCGGTTTGCGACTACTCGTTCGCCCTACCGGTCGACGAAACCGCGAAGAGCGACCCGCCGGACTATCGGCCCGTTTGCGACTACTCCTTCGCCCTTTCCACGTCCCCGATGCCCGACGACAGGGCCGTTTGGGCGTCGGGCGCCTTCCGTCCCGTCTGCGACTACTCCTTCGTCCTGTCCACCGTCGACGAGAACGACGACGCGCTCGATGCGTCGATCGACGCCTACCTGCCGGCGTGCGATTACTCGTTCGCTTTGCCCGTCAAAGGCGGCGACGAGACCGTCAAGAAGTTGATCAAAAACTATCGGCGCACTTGCAACATTGCGCACGCTACTTCAGCGAAGGAGACCAAGCGGTCGCCCGGCACCGCGTCCGATCGGCCGATCTGCGATTACTTCTACGTGCCGTCGGTGTGCGATCATCGATTGCAGACGAACGCCGACGAGCCGCGATCTACTTGCGATCGTTCGTCGGGACGGAGCAACCGGAAAGTTGATGGTAGTAAAAGAACTGGTAGAAACGATGATGATACTGGTAAGAATGATGCTGCCAAAAGAGTAGAAAGTACTAAAATTTGTGTAGAAAAACCCGGTGCTGTCAGTAAAAGTGAAGATGCTCCTGTCGAAGATACTAACGATCCAGTAGAAGAATCGCCGGATTCGCACTTGATCGAAAACAATTCGGATCAATCCTACCGAGAATACATCGACCACCTGTCCGATACCGATATCGAACTGAATTTCTCCGCTTCCGATACCGATTATTACCAATCGGTGTTCGACGATACCTACCGGGAGATCGCGATCGACGACAAGTACCAGCCGGTGTGCGATTACTCGTACGACTTGCCGAACGACGAGCACGACGAGCGCGTCCAGCGCGACGATCACCAGCCGACGTTCGACAACTTGGACGAGCAAATCACCGTGGAGTTGTCGCCCAGCAAGACGAAATCGACGTCGGCGACGGAGGCGAAGAGGCCGGCGCTCGCGGGCGATTTGATTTCCACCGTCAAGAAGGAGTTTGACGTGCGGAAGCGTGAAGAATTTCGATCGGTCGATTCGATTGGAATGTCGAAGGGCAACGCGATCGAAGCCGATGGGAAGAAAGCGCCGAACCGGTGGCAAGAGCGCAGTTTGGATTCCACCGAAATGAAGGAAGGCCTGTTGGCCGTTACGGAATTTCAAAACATCGATTCGTTGGTGCTACCTTTCACAGGTAAATTTGGCTATGCGACCAATGATACTTTGCTGTTGTCGTACGCGCTCGGATCGGTATTTTAGGTGTCGGTTTGTGATTATTTTGAGTTATTAATTCGTTTTTTTTAAATTTGATTAGTTGAGGATAATCGCCCGCCCAACGCTCCCCTATCCCCGGATCAGTTTGTTGTTAATTTCCGAAAGATTTTGGCCAGCACGCTTGTGTCGGCGTTGTCGAATTTCAAAAACGAATTCTCGCAAGAAATGAAGAAAATCGACGGCGATAGCACAGGTAAAAATGATACATTAGGACCGGTTTTGCGAATTACTACTGTTTTTTGTGCAAGTTGTCGTTTGTTTCCATTTGTGCGCAAATGTTCGCTAGCGAATAGTTGTTTAATAAAAAAAAATGTGGAAAAATTTGTTTCCAGCTACAGCAATGGCTCGAGTGTTCGATAATATTCACAAAAACGGCACGCATTTGAGTAATGTAGTTGAATGGCTCGTCTGTAAAGGTATCGTATCTTTTCCACCCAACTTACAAACACTCTCTATCTAATTTTGATGTCAGTTCGAACTATTTTTATTAACCACACACCATTCACTTTTTCTTCTACTCATTGATTAACGTTTGGTTTGTTTTTTTTTTTTCGAACAGCATTTTTAGACAGCCAAACGACCAATACGAACGACGCGCAAAAACTCCTGTCCGAATTGGAATCCGAAATGACCGCCATCGGAATCACGTCCACCGTGGCCGCCGGCGCCGCCTTGACCGCCGTCCTCACCGAAAAAGAACGACCAGCGCCCGCGGCGGACGTTCCGCAGGAGGCGGAAAAGGAGCCGCTCGAGGAGCACCAGGACAACCAACAAAAGGAGCCCGAGCCGAAAGAGGAAGAAGCGCCGAAAACCAAGCCCGTGACGTCGAAAACCGCCGCCGCCGCCGCCGCCGTCGCCGCCCCCAAGGCGTCCAAGACGGCCGTCAAAGCGCCTTTGTCCAAAACCGCTGCTTCTGCTACTAATAGACTTGCGTAAGTTTTATTAATTGATTGGTAAGCGAGCGAATTATTCGATTTATTATTGTGATTATTTTTGTTAGGAGCAAGACCTCTGTGGCGTCGAAGGCGTCTGGTACGGTGAAAGCGGCCAGTAAATCGACGTTGGCCGCTAAACCGACTGCTAGATCTGCGCCGGTCAAAACTGCTGATAAGGTTCTAAACGGCGAGGCGAAACCTAGCGCTCGACTAACCTCGGCTAGGCGACCGGTGGAAACGGCGTCGAAGCCTAAGCTGCCCGCGCAGACTGCGACATCGAAGGTAAACAGCGCGAGTTTTGTTTGTGGCTGGATGTAGTAGTACGTAAGAGGCCGTTTAACGCTTCTTGTTTTTTTTTTTTAGCCGAATGTGACTAAAGCACCGACGAAAAAATTGGAACCGACCGCCGTTAAAACTACGAAATCGGTGGAAATGAAACAACGCACCGTTGCCAAAAAACCTTTAGATAAACCAAATACCGCAGTATCGGCCGCAACAAAGGTGAGTACTAATTCAAAATTCGTCTACAGTTGGTGCAAAACAAATATCAATGCGCGTCACCTATGATTTACTACGTCACAAGTAGGCAGTGTTGCCGAACTGTTATAGATTTTACAAAATCTAAGAATTTTCTAAAATTGTCAAATGGCAAAATGACAAAAACAAATTGAAAATTAGGGATACCTGTTTCACGTTTCTAAACGACGAACGAATTTAGGGGTTCACTATAATTAATCATCAAATTCCTTTATCATCTGAAATATATTTAACAGCGCGAGTAAAAAATTTAGTGTTAAATTGACCCTTAAAAAAGTACATAGTAAAATTTCTGAGAAAACTTCTGAATTTGAATTATTTAGAGCTCAAATCGTGTAATTTCTAACATGTGGAGAAGATAACTACGCAAAAAATTCTTATTTGTTTTGCACCGACTGTATGAATCTATAATGAACATAAATCTATTCTACTTGTTTTTAGGTATCGAACGCGACTAAAGCTCCGTCTAGCGGCGTCGCGACGAAACCGAAACCTAGCACCTTGACAGCCCCGCCGAAGCCTAGAGTACCGTTAACGAAGACTGTTGCGAAAACGGACGCGCCCAAGGCGGATGCGCAGAAGCAAAACAAGGAGAACGTTAATAAATTGATGGCGTCGAGAACTGCCACGAAACCGGCATCTTCCAATGCTAAAAAAGTCGAAACTAAGGTGAGAATGAGCGAGGAATTATTTTTCCCAGTGTGCAATTTTTTTCTCCCGAATCTAAAATGATTGCGTTGATTTTAGGATAATCTGAAAAAGCAATTTTTACAATCGCATACGAGATTGTGGTAGTGTACTTTTCCAGACCAGATTTCCCCCTTTTCGATGTCTTCCCGTAACCCATCACTTATGTACATTTAAAAGCAATATACGAAAAATATTTCTTGTTGGTTTAATTGAGTTACATATTTGAGTGGTAGATTCATTTTGTAATGTGCAGGATGATACATACTTAAATACTCGTATTTATTTTTATATGAATTTAGAAAATATCCTGAATTATTAACGCAGTTTTCGAATCTCAAGATACAGAAACGAAAAGGTTTGCTCCCCAATTAATCCCTTAAATAATTTATCACTAATAGACGAGTGTTTAAAAGAAACTTGACATTTTTAGGTGAGTTCGGTAAGAACTGTAACCAAAACATCCACAACAACAACAACATTAGCGAATAAAAAGAAGACCATCACTTCACCGAAACCTGAGAAAATCGAGAAACCAAAGGAAAATGGCGTGGCCGCGATCGTTACAGAAGTGAATTAGTCATCGATAAAACTATGATAGCCTCACTAACAGCTTATCTCCCCCCCGACTAATTTATATTATACCTACTATTTAGGGGTTTGGAAGTTGGAAAAATTCGGAAGTGACGTGAATTATATTTTTTCGTTTCGACACGTCCGATTTTTTTACACCTACCTTTTTTTATTATTATAATTACTTTTTAGGTTTTTGGAATTGTATCGACGAATGTTTTTGAAACTTACACTAAAATTTACTTACTGTTTTTTTTTTACTCTTAACTTTATCGGTCGAGTTTCGAAAGCATTTCGCTTCTGTGTGTATAGTGCTGTGGTAAAATTTAGTAACAGATACTTAATGGATACATACGGACTTTTTTTATTATATCGAAGAATATTTTTTAAGTTTAATATATTATACAAGATAATAATAAATCAGTTGACCGTATAAAGCGTCATGAAAAAAAATGAATACAATATTATATTATCCTAAGTTGAGCTTTTTACATGCTTAGGTGTGCTGATGTGATTGCTATGCACTCTTTTTGTATATATAAAATATTTTAAAGTTATTGCGAAAGAATTGCGAATTAACCCTTAAAGTAATTAACCTTTTGAAGTGGGTAATTAATTAAATTAATAACATCGTTGATTTAAATAAGAATTATAGGGTTAAAGCGTGATTCTTCTTTTATATTTGGGTGCTAAATTAAACAAGGCCTTTTAATAGTTCGTTGCTTAAAATTTAAGATTTGATGGTTTTTACAATTTTTTAATATTTACCACTTTCATTATTTTATTCTTTTTATTTGTATTAATTATTTTCCTATGTTTACGAGGCTCGATTAGTGCAGTGCATTGAATATTTATTTATAAAACGTACTCCGACTAATCGAAACTTGTAATATTATAAAAATAACCGGTAACAAATAGTAAATTGTTCTGTTGAAGTTTTAGCTTACCTACGTTCGTCATATTTGTTTTTGTGAATTCGTAATACTTTTCAGCACAAAATAAATGATTTAAAAAACCCAACCGAGGTTTTTTTTCAAACTCGCCATATTATCCCATTTATAAGTTAAACAGTAATGTGTTTTGCCTACCTTTCCGGTGCAAAATGTACACTTACAAACGAGAAGAGTATATTCAATATTCCTCTTGTGTTTCTGATTACTGGGCTAAAGTAGATTTTGGAATGCAAGAAAACAAAGACTGTACTTATCTATAGCTTTCTACAGGGTGAGTATTTTCGACCGAGTAGATATTCTATTTAGTGTATTTATTTTTAAAAGTTGGGCACAATGCTCGGCAAGTCTGACGACAATAGTGACGTGCATTGATACTTGTTTTGCACCAACTGTATATAGAAACCTAACCTTAACTTGTCACCGATCCCCCTTAATCAACCTAAAAAAAAACCCGTTCGCCCAAAATGCCCGAAAACTGGAAATACTTCGCCCCGTTCGAAGTGGTCATCCACAACAAACCCGACGACTGCTGGGTCTCCCTGCTGGGCAAGGTCCTGGACGTGACGCCGGTCATCCGGCAGTACGCCGGCCAACGGTGCATCGCCCCCCTCCTAACCATGGCCGGCAAGGACGTCTCCCACTGGTTCGACGAGACCACCGGCGACATCCAGCACTACGTGCACCCCATCACCGGGTGCCGGGTGCCCTACTGCCCGCACGGGCCCCTTCCCGACGTCCGGGTGCCCGTGCCGGCCACCGATTGGCAGCCCCTCTGCAAACCCCCTTGGTGGCACGACAAAAGGTTGTTGTTATTGTTGTTACACGATCGATAGAAACGAGATACTAAACCGATTTCTTTAGATACCAAATCGGATTGCTGACTAAAAGAGTGAGACCCTTGCGCATTATTAACATGATTTGTCCCTTTACTAGGGAGGTTTTGATAAATGTTTGTTGCGAAGATACCTTTTGGAGGATCGAGGATAGGTATATGGAGTTTAATAACGACGCCGAATGTTACACTTGGAGGTAATTCCCTTGTTATACTAGCAATTTAAGAGGATATGACGATTAGATTGTAGATATTTAGGCCAAAATTTGAATATGGACAAAACGATGGAAGAGAACGGAATTTGCGACGAACGCGATAAATTCACCGAGCTCGGGCTGTCCCAAAACTACCACGTACCCAGCGTGTCTCTCTATTACAACGACAATTTGAAATATTGCAATACGGAAGACGATTATTGCCCGTCCATACCGTCGGTTACATCGTGCAAAGAACTAAATTCCAAAGTATAACTCGCTTGCATACTATTTTCGTACTATCTACTAATTTTCAGTGCGTTTTTGTTAATGGACCGGCAATTATCACGCTTGAATCGGAATCGTCGTTTCTCTTTCTGCTCCGCCACGCGAATTACCAATGCATAATTACGGTTAATAAACTCTTGTACGATTCGCATTTTACACGAATACATTTATTTCCCTTAATCACTTAAAAAATATACCATTTTTTTAATAACCCGAATTAACGAAAACATTAAGCTTTTGTATTGCAAAATAACCACGTACCTATATACAGGATGTTTCAAGGGAAAACGAGCAAATTGGAATCTACAGTTCTTGCAAAACAAATATCAATGCAGGCACGTCACTACTTGCCAAGCATTGTGCCCAACTTAAACTTAAATCATATCTATTTGCACCAACTGTACCAATTATTTTATAACCGAATTATAGTTAGTAATTTTGTTTTAACCCCGTATAAAAGAAAAAAAAAACATCTGGTGTTCACGAATCGGTAACTCACAGGTGAGTTTAACCAAGTGAAGAACCTCTTTTTCTGTGTTAATACGTAATATGCACGTTAAAACAATGCCGGCCAATTTACTACACTGGAACGAATAGCGTTGTGTCGATGGTAATCTTGAATTTTTTTACATTTAAATATATTCAATCATAGAAATACGTTTTCCGAAGCAAATCCTAACGTTGATCAAACGTTTAAATCGAATATGTCATTAATGTCAAATTAGTGGCAGTTGACGTACGTTCAAATAATATCGCAAATCGCTTGAAAAATAAAATAAAATAAATCATATCGAAGGTGTAATGAGAGAGGTCCATCTGGACACGCGACCGACAGATGTTTTCTCGTAACGAAAAATCACCTGTGAATCTTCATCTGCCGATCGAGCGGCCACGCCATAGGTGCATTTTTTTTCAGAAAAAAAAAACTTACGTGACGATAAAAGTCAAATGCGCAGATTCAGATGTCAAAAATTGACAGTAATGACAATGTGTCATAATAACTTTATACAATTATAGTCTATTAACAATTACATAAACTTTTACACGATACGGAAGGATTTTGATAATAACGAACTTTCTTTTCATTAGCGACACAATAGTAATTGCGGGATTGAATCGAAACACCGATGGTGTACACAAGATAAAACCGAAACCTTTTATGTCATTAATTTCGGAGGTTTTATCTCGCATGAGAATATTTCGATTATAATTTATTCGTTTGTGAAAATTTAGAAAGTAAACACTCCGGTAAAAGAAGCGACTCGAAAATCTTATCAAAATCAAGTTGCGTGTTTACGTCATAATGGTAATACACGAAGAGTCTGATCTAGCAATCCTTGACAATTTAGCATTCTTGATATGCATATCTGTTTAAACTCGGTCGTGCCGATAAATCGTTTAGGTTTAGGGTGAAACGTTTCACATAAAAAGACAATATGTGCGTTTCTTCCGACAATTAGTCGCAGGTATTAAAAAAATACGGATAAACTGTGGGAAGGAATGCGAGGAATGCGAACTCATTGTTTCGACCTTAAGTCAACCGCGGTGACCGGCCGGAAGACGATGCGTTTCGAAGGAAATTGCGCTTTGATTTCTTTTCTCAGTGTTCTGTTTCTAAGAAACTTTTTTTTCCAACGTACTTTTTACACAAAAGACTGGTTGTTGTTTTTACTTTTTGGGCAAAAGAAGGGCGGATGTTTTGCGGGTCAACGAATTTCATGGGTTTTCTGATTGATGCGAAGCGGATGTCTACTAAAAAAAACATATTTTATGCAAATATAAATGCAATTTTTGTATTATTACCCAAAAGTGTATTCAATTTACGAACTCTTTTGTAAACTTCTACACGCTAGCGAGATTATTTTAAACGCTTACGGTTATTTCAAAACGTTTCCGAAATTCAAAGAAAATATAACGGCGTTTGCATTATTTACCAAAAAGGGTTTTTTAATAAAGAAAAAACCGATCAACAGATGTGAACGAACATAATGATACCACAAACAGTGCCGTCGATTCCAACGCATTAAAAACCTACGTTAAAATAACGTTACGTTAATTTCCCAACGCCAAACAATCCGTAAAAACATCCAAAATTTCGGGTATATTTTACATTCAACCATCCTCAACTCTCCTCTCGATTGAACAAAGTAGATACATCACTGAAGACCCGGCGAAATCCGAAAGGCCGTAGGGAAACCGGCACCTGGTGAAAAGGAATTCGACGTGCACATGTCGAAGCAGATGTTCGATGGACATTCGGGTTCTCTCCATCCGGCCTCTTCGGGGTTCCCGCCCCGCATCGAAAGGGTACACACCTTATAATCACTAATCCCTCAATAGAATCTCTATCGATCAATAGAAATTTATATATCGGAAAACTATTTCGCTCTACCGGAACACGCGCGCTATAATGTACCGGGAATATTGATTGCGCTATTATTGGGCATTAATATTTTATATCGCATCGTTTCCAGATCCGCTCTATTACTAACAGGACGCGCAGAAAACGTGTTAAAAGTTTCACACAAACACACTGTGTATAAATATATTTTCATTACACACAATATACTAATCCCACAAACTAGCACAATGCATTTTCTTTGTTTCGAATTTAACGGAACAACAATAAAAAAAAATCATTATACACAAGCGAATATGTGCAAAAAGAATCATTCAGTAATCGATATCGCTCGGTTAATAATCGATAAAATGTACATCGGTTTCCTGCGAGAATTCGATTTGTACACCGCCGATTGGCCGGTGTTCAAGCGCCAGCTGGAGCATTTCTTCGAGCTCAACGACGTCGCCGACGCCCGCAGGCGTCGCGCCCTCTTCCTCAACGTCCTCGACGCCGAGAGCTACAAGCTGCTGGAGACGCTGGCCGGCGGCGGCGCCGCCGTCGCGCGCGCCCCCTTCGAGCGATTGTGGGGCCTGTTCGACGGGACGGTGGACGGAATCGTGCGGAGGAGATTGGAGTTTTACGGTATGAAGAAGGGCAAAAGGGAGCCGGAGGAGGCGTGGGAGAGGCGGGCGAGACGGGCGGCCGAAGCGTGTAGATTCGGGGATGAGTTTGAGGTGATTTTGATGAGGAAAATCGCGTGTAGTTATTGAAATTTTGTTAAATTTATTTTTGTACTCAAATGACTAAATGACTAAATGACCTAATGAATAAATGACCTAATGACTAAATGACTAAATGACTAAATGACTAAATGACTAAATGACCTAATGAATAAATGACCTAATGACTAAACGACTAAATGACCTAATGATTAAATGACAAAATGACAAAATGACAGATTGATTAAATGACTAAATGACAAAATGACTCTTTTATGATAAGTGATTGTATTTATTACTTGCAAGCTATTAGGAAAATTAGTATTATAGAAATATAAAATAGAAATCTGTATTTTAAAAGAACAAATAAAATATATGAGAACTGCACTGCTTGAATACTTTAGAGCAAATGCGCCAAATATGGAAGTTTTAATATTTTATAACATTCCAATTTTCTGAAAAAAAAAAATAATCTCAAAATGAGTAAGTATCACAATATGGACCGGTGGTACGTTTTAAATATGGAGGGGCTAAAAATTAATTTTTATTTTCTAGAATGGCTTTTAAAACAATAGAGAAGACCAGACAAACATGGGATAAAAAACGCAATGGCTGAAGCAATTAAAAATGCAGGAGAAAAGAAAATGGGCTTTTTGAATGCTTCCAAAAGATTCACCCAAAACAAATCACTTAATGATATCACCACCCAAAAACTTGGGAGACAATCAACATTACTGAGTGAATTGGAAGATGAATTAGTCAATTATATTCTAGAAATGGAAAAATCTGGATGTTGTCCATATTAGGTTCACTTTCTGAGAGTTTATACAAATGATATACTTTAGAAAATGTTGTTTATTTCAAAGGTTTTGTTTTTTTTAAGAATTATATTGTGAGTTTTTCTTAACATTTTATTAAGAAAAGCGCTTATGGTGGTTCATACAAGGCGCACTTACTCTATTCTTTAAATTTCCAATGCCCCTGAAAATTGACCCGGGAAACATATTTTCTTATTCTACCCCCCTGATACAAGACACACGATACATTTTTTCCCCTCATATGCACGCGTATTATTAGCGATATACATATCGCGTGTACACACACATGTGTCTGATGTGTGTCGCTTCTACCCCGCCATAACTCAAACATCCGGCGACCGATCTTTCTGCCTATGAAATTATTCAATTCACCTGAGTTCGCACGTAACTACTTCGTATCCAACTATTCACCTGTCCACTCTGCGTGTCGTTCGCTCGAAAATAGCACGCCTCGCGACGCGGACGCTTCGATTTATTCGATGCGATATCGATAAAAAAGTTGATAGCAAACGCCGCGACTTTCGGTACATCGGTATAGTCCGAGCGCCCTGTGTATAACGGTAGAGAAAAAATTAGAATGTGATTCGATTCGAGGAACGGCTTGTTTGATGATGCCTCTACCGGTTGATGTGACAATCAATATCGTTAGGTAAGATGTTAAAAGTGTTTTCTCTACACTTTTATTTAATGTGTTTTACTAAATTAATTAAAAATTCCCTTAAGTACATAAGAATATTAATGGTGTTTGGGTACTTGTTTTAATTCTTCGAGCACGTTCGTTTCCGATAAGTTCTCTCCCTTGGTAGGTTATAATATACGCGCTAATTAAGGTTTGGTACGGTTTTGAATACAATGCAATTGATGCATTTTATGAGTTCATTGTCGCGAGAAGCAGGTGAAAGTAAACAGCGCAATTATCGCGATTTGCAAGATGTTTTCGTCGTTTCAATGCAGTAGTACTTAGCGCACGGTATTTTTTTTAATCTGTTTTCGCCGGTAACGTTCGAAAAATTTCTATACAGGCAATAATAGGATGGGTACTGTTGTAATTAGCTAACCACTAGAGCAAAAAGTTAGGGTTATTAAAACGCTTACCGAGGATCTTCATTGGGTATGAAATTATTCACGTTTTCTATACATAAAACTATTAAAAGTACTCTGGAGATAGAATCAAATTTTGATGACTTATTATTATTGTTTCAGTGCTGATAAACTTCGAAAGTTCGATCACAAAACGATCATCGATCGCACGAAGGTGAGTACTGTTTCCAGTTCGATTGAAAAAAACGAATGTTATTTACGAATTCCGGTCGATAAAAGGTCGTACTCCGTCCTGTGAACGAGACCGAAAAACGCGACCCGTACGTGACGGAACAAAAGAGATTCCGTAGGTAGATCAGAACAGAAACCCGATGATAATAAATCACCGGATGATTTTCATGACGGGGATTTAATGACGGCCGTTTAATCTGCCTTGTGGAGCGTTTACATATTCAACACTTTGGCTTTGTTCTTTTTCGATGAATTTTTACGTTTATTACCCGCGTAAGTTCAATGAAATCGGAATTAATTTTTACATTTCTAATAACATTTAACTAGATAGTTACTTACTGATAATTTCTGTGTATTTTTATAAATCTGTTTAAGTATAATAAAGTGGCAAATGGGTCAAACATAAAGGCGGTACATCTGGCTACCATCTTTATCGCTGCTATTGTTATTTATAACTTTCCTGCCATCAGGCGGTGTGGTCCTTGAATCGAACAATACAAGGGGGGTGAAACCATGCAAATCGTAACACTCGGTACCACTTCTTGTCTCGGGGCATTTTAAGTACGCCGTATATGGTTTTAGTTACCGGAAGACGATTGTATTATACAAAAAAAAATATAAGAGACTTCGAAACACGTGCATAAGCACGAGCAGCGGTTATTAATTATTTTTTTATACACTGTAGAAATGTTATTTTATTGATAATAATGCTCTAGATATGAAATGTTTCAAGTGTTAGAAACATGGTGTAATTTTGTGTTACCTCGTATATTTCAACGCTTATATTTACGGATACGAACACCAGATGAATTTAGAATTCAACACATGTTGGAAATATACTGGCAAAAAGGAACGAAGGGGTGGCGTCTGTTTCTATTCAATTTTCGTTTCCTTGTGTGCTTGCACATCTGCTTGCTCCAGCGAAATTTTGTAAGAATAATATTTTATCGCCTCTCGAGATTTTTTTTCATTTTACTATCGCGGAGTATTTCTCGTAAAATTACCCAGTAAATTTTTTAAAGAACAATCGACCATAAATGTAAATTGTATTCACTTACTTCGAAAGCAATTACGTGCGTTTAATGCGCGAGGAATACCTACTTAGAGAAAATTAAAGTTAACCATCTACTTATTAAAACATAACGATTTTATAGCGAATAATAAACACTTCCATTAAGACCGTTTATGTCTATACATCACCTGGTTTATAAAAATAAATCAGTACTAACAATATTGGCATAAATCGTAGAGCGATTCCAACTCGAATTCGTAGTGTACGGCCGGCTATAGCACATACAAATTAGCATATTATAAGTCGCTGGCGTTTTTTTTTCCATTTTAACTGTGATGTGAACACGATCTACCAGGAGACTTCCGGCGAACCGGCGGCGCATTCTTGGAGTCGCGGTCGCGCGTCTCCGACTCCGTTTTTATCCAGCACTTTTAAAACTTTAATGCGCTCTCGTCTAGTCCGATCGAATAAATGAGTATTAACCGTTGCGATCGGTGCCGAGCCACTTCGGCGACAAATGTACTTATAAACACCTTTTGCCATTTACCATCGAACACGAATCTACTGCGATGGTAATTGTAATTGCAGCAGTAGATAAAATATAGTCGTCAACACGTTGATTAGATGTATAATAAGCGCCTTGAGAGTTAATATTGAAAGAGTGATTCAGCACATGATGGGAAATTAATAGAATTAATTACAGGAAATTGTTTTTTTTCGTATGAAGAACCCTTCGAAGGCAATTTAAATTCATTAATACGCGTAACATAGGGGAAGGAAAGTCTGAACCAACGTAATTTCAATTTAATTCTACAAATACAATATTCTCGTTTTATTAAACAATTTCTGAAGAAGTGCCCTGTGGAAGGGTGGGAAAATTCGGTGCACTGTGGTCACTAATGAGAGGTATTTCAAGTTCTTTCATATTTAAATCGAGTGGACTAACAATAAAGACAGTAATCCCACTTTGATTTCAATCAATCCATCCCCATATTCAATGGCGTATCCGCTTAAAAATGACAGAAAAATTCCTCGTGAATTAATCGTAAAAAAACTATCACGAGACTCTCAAACTCTAAATAGCGCGTTAATAAAAATTTAGTAGATAATTATTGAAAGCGATTTTTAAACTACTCCACCGGGGGTTCTCTTCAAACATGGCACAAAAGAAGACGTTTATGGATGTTTTCTTTACATTTTTTTTTGGGAAGGATGATACCGTCGAAATGTTTATTCAAAGGCTCGGAGGTTACGGTCCGAGTGATCCTATCAAATTTCTTTATCTTCCTTCTTTTATGCCCGATTGTACGAGGCGCATAACGCGTTTATTATTCTTATGCATATTTGAATGTTTGTATAGAAAGAATGCTATTTCGGGGTTAGTATACTTTAGCATTTTTTGTTATAATTTAATAATCGCTTTGGATGTCGAGTTATTTACGATTTTTAATAGCTACTGAAATTATATAGCGCGTAATTTAAGCCCGAATGTAGAGGTAAACCCACCCCACATGTAACTGGATACCCAGCACTCGAAAACTCCCCACTGATAAACTGCTACTACAAATTTTCAGCAGCCCTTAAGTACCCAAATATGAACGATTGCATGGCTAAAAGCGTGCGTTATTGACTTTAGATCGAACAGAACAGATGTTTCGTGTTATGTTGTAGCGAAATATAATACGACTCTAATTTATTTTATTTATCTTGTCGACTAATTGTTTTTTCGAAAACAAAGCGAGCATTAAAGACCGCGGTTTGTGATGAATTTCTTACGCGGAAACGCGTCGTAAAATCCCCAAAAAAAGTATCCCATCGTCGATGGACGTTTCCGCGTTAATTCGATCGTAAAATTTCAACCGAATCGGTTGTGATAACGTCGGATTATATGCACTCCGATGCGCCGCTACCGCACATGCATCTGAGTCATTTTTTTAATGGCGCTGCGATATACAAAGAGACGAGTCTTTGGAGGATTTCGAAGTATGTTGACCTTTCTTATAGATGTGTGCAATCGTGTTGTTGCACGGCGCAATAATGCTGAATGCGATTGCATAATATACGCTAATTGTTGGTGCACTATACAGGAGAAGGCAATGATTAGATTCTCTATATTCATTCGAATCGTAAAGCAATATCGATGACAATAACATTAATAACGGTTGGTTTGGAATAAATTAAATGGAAAGGAACGTACTTGTGTCCTTGCGAACTCGGTATATGTGTAGAACAAGTTCGCTCGTGTCCGTTGATTTTTTTTAACGACATTTCGAACGGGTGTTAATTCGTTTAGCGACGATGTGATACTTGCCTCTACCTATTAATAGGTTTGAGCTCTCGAAATGGGGATTTTTTGCGCTATTATTTCGATTGCGAATGGCGATAAATCGTTTAATAAATGTATGGACGTTAATGAAACACGCGGATGTCACTAACCTCTTGGAGTCGTTAGCGGCTGGTTTTCTCACGAGGAGCAAAAGGCGGTTCTCTTGCACTTTGCAGCACATGCAAATGCCTGGTAATAGAAATGTGCCTTGTCATTTTGATCTCGGTATATGGGGAAATTTATGCAGAGGTCGATTCAATGTAGAGAATATGATTTTTTTTTGAACGGTGCATGGATTAATACGAGTAAATTTTTATGTAAACATCAAATTTTATTCAACAAGAAAATGTAATAAGAGTTTCATTAACATTTTAGTAGACCATTGGGATTCTGCCGTAGCCGAATTGTTGGTTGACGAAACGGGTTTGTTCGTATTGTTGGGGAACCATTTGGCGTTGTTGGTAGATTCCCTGGGGGTAGGTGTGTTGGTAGTATTGTTGTTGGTAGTATTGTTGTTGTTGTTGTTGTTGTCCCAATTCTCTGAGTACTTCCATCTTCTCCAATTGTTCCAATTGTTCCAATTGGTGCAATTGTTTAAGTTGTTGCCATTGTTGGGGAACGTATTGGCCTTGGTATTGTTGGGGAACGTATTGACCTTGGTATTGTTGGTAGTACTGTTGTCCCTTGATGAGTCCCATGTTGTTCATGAAACGGGTCAATGGGGAGACTTGGGTTTGGGTGTATCTGTATTGGTTCATTGGCTCGACGATTTGTTCGAGTTCTTCTACTTTCAATACATCAACGGGGTTGACTTTTCCTACGAGCCTTTCGAATTGGATTTTTTGTTTCAATTGTTGGAGGAGTACTTGGCGTTGGTAGGGAGTCATGTATTTGATGTTCCTGTTGTAAATTTTAAATTGTTATTAAGAATTATACGTTAATTTAACAAAAATTACTTACCATAATCCTTGGATTCCAAAGAATTTTTGGTAAGGCAATACGGTTTTGTATTGGTTCAAACCGTATACACCTTGTACCGGTACGACTCCACTGTAATTAAGTAAAAAATGAGCACAATTGCAAATTGACAAAAGAGTTTTACCTACCTAACTTGGTGCATTTTGTTGTATACTTGGGTGGGGTATTGGACACCTTCGGTCAATTGTTCCCTAACGACGTTGTCGACGATGCGTTCGGCTTCATCTTTCTTCATCTCTTCGACCAAATGGATTTTCTCGAAGGTCTTCAAGGCCTCGAGGACGGCTTGGTGAACGTATCCGTGTCTTACCAAAGTTTCGACCTTCTCCAAGAGCACCAAGTAGGTGGGTTCATCTACGATGCCTTCGTATTGACGGAAGATGTGAGCGAGGATCGAAGCCTGGGTGATCACTTCCTTGGGCAGGTTGTGGGCGAATCTGGCGTCCAAGAAGTTGAAGGGCACGTTCTCGATGTTGTTGGTCATCTCGTCGATTTGGATTTTCCTGGCGATGCCGAACGGGCTCTTGAAGATGATGTCGAGTTTTCCGGGATTGACGATGGATTGGTAGATGTTGAGTTCCCTACCTTGGATACCAGTGACGGTAATAGTGCCATCCTCTCCTACAGTAACATGTCTGTTAGCTGTAAGGGGAGTTGAGTAGCAAAGGGCTACGAGAGATAGAACGACTAATACCTTCATTGTAATGCACTGGTTAGTGAATGTGCCTTTCGTTGGTCTCGGACGGGTATTTATACAAAATTTTTGTGGAATTGTTTACTTGTTTCTTGAAATTTATCACACTTGACAACACTTTCGGTTTAATCGTAAATCGTCAGGTCATCGTAAACGTAAAGGGCAGTGATTGTAGTCTTTTTCTTTAATTATTAATAGATTGTTTATTCTTATTTTTAATTCGATAACAGGAGTATATCGATTTCGAAATTATTAATTACATTTTCGTGTAATACACGAACAGTTTTTGTACTTCGCTTTTGTGATGTTTCACATATAAATCCAGCGAAATTAAGGTCAAAATGACAAATTTCGTTAGTAGGCATTTGCATCCGGCAATCACCACACCATTAGCAAACATAATTTGTAAACAATGCGACCGCATTTAATTTTTTTTTTTGTTATAAAAATATACACCGGACACTAAAACCAGATAGATATCAATTTCAGCTTAAATTCCTTCCACATATGTATCAACACCACGAAATCCAACAAATCCCCGATTAATTAATCCCGCAATTTATTTAACGTTTCGTTTCGTAATCCAACGATAACGATCTCTCTTATTTCATAGACCACAAATTTAAATTCCGACAAATTTTTCGTAACATTAATCTTCATCATTAAAATTCCCGGCACATTTTAGTCCCAAATGACTATGTAACTAATTTAACGGCGACAATATAGCTATAACATATTTATTATACAGAGAGAAGAACTGAAAGAATATCGCATAGACGTAACGATACAAATTACACCAGTAAAAAGCTTTAAATTCCCTTAAAAGCTGGAGTTAATTCTGGTTTGATATCTTGTAGAATTCATATCGATTCGTGATGATTATAATAGTTAAGTAGTGGAAGTGAGGGGTGTTAAATAAATGAGATTTTTGAGACAGTTCCGCGCCTATGGCAGAAATTCGACCGCACAAAGACGTGGAATACACACAAAAAGGAACGAAATAACCGACAAAAGTGACGTGATCATACAGGAATCCTCGTTTTATCGCTGCAACATTCCTTTTTACTGGCGATCGAGAAACGCGAGAATTAAAATCTAAACTCTTTCTTCGGCCGGACACACCGCGAGCAGGTTAATACCTGTTTTGTTTGCTTCGAATTGCGATCGAATGAATCGCCTTAACGATTTTTGTCAACCTACGAGTTTCTGTATGTACTACATAAAAGTGTGTACAATGCGGAAGAAAATGTTATTATTTTTCTCTCTAGTTTTATTAATTTTTCTCATAGCGAGTGGAAAAATGTTGGGATATTTCGCGAATGGAATTGAAAGTGAAATTGATAAAAAAAAGTTTATTGAACCCTCTATTGCGCGATATCTCTTTAGAACTATCAACTTCGGACGTTAGAAATTGATAATAATTTATGCGATAACCGAGAGGTTAATTAGTAAAAGTATTTTTAAGTAATATATCTTTGACATTACAATGATCGCACGAAAATTATTAACCGAACGATATCGATTAATTTATTTCAAAATTCGTCGTATCGGTGTTTACTTGTTCGCCGGTTATTGATTGATTATTGGAATTTTTTCTGCCCATAAAGAAAAATTAAATTTTCCCACCAAATTCCAGATACCAGAATAAAATTTCCAATTCCCACATAATCCCCGAATCGCTAATAAATTAAATACTAAGTTTTCGGAACGCCTCGTATTACTAACGTATGCGAACTAACGTTTCTTGTAGCCTACGCTATGAAATGTTAAGTACAAAATACAACGAGAGAATGGCCATGTAGCCTTCATTGCGAATTGAATCTCGAACGTTTGATGCCTTCGGGCAAGGTCACTTTCGATCGGAGTCGAACAGGAACTCTTTCGAAGACGAAACCGTCGATAAAAAGAAAATTCTCGTCGATACCTATTCGGTCACATTTGCAGGTTTTAGATCGACGAGCCTAAAAAGGTTATTAAACGAGCGGTGATTTGCTAAAACCTGTTCGTCCATAATAGTTTATTTCGTCGAGAAATATTAACGTGTTTAATTAAAAATTTTTATTTAATATCGAAATAGATATTAACAACTATCAGTTAATAAAGAATATTGTTTTTCTAAACAAATTTTGTTTTTGAGTAATTAACAAGTGTACCTAATCTACATCCTTTCTGCGTTTGATGACCTATGTTTATCGAGATTATTCCTTCAATACGTGTTGTCAAGGGTGATATTAAGTAGATATTTCGTAAAAATTTTAGTATAAAAATCGTTGGACTTTTAGAAAAAAATCACATTCACTAACGAAGTGTATAACGATGAAGGTATTAGTTGTCTTATCTCTCGTAGCTCTTTGCTACTCAACTCCCCTTACAGTTAACAGACATGTTACTGTAGGAGAAGATGGCACTATTAGCATCATCGGCACTCAAGGTAGGGAACTCGAGATCTACAAATCTCTGGTCGATCCCACCAAATTGAACCTCATCATCAAGAGCCCGCTCGGCGTCAGGAAGATCGAAGTCGACCAAACCAACGATATCGAAAATGTGAACTTCAACGTTTTGGACGCCAGATTCGCCCACAACCTGCCCAAGGAAGTGATCACCCAGGCTTCGATCCTCGCTCACATCTTCCGTCAATACGAAGGCATCGTAGATGAACCCACCTACTTGGTTCTTTTGGAGAAGGTCGAAACTTTGGTAAAACACGGATACGTTCACCAAGCCATCCTCGAAGCTTTGAGAACCTTCGAAAAGGTCCAAATGGTCGAAGGATTGAAAATGGAACAGACCAAGAACATCGTCAGCCACATCGTCAGAGAAAAATTGGCCGAAGAAAGCCATATCCCCACCAGAATGCTCACTCAAATGCACCAAGTTAGGTAAGTAAAACTATTTCATCAATTTACAATTGTGCTCATTTTTTACTTAATTACAGTGAAGTCGTACCGGTACAAGGTGTATACGGTTTGAACCAATACAAAACCGTATTGCCTTACCAAAAATTCTTTGGAATCCAAGGATTATGGTAAGTAATTTTTGTTAAATTAACGTATAATTCTTAATAACAACTTAAAATTTACAACAGGAACATCAAATACATGACTCCCTACCAACGCCAAGTACTCCTCCAACAATTGAAACAAAAAATCCAATTCGAAAGGCTCGTAGGAAAAGTCAACCCCGTTGATGTATTGAAAGTAGAAGAACTCGAACAAATCGTCGAGCCAATGAACCAATACAGATACACCCAAACCCAAGTCTCCCCATTGACCCGTTTCATGAACAACATGGGACTCATCAAGGGACAACAGTACTACCAACAATACCACGGCCAATACGTTCCCCAACAATGGCAACAACTTAAACAATTGCACCAATTGGAACAATTGAAACAATTGGAGAAGATGGAAGTACTCAGAGAATTGGGACAACAACAACAACAACAATACTACCAACAACAATACTACCAACACACCTACCCCCAGGGAATCTACCAACAACATCAAATGGTTCCCCAACAATACGAACAAACCCGTTTCGTCAACCAACAATTCGGCTACGGCAGATTCCCATTGGTACACTAAAATGTTAATGAAAACCTTATTACATTTTATGTTGAATAAAATATGATGAATCCATAAAAAATTTACTCGTTTTACTTTTCTACCAGTAATGAAATGCAAAACACTAATATTTAATTATTACTGTTAAAAAACAGTGGATATTTAAATGTTTAAACATTATTAAATACACTGTATGTCCACGCATCAAAGGACATTTTCATTTTTTATTATTAACATAAGCTATTGTAAATATGTTGATTGAAGATAAACTAAAAAAATACAAACCAAACCACTATCTCATCGAGGATCATTTCTTTCCTCTTCAACACAATGAGTTCGTACAAGATAAATTTGCTTTCGGAAATTCTATTATCTCTCTAAATCATTAACACTTTTACGTTGAGCAACGCAGCATTTAAGGCACTAAAATAAACGAAATTGATTCTTGGAAGAATTCCAAAATTGTCGACAAAAGCCGAACAGAACGGAAAAAATGCAATAATATCTTAATCTGTGAAATATGTTGCAACGACTATAAATAATATTTTATGGCTTGTATACTTCATTTTTATAAAACACCCTACTGGAAATTTATGTATAGATTAGTAACCCCGCGTATTTTCGTAAGAATTTTATCGACATTGACCCACGATTATTTCAAAGGTGTTGTCAAGGACGATGAAATCTCTTCAAACGCTATAAATAGTCACTAAATTCGATCGAAAAGTACATTTCGCGGATAGAACACCAAAATGAAGGTACTTGCAATTCTATCGCTCATCGCTGTTTCCTGTTCGGCCCAGTTCTCCAGCGGCCAACGCGTTTTATTCGGAGAAGATGGCACCATCACCATAACCGGCCCCTTAGGTAGGGAAATATTAATCAACAAGAACATCTACTATCCAGGGAAAGTCGATATCACGCTAATGGACCCTAAGGGAATGACGAGGAAATTCCAAATCGACGAAATCCAAGGCACTGTTATGCCTAAAGCATTTGGAATGTTACCATTCCAGAGCTATTCCACCCAATTCGAAGGTTTGACTCGCCTTTTCCGTCAGTACGAAGGCATGATGATGGACGAAATAATGCTCGAAACGCTCTTGAAACAGATCGAACTCATGACCAAAACAGGCCTCATCCACCTATCTGTATACGATGTCCTGAAGAATTTAGAATACTTGTTTATGCTGGAAGAAATGAAGAAGATGCAAGGGAGTCCTTTAATCAATAAAATCTACACTTTAAACTACATGAAAAATATTCCGATAGATGGAGAATCCAGTAACAATAAAGAAGCTGCTACGATGCCTGAACAAACCACTTGGTAAGTAATTTGAATATATTTTCTGAGGTTGTTAAAATATGGATTATATCAGGAAAGCAAATCTTCTCCAACGCATGATGCAACAAAACCAAATGGAAATGATGGCTGGAAATGTGTCTCCGGGATTCCAACGCGTAGTGATCATGCCCCCGATGGGCATGAACAAATTCTGGAAATTCATCGGAAAGGAAAGCTGGAATCCGGGTCAATGGATGGAAACTCCGGAATACGGGAGTTTGGAACGAATGGTTCAACAGCGAATGATTCTTCCGCAAGAACTCGACATGATGAAAATGATGATGATGAACAAAATGATGATGTAAACATTTGTTGATTGATTAAAGTAATAAATAAAATTTAGTAAATTAGCATCGAGTTGTATTTTTTGACTTTCCAAAAACTACTTGTTACATAAAATAACAATTAATCAGTTTTTAATAAATATATTTTATCAAATCTAATTCCTAAAATAAACCTAGAAATTTAATAATTATTATTCAATAATTGACGTACGCACCTAAATATTAGGTAATTGACATAATCAATTATTATCACTTACTAAATGTCACGGATTAATCAAAATATTCTAAAAACATTCTATTAATGGTACTAGCAAATAAACACAAATTTTCAATAACAGAATAATCATCGGATCAAATATTAGCAGACGATGTAATTATCATAAATTAACGACCAATTTTACCTGCAAAACTCTTCCAAGAATCTCATAACAAAGAAATTGAAAGAAACTAAAAACTGAAACATGGAATTAGAAAATGATGATGCAATTTCACATACCCTTACACACTAAAATGTCATTAACCCACCCAATCGTTTACATGTTAAGGCAGACATCTAATCAGCAATTATCACGACAATATTTCTGTAAATATATTTTTTACCAATTATATTAATCAATAAACGCAAATTAATAAACATTCCGCCCTAAAAATTCGGTATAAAAAACTATCCAGACCGGCCAATCCTCACATTCGTACTCGAACGTTCAGCAAAGATGAAGGTGCTAGTTCTTCTTTCGTTGGTTGCCTTCAGCGCTGGCTCCGCCATACCGAGCTCCAGGCAAGTCTGGGCCGAGGAAAGCGGAATCCTCCGCTTCGTTGGACAAAACGGAAGGGAAATAGACGTGTTCCAGAGCTCCATAAACCCCGGAAAACTGGATGTTGTCATCAAAAAACCGTCGGCACCCGCCAGGATCCTGCAAATCGACAACGCAGGCGAAGGGCAATTCCCTCAAGTGGGATTGCTGGCTGAAATAATCAGACAACAACAGGGTCTCGTGAACCAACAGTCCTACTCGAGCGCGTTGGGAAAAATTCAGAATTTAATCCAACAGGGAGCCGTACATCCGTCCATCTACCAAGTATTGAGGAACTTGGAAGCAGAAGAACTACGCGCCTTCGACCAAGTCCAACAGGAATCTCCCGCTCGACGATTCCAATGGATCCTCCAGTCTCTCAACCGCCAACCACAATACCAGAACTTACCTTGGAAACAACAACAAGGTCCATTCCAACGATTCGCCCGAAACCAACAAGGACTCCAATACAATCCGGTATTCGAAAAACAACAAAGATTACAGCAAATCCAACTCGAATCCGTTCCGGTACAGCAACAGCTCCAGCGATTGGAACAAGGAGCCCAGCAGATCCAGCAATTGCAGCGAGAAATCCAACAATTGCGGCAACTGGAAGGATACCAACAAGCTATCCAACAACAACCTCGAAAGTTTCAACAGGCCCAACAACAGCAACAACTTCAAAAGTTGGTGCAACAGGTCCAACAACAGCAGCAACTTGAAAAGTTGGTGCAACAGGTTCAGCAACAGCAACAACTTCAAAAGTTGGTGCAACAGGTCCAACAACAACTCGTAAATGAAGAAGGTATTGAACAGAGGCAGGAAAATGAGCAGTGGCAGAGAATTGGCGCCCAGGAATGGCAGCAAGCGGAGAAATTGGGGCAAGAGGCTCAGCAATTGCAGAGAATCGGAGGTCAGGAATGGCAGCAAGCGGAGAAATTGGGGCAAGAGGCTCAGCAGTTGCAGAGAATCGGAGGTCAGGAATGGCAGCAAGCGGAGAAATTGGGGCAAGAGGCTCAGCAGTTGCAGAGAATCGGAGGTCAGGAATGGCAGCAAGCGGAGAAATTGGGACAGGAGGTTCAGCAATTGCGGGAAATCGAGAATGCTGAACAACAAATTGTACAAGGTGTTCCGCAATACTGGAGAGGAAGATCGGGATTTCCGGCGCTTTTCCAGAGAGGACAGAGATTTCCTCAGCAACAGTTTGGATTTTAGTCGAGAAGAATATTGTTGATATATTAAATTGGCTTTATCGTATTGTACCCAATGTTTTTGTTTGAATAAATAATGCAATAGTAATGAACATATTTTTTTTTATTTTGGGCTATGTATGCAGGAGTAAAAATCCCTATTATTAATCCGGGTTATTAAAAATGGTATACTTATGTGTTAAAATAATTACAGAAATCATATTTCTTAGGAAAATAAACTGTGCATTTGTGCTCTATTTATTACTATTAAATGATAATTTTAATCTAGATGTGCTAGATTAGAAAATAATCTATTATTTAGCAGATTTTATAATAATCAGGTTCATCCAAAAACTAATAATTAGAAAATAACATAGTTGTATTTAAAGAAAATATTCTTTTAGTTTTCTTCCACTTCACGAGTTCATTAAAATTGTTCCTAGACCATTGTACCTAATGATAACTACTAGCGTATTGTTCAAATTCATAGGCATTGATTTTTTTTCTATTTTACTTTTAAACAATAGAATTTGACATGACAATGTTCCTACTCGAATTATTCTATTGTCTAAAAATCGAAAGTGATTTATCGATTTATTTTAAAATGAACCGCGAGTTAAGTTTGAAGCAGCTTGTATGGATATTTAAACCATACTGCCTAAATATAAATTCGATATAAATTATAAATTAAATTAGATGATTAATTTGACAATTCGACGCATACTTATCTTCTTTTTATAATTATAACACATTCTTGAGCCAAAAATAATACGAAAAGTTGATAAAAACATTCCTGAACTAAAAATAATTAAATGTTAAGAAATCATACTGGAAACTTTTTATTAAAGTAATTACTGCAAACACCAACGAGAAAAAGAAAACAAAACAAAAATCCGGATTGTCAATGCATCAATCAACAGGCTAAAATTAAACTTTCCCATTCAATAAATTAAACTTATCACCACCGCAACTATTTTTCCATAAACCCAACGCGACACAGTATAGGTGAAATGTAATTAAACGCGTTGTGCAAGATACATGTCTCCAACAGCGATAACTCGGATAAAGTGCGACAAACAAAACGTGAAATTCGTATAAAAACACCAACCACTCGCCACCATAACCATCATTCAATCTTCAACCAAGATGAAGACGTTCCTAATCCTTTCTTTGGCCGCGGCTTGCTTCGCCCAAATCCCCTACCAAGGCAAGCACGTCCTGGTGAGGGAAAACGGCATCACCATCAAGAGCGACAACGGCAGGGAAATCGACTTGTACAAGAGCGCCCTCTACCCGGGGCACGTCGAGCTACATCTGAAAACCCCCTACGCCCCGTCGAGGAAAATCCAAGTGGACCAGGTCAACAACATCAACCCCTCGGACGTCGAATATTCACACGGCCAATACGATGTTTTGAGCCACCTCTTCCACCCCTACCAGGGGTTAGTGGACGCCATCAGGTACGAGGAATTGTTGGAGAAACTCCACAAATTCGTACAAGCCGGTTACGTCCACGAAACCATTGGAGATATTCTAAGACACTACTGGACCCAACAATCGCACCAATACCCTCAAGCAGAATACGAGTAAGAATTTATAGGTACAACCAATCGGAGTTATTAATAATATATTATTCCAGACACGCCACTCCTTACTGGCAAAAATGGAACCAATACATCCACAGGTAATTAACCAATAATTATGTGATTAACAGGTATAATTATCAATTATTTTTAGCCCCGCTTTCCAAACCATCTCGCCCGTTCAACGCCTTCACTTCTACCAGCAACAACACCAATACCCCCAAACTTACTACCCCCAAACCTACTACCCCCAATCTCACTGGTACAAGCAGTACGAGCCTGAGCACGAAACGTACCAGGAACACCGAGCCTTCCCGAGGTCTGGCGTCGAGGTAGGGAAATGGGAGCACCCCTACCAGTACTACAAATGGCAACAGCAATCCGCTTGGGGTCCCTGGGCCCACCAGCAACAATACTACGCCGGTGGGTACCAAGGACAGCAATGGTGGAACCCCCAACAACAGTGGAACAAGCCCTACCAGCACCAAGCCTTAATCGAAGGGTACTGAACTTGTTGAATTTGCATTGTATGTTGTTATATTGAATAAACGAGCATAGTAACACTGGTGTTTTGATAATTTGAATAGCAATCTTTGATTTAAAAAATAACATGTGCTGCATCAATAATAAAGACATTTTTTTAGTTATCCCAATAAACAAAATAGGCTGTTTAACAACTATAGTAGTTTAAGCAGCTAATCTTATACAGGCTGAACAATTGTCGAATATACATAATGATGTAACGTCTTTTCAGTTCTTAAATAGGCAAATATTGTGAACTGGTTTAGCTATCGCCGATTTGTAGCAAAGTTGATTTTACGTTTATTCTAAAGCTAAAATGAAAAAAAATGTCCTCTTCAGCTCTTTATTCAGCTGTCCAAAATAAATTCAACAAAGCTCTACAGAGGTGTACCTAGATTTTGACTGAACAAATACTTATTCAGCATATTGTTCAACAGATTGCTTAACCAGTGAAAGCAGTAGGTTATGCAGCCGTTAATCAGCCCAAATACTGAATAAGATATTAAATCAGCTAATCATTGTTGGGATATCTTGTCGAATTCAAAACATTTATTGCTCCAATGTACAAATTGATAATAAAACAAATTATTCAAATTTATTTTCAATAAATTAATTAGCTAATAAATAATTGTTTATTTTTATTGACCACTTATACCACTATCATAAATGATAAATGACAAGGGTAAACGTTGAGTAAGATTTTTTTTGGAAATCGCCCAGGACTGTACGAAGCGCATAAAAATTAATTTATATCACAAATTTCATCGTTCATGGCCAAAATGGTCATATGTTCAAAATATTTAATGCATTTTTTCTAGAGTATGTTCAAAATAAATTAAATAGTTACAAATATTTGCATCAAGTTTTAAAAAATTATATAAGGTTATAAGTTATAAGCCATCAGTACTGTACCTATTCATTCAGTCTTTAACTACATTATTATACATATTGTAACATTCTATGTACACTCCTCAAGAAGAAAATAATCTAAGTTAATATTAAAAAAAAGTGTCACATATTAATAATTTTTAATTAAGTAATAGTTAAATAGTCAAATAGTTTCCTTCAATTTTTCTATGAGCTTTTTTGAAGCATAAGAAACCTCCCTACGTAAGAAATTAAAGTACAAACACAACTTATGAGAATCAATTATTTAGATACGACCCTGATTATGATTATACAATCTTCTGCCAATATTATGAAAATTATTTACTTTTTGATTATTAACTCCACGTGCATATTTCCAAAGCCACGCATATATCTCTCGGTATAAATAGGAGAACCCTCCAAAAAAACTGCAATCCAGTACAAGATGAAAACCGTACTAGTTCTTCTGTCGCTCATCGTAGCCTACGCTTCATCGACGTTCGTCGGTAAGCACGTCGTGGTGAACGAAGACGAGACGATCTTGGTAATCGGCGAGCACGGCAGGCAGATCAGAGTCAACAAGCACGGCCCCAACCCGAAAATGGTCGAAATCATCCTCAAAACGCCGTACTCCTACTCCAAGAAAATCCTCATCGACGGCGCCCGCTTCGCGCCCAAATTCAAGCCCCAGCTGCTCGATCCGAAGCTCCTCAAGCTGATCACCTTCGACAACAAGCCGGTGTGCCAGCACAACTTCCTATCGCACGTCTTCCGCCAGTACGAGGGATTGCTGGAGCAAGGCCAGTACGATCGGTTGATGAAGGACGTCGATAATTTGGTACTAGCTGGCGCCATACAGGAACCCATCAGGACCATTCTCAAGACTTTCGACGAGAAGCTGCCGCAGCTCATTCAACAGCACTGGATTTACCAGTTCGAAGAGTACGTTCCGCGCGAAGATGAATTCGGGTAAGACCACGATTCGCTATATCGATGGTGGCGATTAAATTTATTTTTCGTTTAGTTTAACGCCTTTGGAAGAGAAAATCCAGCCGCATGTGCACACCAAGCAGCAGCAAACCGATGAAACCTACCCGCCTATGCTACTTGCAGGGAATGTTTAGTAAATGTGATAGATTTAAAGGATCGTATATAGTTAGCAAATTTTTGATTTTAACGTGTTTCTACTCTCATCTTCATTTGTTACTGATAATTCATTGATTAATAAATATGTTTAATTAAAAAAATTAACATGCAATTTTAATATAAATACAAGAAGATATGGTGCAATAAACGGATAAGAATTCTATATAATGATAACTTTAACGAATGAGCACAGTTACTTGGCATATTCGAAACGTTCGAGATAAAAGTGTTAATTCCTTTATCTGCAGTAGATATTTACTTAACAGTGCAAACAATCAGCTGAAGATGGTTAGAAGAGACAAATCCAGAATTCAGATCAACGAAAACGGAGCTAAAATCGTCAAGTTCCTCCTTCCTCCTAATTAACCAACAGGTCAATTACTCAATTAATCAAAACGCAATTTAGAATACCGAAGTAGGCACTCGATGTAGGTGTAAATGCGACAAGAAAAGGTCAACGAGTCCCGGTTAAAAATCGCCATCCTCCGCTCTCGCCCGAACAAGACGGTGCAAGCGCGAACTGGTCAATTTCGGATCCGAACCAAAGAGATACTTTCGAAATAAAAAAAAAATTAATAACAACAAAAACGCGTACGTTACAGTTTGTACGAGTACAGTTGAAGATGGCCTGTCGGTTGGGCTTCGAAAACGCCTACTTCCACTTGTCGGAACGTGTAATAGTTATGCCGCGTTGCCACGTTCACTATAAAATACCCAGATCTTATCTAAATCAGATAATCCAATCTAAAGTTACCTAAAGATAAGCTCTAATGTAACTAACCTAAAAGTTACTAGAGTTTACAAAGAGGATCGGTTGAAGTAATGAGGATATATTAGAGTATGCATAGAGGATCTTTAAGGATGTGTTAAGTAATGAGGATGTATTAGAAATAAGTAGTTGTAGAAGTTTAATAGACTTCGACAACATCGCCGCGGAAAGCATTGAATAGGAACAGCTGTTTGGTGAATGGGTAGTGGGAGAAAGGACACAGAAAGGCCGATTGAGCACAAACACGCAACAATTCAAAACAGAAAACGGTTTTGTTTAGTTTACTCCGGGGCTCGGTCGACGGCGGTTCGTTTCGTTCGACAGTATTTTCGTGGATTCCCCCAAGTTGATCGGCGCGCAGGATTTCCTCGTACATGACCGGTCGACGGTGCTAGTGCAGGAAAAATGGTCCGCAGTTTGGCCCAATGGACGAAAACTCTGAGCTTCCCGGCTAGAATATCGCCCAACAAGGCGGCCAAGGATCGCGTCAACATCCACCAAGTCAGCCCAACGATTACCCCGACTTTGAGCAACAATTCCCTGTCGAAAAACAACGAAATCAACACCATGATGAACAATCATGCCTCGTTAAGCGAAGTCAATCAAGTGAGTTTCTAATTTTTTTGCGTGGAGTTTCTCGTTGTTTTCTGTAAGTAAATGCGCTTTAAAAGCGATCGGATTTTACCGAGCGAGCGCAAAATTGCATACCGCTGCAAATTTTTGCATCATTCGATTTGTGTGTAAACGACCGTTCGCCAGGTGTTTGTCCTTCTTTTCTGCAGAAACAGGATACAGTCGAACAAGAACAAACAAGTTCGCGATTACGAATTGTTAGTTGTCGCGATATATGCGACACGCCTGATAAGAATTTTTATTATTTTTAACGACAAATTCATCATTAAAATATTTGCGAATATTAAAATATGGATCGTTCCTTGAGAAATACTATTTCTTAGGTACGAGTACGGAGTGATTATTTGCAACGTTTTATCTTTTTACGCGGAAAATTTCCACAGAAAGTAACTGGGTTGTTGTATTGGATGAGGCGTTACGTAAAGAGCAATTAAAAATGTTTGTACCATTAGGTAGGGCTCGGAGATATAAATTGTAATCGAAGAAAGTGTTGAAAAATTACGATCAATTAAATTGCAATTGACCTCAATTGCGATTTTAAACAAGGTGATTGATTTTAAATCGATGACATAGATATAGTTTTGCTAGATTGCTAGTTGACGAATCCGCTCACACACTCATCGAAAATTCTTGCTGGTTTAATAAAACTGTTGACGCAAAAATTTATTTATAATTATTTACCTACTCCGTCAAGTATGAAATCGTTGCATAAATATTATTTACTCGGCAAAAGAGTTGCCTTTTTTGTCAATTTCCGAATACCTTTCACCGGTAATTTTCAACGGTTGATCGTTATTTTGAAAGTTTCCAGCATTAAAAGCGATTTAGCGTTTCGTATTGTAAATACAAGCCAGCTCTTATTTACCCATTTCTGGATCTGTTTGTGTTAGATACCGAGCCCTTTGTGATTGCGCCGTTTATTTACGACCGATTCAGTTAACTTTTTCGAAAATTTATGGCCCTTCTATTCGGTATAATTTCTCGACGTTTCAATTTGGGGCGCGTTGCCAGCTTGTTAGTAATCGGTGAATTACAAACGAGAAAAAAGAATAAAGTAGTCGACCTACCGCATCGAATTTTATGGGGTAGTAAAATGACTCATATTAAAAAAATGTATAATTAATTCTGAAGTATATGTGATATTATAGAGCCCGTTTTAAGGGTTGTAGTTGTAGAGTTATATGGATGTATGAATTCTGCTTTTAAACGATATTTTTCGAAAATAATGAGTATCTAAAAGAGCAGGTAAAGATTCCTTTCCTTTACTCATTACTTTTATGATTTATGCATAATCGCAAGATAACATTCAACGTTATGCTAATGGGTGAGTTGAAAATGTTTGAAACAAATTGAGTTTGAAATCAATAAACTTCCTAAATGGGTGCGTTCACTTCTGTTTGAAGATAAACATACCGAGAATTTAGTTTCGAATAACGATTGGGATCGTTTTTAGTGGGTGCGCAATTAACCTAATTAGGTACGAATTTCCGAAATTATTCATACAGAATTTTACAATTTCTCACAAGAACTGTATCTCGCTCGAAGTTATTCGACCTTAACTGTAATTTCCGAGCCATCAATTAACATATTATGTCAACGAGTAAAAGACTCTTCGCTGCAATTACCTACTAGAGAAACTAATTTTATTACATATTCAGCGATATTAAAAAATTGCAGGTTTCTCGAATACAATCAGAAACAGTTTTTCGTTATACTTCGAGCCGTAAACGCCCGCTTCCTATGCGAGCTCGTTTTCTAGGTTATTAACCTGTTTGAACTTGTGCAATTCTCGACGCTTCAATACCGAATAAATGCACCAAACCATAACAAAATGCGCTAGGTCTTGTATGAATAATAATTACGCATATCTGACCATAATTTTAACGCGAAAAACGGACGCCGTCGAATTTAATTGAAATCCCCGCGAATCGTTAATTTAATTTGCGCCGTCTCGGGCGTTAATTTAGAAATCACGAAGCCTGAAAAAAAAGTTTACTAGAAACCAGTTTAGTAGGCTTTGCGATCGTACAATTTTGTTATGCTCGAACTTTGTTTTTCTCGATTAATCCACTCGAACGGGATCACCTGCTTATAATACAATAAAAAAATTGTGTGATACAAACTATTTTATTATTGCATTCGAAATGTCCATTTCTTGCGACCGCTCGAATGTCCTTTTACGATGAAGAGGATGCGTTAGTAATTTTTTGAACGGAAATTAACTGTAGTTACTTTTTTAGTACCTGTAACACATTTTAGGTTTCTCTTTCGATGGAACCGAGCAATTTCTACGGCGATATTTCGGCCGCATTACGTTATTTATTGGTCAATTATTCGACGCGTTTCGCAATTGTAACTGTACACAATGCAACGCGCATGAAATAATCGTCTTCGACGAAATATACCGCGATTGATGGGCATTGAATTGGCGGAAAACGCTGGTAAAATAAAGTGCTGCGTATGACACAAACAAGAGTATCTACTTAGATAAATTTCGAGTGGAATTTCAACGCGACCGCCTTTATTATACAAGTGTAATTCCGTGAGAACGAATTAAGAAGAATGATTCATTAGAATTAACATTCACTTGCAGCGTACTTATGCAATGCACAATCCAATGTGGATTTTAGTGCATGCGGTACGCGGTTTCTTCGATTCACCCTGTATATACGTAGAAAATGAGGAATGCATTAGCTTGTACCGTTGGTTGCGCTCAGGTGGAATTCTCATTTTTTCAATATTTGTTGCAGATATACTCAGACCCCGAATCGGAAAAGGCTATTATGAGCTCGATAGTCTATTGCATTCATCACAAAGAAGGTTGCAAATGGTCGGACGAGCTGAGGAAGCTGAAGGTAATTGTTTCATTGTTTCGCACGCGACCCAAATATTTATACACCGTGTAAATTAACTTTATAAAAAATAATAATAATTAGGGATTTTATGAGAATATACGATGAATTTACCTTGCTAATAGAAGTAGTTGTTCGTGGACCAAATTCTACAATATTTCTTTATTTAGGGTCACTTGAATACTTGCAAATACGACGCCATTCCATGCACGAGTAAATGCGGCGCCCAAATCCCCCGAGTCCTCATGGAAGACCACCTCAAGTACACCTGCCCCCAGAGGAGAACGAGATGCGAATACTGCAACAAAGAATTCACCGGACACGCTCTCGAAGTAAGCACTTTAATCCGATAAACAACGAGAGCTAGTTTTTGTACCAATCGTCTACAAGTATCGCTCGATTGTTGTTCCAGAACCACGCCGGTCATTGCGGCTACGAGCCTTTATACTGCGAGAACAAATGCGGCATGAAAGTCCACCGCAGGCACTTGGGCCAGCACAAGAGCGACGGCTGCTCCAAGCGGCTGGTACCATGCAGGTACTGCTCCAAGGAGTTCGTCGCCGATACTCTACCGGCGCACCACGTCAAATGCGGCCGAGTACCCATACAATGCCCCAACAGGTAACGTCCATTCCAAATCTTCCACAACAGCGTTTTGTAACATTTTTTAACCGTAGGTGTGACGCGAGCGTCCTGGCGCGCGAAGACCTCGACGCCCATCTGAAGGAGGAGTGCACGGTGTCGGTGCACGGCTGCCACTTCAAGGACGCCGGCTGCCGCTTCAAGGGGTCCCGCTACGTCATCGAGAAACACCTGGAGGAGCACTGCCAGCAACACTTGACGCTCATGTGCAACGTGGTGACCAAGCAACAGCACCAGATCGCCTCGCTGAAGAGCGCCCTCTCCCGCTTGTCGCTCAACTACTCCGGCACGCTTATCTGGAAGATAAGCGAGTTCACGGCGAAGATGGGCGAGGCCAAGAGCAAGGAAGGCATGGAGCTGGTGTCGCCGCCTTTCTATACTAGTCAATACGGTTATAAACTTCAAGTAATAACTCTATTCGTTAGTATAGTAGCATCTTAATAATTCATTTGCGTTACAGGCGTCTATATTTCCGAACGGTAACGGTGCCGGTGAGGATTCCCACATATCGGTGTACATAAAAATCCTGCCGGGCGAGTACGATGCTCTGCTGAGATGGCCCTTTTCCCATTCGGTTTCCTTCACTCTGTTCGATCAGAGCGCGTGCCCGGAGAAGGCGTGCAACATCGTCGAGAGCTTCATACCGGACCCGACGTGGAAGAACTTCCAAAGGCCCAGCATCGAGCCGGATTCGCTGGGTTTCGGCTTTCCCAAGTTCGTCTCGCACGAGATGCTCAAGAAGAGGCACTTCATGAAAGAGGACACGCTGTTTATCAGAGTGAAAGTGGATCCCAGCAAAATAGTGGCGGTGTAGAGAGGGGATTGGCACGTTGTTGTGCGGCGTTTACCGGTATTGATCTCATTTTGTTGTAAATATTGTAAAAATGCGTGTAAATTCGACGGAAATTCAATGAGACTGGTTGGTTGTAACGTTTGTAAGACTAGTAGTCATTTATGTGAAACATAAATGTCTGACTAAATTGATTAGTGATGAAAAGAACTTTGTGTTGTAAAAAGTTGTTAGTTTCTTCTTCTCTTATTTACATGGCCTCTTGCGAAGTGCCGCATCCGGCCAGACTTGTTGGTTTAATTACAATAGTTGTTTATTTACCAAAATAAATCGTAATAAATTTCATATATTTGCTATAGAAAGTCTGTTGTAGATAAAACTGCCTTTATAGTTATATTTTTAACAATTTATAAAGGCAATTTGACAGGATTTTATGCACATTTACCTAGATATTATTAATTTTGTTCCATTGGAAAACCGGTATAATAGTATTGTACATTATATACATACGATTTTACGATATTGTTTATTTAATGGGGAAGTTAGAATGCTCAGGACTTGTAAAAAAATCGTTCGAAATTATTTATGTTTGAGTGTATTTTTTCATTTGTGATAGCTGGAGAACACCAAAGGTTTGTGTTTAAATACGTTTTTTCTTGTAAATAATAACGTTTCATTTTGAACAAATTTGTACACTATATACCGTGCTATACACGTTTCGTATTAGTCATTAGATTTAAGATTTGTAATTACTTACTATTTGTATAAATTTGAGTATAATAAAAATTATATTATGTATTTTTTAACATGCTGAATGCGTATTATTTTTAATATTCATTGCTTATTATTTAAAGAAATATGTGATAAACTTACCTAAATGATTCAAATGCCCCTCTCTAAGTAGAACAGCAGAAACAAATACACACTCACTAAACTATAAAATAATAATATTAACTATAAAACTTTTAAATTAATTATTGCCATTTTTTGACAATTTAGTTATTTAATTTTCTTCGTTTTTAAAAGTCAGTTGGTCTCTTACTTAACGATTATTCATTCTATAACAAAAACTACTCATGCTTTAACTTAAAATTCTCTCGATAGATGTCTGTGAATCTATCTGTCAAATTTGGCCAACGAATTTTAATCATTGCATCTCCTTCTACACCATTGAAATGGTAATACACGATGATCGCCGTGCGTCGTTTCTATATTTAATTTAAATACATATTAAAAACATCTGATTAAAAATCATCAAAGTTTCAAACATCGCGTTTTTCGGCTACGCTAATCTTAATGTCCGCATTATTTATCGAGTTTTTCGCGAGCATAAACCTGAAAATGCGTTCGATTTTATCGTGAGAAAAAGTGACACTTTACCCGTCTCGGTTCAGTTTCTGCTGGAAATCAATAGAACCTAATGTGTTGCAGGAAATCGTTTCGTGCCTGAAAAATCCGCAAAAACTCGGCTATTTCGATGCCTAAGCAATTACGCGATGAACACAACAAGGAAGACGAACCGAGCGATGGCAACAAACCACTCAAAAAGGCCAGGTACGTGTGGGAAGTCAAAGGAAAACACCACTTGAAGGAAACCTACAAAACCACTCAAATCAACAACAACAACAACAATAACGAAGTGGATTTCACGCTAAACAACAACCGGAACAAAGCGAGCAAAGAAAGCGCCAAGTCGGGCGAACGAAGCGAAGAACCCCCACACACAAAGTGCTGCAACAGCTGCTGCATCCAGAAGATCCTCGAAGAGGCCGACGGGCTGGAGGCGGACGCGCCGCCCGACCGAGTCCCCCTCACGCTGGTGGAGCCGAGCCCCAAGAACGAGGAGTACTACCTGCGGAAGTGGCAGGCCCGCCAGATAGCCCGAGGCTACGTGGACAACACGATAAACTGCGTGCTGGACACGCTCTCCAGCCGCCCCACCGACGCCGACGACATGGTGGACAACTACGAGAACGACGGGCGCGTCGAGGACGACGCCATTCTGATGGCCATCCAGTCGCACGGGCTGCAGTCGAGCGCTCGGTTGGAGGAGCCGTTCGGCTCGAACAGCCGCGAGGAGGGCAAGCCGTCGACGCGCGGCAACTTGGAGAATTTCGAGAACGAGAGGAAAGAGCGGGAGATTACCAACGGGGAGCGTTCGGAGGTGGAGACTATGGACTTTCTGAGCGCCGCTGTGTCTGTTGCTATACAGAAAAAGGGGCTCTCCTACGGTTACTGATTGTAAATCGTACTACCGGATACTAAATTTTGTTCGTGACCGTTGTTTCGAATGAGATTTAGTACATCGCTAAAATGGTGAATAATAGGGGTCTCGAAGCGTTTACTATTTAGTCGTATCAGTTTTTTAATGTACGTTTCGAGATCCTTCGAGAGATTTCGTAATTTATGTCCGTATGAAAATTTATGTCCCGTATAGAATTTTATTACTGTTAATTTCGTATGCCGTACTTGGGACACTTTTTTTAACTAAAAATGTAGGTACTAAGTAACTGTGTTTTATTCCAAATTGAAATTATTTACAACAGCACTTATCACAATGCTGCATTAACCAAATATTGTTATAAATTATTTCTTAATTTTAGGCAAGAACCTGTCTAAAACGTGCGGAGGTTTTTCTGGTTTCGGGGCATCCACGGATTCCGGCTCCTCCATCAATTCTTTCTTCTTCTTTATAAATTCCTTCTTGGCATCCTCTCGTACTATCTTCTTATTTCTCGCGATTTTAACGCTGCCTCCCTTGCCCTTCGCTTTCTTCCTCGGTTCGTAATTTATTACAGGCGGTTTGAGATACTACAAAACGAAAACATTACAACTCATCGATTGAGCGAATAAAACAATATATTACCAGTAGGTTTTTCTTCGCTTCGATCTTATCCCGAAGAGAAGGTACATCAACATCAGCTATGCTAGTCGGATCTAGAGTTATCATCTCGGGTTGTATCTAAAAATAAACAAAAACGTGCGTTATTATTCGTTAAAAACGTGTAGAGTGTAGAAATTTACTTTTTCCAACAGAGATTTAACTTCAGCCTCCCTTCGTTGGGCCTTCGACTGGTAAGGATTGGCCTCCAACGTATCGAAATTGGCTTCTCCGGCGCCCGGCACCAACAAGCTCGTAAACCCTTTAGATGTACCCACACCGAGCACGTCTTCGTATGGGCAAAAATTGAAATTATTTATCGGCGTTACGAATCTGTGCCTCAGATAAGCTCGCTTCGCCGTTGTCAAACAGCAGTCCCTACGAAATTAACACACATTGGCAACACTGCAATGTTTAAATAAAAGTAGATTATTTACTTATAAACTTCTACGACGTTTCCCATTCCGACTGCCAGCATTTTCTTTTGTGAAAAACTCAAGTTATTAGCCGCTTGGATTAGTTTGTAATCCTGTAGAGGACCTTCGAGTTTTCTAATATCCCAAATTTTCAGTTCTCTATTCGAAGCGGATGTCGCCATATATCTACAAAAAATCGTAGAAATTACTACGGTGAATTCTATTGTATAGTGTAGAACAAGTACCTTCCACTAGGGTCTACGTGAACTCCCAATATGGGGGCTTTGTGACAAAGCATCTTAGCTAGAGGTTGCCTCGAAGTGGGCGACCAAAAAGACACGACCCCCTTGGCGTGACCCAAACAGAGAGTCGCGTTCCAAGGATTGTGAGTCAATACAGAAAGCCTTCCCAAACCTGTATTATATTGCCCGGCCAACTGGCCTATCGAAACGTCCAACCAGCTCAAATACCCTTCATCGCTCTAAAATAACACACAATTCAAATCGACTGTAAATGGAATCGATGTAAACACTTACACAGCTAGCTAATAGGAAATGATAGGGCAAAAACTCCAATCTAGACACCTTGTTTAGTCTTTTGATGCAATGCAACTCGATCCCTTGGTTATCGTATATGTAGACCCAGCTCTTCTGGGCGACAGCGAACATCGTTTCGATGTGCAACCAAGACACGTCGTGCACGGATTCCATGACGTTGATTTCGCAGTGCAGTTTCTTGGTGACCCAGTCGAAAGCGGCCACGTGGCCCAGTTTGCCGCCTATGAGCAAATGCCTGCCGTTTCTCGTGTACTTGGCTCGGTATGGTCCGAATTCCAGTCGCAAATCGAAGTGTTTGGCGGCCGCAGCGATGTCGATTTGTTGTGCGATTTGTTTCTGCGTAAATTGAGTGGTGGTTTCGCCATCGTCGGCTTCTAGAAAACTGCGAGAACGGTTGATTTAAAACTTAAAAGGTTTCGGTTAGGTTTGATGCATTACCCGGCTTCCTCGGTAAGGAGTACTTCCGTTAGAGCGGCGTGTTCCGCTGAAAATTTGATGTTTTTTTCCTTTTTTTCTATCCTCTTACGGTGTACTGATGTTGTGACGTTTCTAAGCTCGACTCCTTCGCCTTTGCTGTACTTTTCGATCAGTTCTTTGGGGGGTTTAACTTTGCCTTTATACTTCGGGTTCGGATTAGGTATTTGTATAATTCTCTTTTTTCCTTTCTTTATTCTTTTATCTTCGATTCTCCTACCCCAAGCTTTCTTCTTTATATCTGTGTTATCGTATGTAATAGTGCCATTATTATTCGATGGATTTTCTGCCGATTCCTCTTTTTCGAAATAACGGACAGTTTGCTTAAAATAAGTTACATTTAATATCTAATTTAGTTTAATTCTTTATACACTACCTTTCCCATTTTGATATAAAGTTGTAATACAATATTTACGAATTAAAATGTGGTTTTATTTTTGTAACAAACATGTTAACAAATTAAACATAACCTCAAAAATTCTTCTTTTATTCTTTCACAACTTTATATTTAATTTATAGTCTCTTACTTTGCGGCTATTAATATGAAAGTCAGTTAAACAACGTCAAATGTCACTTGTCACAACCAATTTGATGCGTTGCGTATTGTAATTGTTGGTTATATTTTCGGTTTATTTAGATACTATTTTAGTGATTTGTAACCGATTTAATAACGAAAATGAGCCGAAGAAGGGCTCACGAGGAGGATGATGGTTATGGTAAGTCCCACAAACATCCAAACAAACAAATAGATAATTATTATTATTTGTAGAAAGGGCATACAGGAAAAGACGTCGCGTCTCCGAAAACCAAGAAATCGAAGACAGATTGGAATCCTTGATCCTTAGAGTCGGAGAAAAGAGCACGTCCTCCTTAGAAAGTAACCTAGAAGGCTTGGCTAGCGTTTTAGAAGCCGATCTGTCCACATTTAGAGCTAAGATACTTCGAATATTGACTGACTGTGCGATCCGAATGCCCGAAAAATGCACCATTTACACGACCTTAGTAGGCTTATTGAACGCGAAAAACTACCATTTCGGCGGCGAATTCGTCGAATACATGGTAAAAAGCTTCAAAGAATCCCTCAAACAATGCAAATGGGACGCCGCCCGATACGCCCTAAGGTTCCTCGCAGACTTAGTAAATTGCCACGTAATATCCGCCACTTCCCTGCTACAACTACTAGATAATATGATAGACGCAGCGAATGAAGACAGCGTCCCACAGGTAAGCTAATTACACCGTTTTGATTATTTATTTAACGAGTCATCGTTTGCTAGGTGAGACGAGATTACTACGTATTCGCCGTGCTAAGCACCCTACCTTGGGTGGGCAGGGAGCTCTACGAGAAAAAAGAGAAAGCCTTGGAACATCTGATGATACAAATCGAGATATTCCTCAACAAGCGACACAAGAAACACCACAACGCTCTACGAGTGTGGGCCAACGACGCGCCCCACCCGCAAGAGGAGTACCTCGACTGCCTGTGGGCCCAGCTGAGGAAATTGAAGCAGGACAATTGGGCGGAGAAGCACATCCCGAGGCCCTATTTAGCGTTCGATTCCACGCTGTGCGAAGCCCTGCAGCACAACCTACCGTCGATCATACCCCCGCCGCACCACGACGGCTACGAGTACCCCATGCCCTGGGTGGTGTTCAGGCTGTTCGATTACACCGACTGCCCGGAGGGGCCGCTGTTGCCGGGCGCGCACTCCATCGAGCGCTTCCTCATCGAGGAGCACCTGCACTCGATCATCGAGCTCTACCATTTGGAGAGGAAAGATTGCGCCGCGCACCTGTTGAATTTCCCCTACAAATTGAAGATACCGCTCGAGTATTGCATCGTCGAGGTGATCTTCGCCGAGCTGTTCCACATGCCGGCGCCGCGCTACCTGGACATCGCCTACGGGGCGATTTTGATCGAGCTGTGCAAGATCCAGCCGTCGACTATGCCGCAGGTGTTGGCCCAGGCCACGGAGATGCTGTTCATGCGCATCGATACGATGAACGTGTCGTGTTTCGATAGGTTCGTTCAGTGGTTCTCGTACCATTTGAGCAATTTCCAGTTCAGGTGGTCGTGGGAGGATTGGGACGCTTGCCTGAGCTTGGACGACGAGCATCCCAAGCCTAAGTTTATCAGAGAGACGATTTTGAGGTGTATGAGGTAAGTGAGCGATTGTATTCGTTGCGTACGAGTAATTCGTTTTTTTTTATTGTAGATTGTCGTATTTCCAGAGGATTAGGGAAATTTTACCGGAGAGTTTCCAGAAATTTATACCGGCTAAGACGGAGTCCGATTACAAATACGCCCAAGACGGCGCCGGTAAGTACATTACAGGAATTACTTAACGAAACGTTTACTGTAAAAAAAACTTAAAAATACGACAAGGTTATTGTTAATTCGATTTCCTCCGTTGTGGTTTTTTAGTGGTTCTCGATCTCGGCACGTAAGTCTTCCTCCTTCTGTATTTCGATCTGATTGTATTGTTTTCTGGTTTATTCAAAAACTCCAAACTTTTGGCGTGACTGATCAGAACCAAAGCCGCCCGATCGAACATCTCTTTGGTAGTTTCCATTGAATTCTTCGTGCTAGTCTCATCCGGATACTCCGCTTTGTGGGTCACATAATCAGTATTATTATTGTTGCTAACAGCTGGAGATTTGGTGGGTTTGTAATGCAGCAATTTCGACGCGTTGCTCTTGTATTCGACCGCTTTTTGCTTAGTTTTCGCACGCGCCGTGGTGTATTCCGGTTGATTTCTCTTGTTCACTTGGTAACTCACCGAAGTCTCGTAACTTTGGCTGGTTACACGTTCCGTTTCGCCGTCGGTGCTCGCCTCGTAGAAATCGGAAAAGATTATTTTCGGTTTATCGGCGAATAATTGACGAGAAATGTCCGATTCCGTGCGCGTTTCGCGCGTACTGGTGCTCGGCTTCAGAGTGGATTTGGTCGTACCGAAGATATCGTCCAAATTGTAATCGTTTCTGACGGTGCCCACGTACAGGGGGCCTTTGTACGGTTCGGATTCCGTTAGAAAATCGCTGCTCGTTGTAGTAGATGTGGTTTTTGTAGAAGAAGTTGTAGAAGAAGTCGATGATAATGTTGAAAGTAATGATGTTTCTGTAGTTGGTACAGTAGCGTTTGTTGCTGGGAAATTAATCGTAGTTTCGGTACCTATCGGTTGATTCGATACCGTCGTGGTGAATTCCGGCGTGGTTGGTTGGTTGGTTAATTCAGTCGAAGGCCTCATCGCTTCCGTTGGTTCCATTTGCGGTAAACTATCGATGATGGTTAGTTCGTTCGGTTCAGTTGATGTTACGATTGTGATAGATGGCGTAATAGATGCTACAGCTTCCGATATTGTCATCGGTGATGTTAATGTTTCTTGTGGAGTGTCCGGTAAAGCTTTGGATAGAATTTGTGGTGATGATTCTGTAGTTGATTGCTCAGGATGAGTACTGGCAGAAGATGTTGATGTTGTTGTTAAATGTGTTGTCGATTTTGTCGTTGAAAGTGTTGTTGATGTAGTGGTTGAAAGTGTTGTTGATGTAGTTGTTGATTTTGTTGTTGATTGTGTGGTTGGAGCAGTTGTAGTAGTAGTAGTGCTTGTAAGAGGAGTTTTAGAGGTTTTCGTCGCGAACGGTTTGGGTTTTCTGTTGTAAATGTTGTAGAAACCGGGCGATTTCGTGGGTTTGTTGGTTGTGGTGAGTTTGAACCTCGGTTTGGTGACGAATTTCGTAAACCTTGGTGTTGTGGATGGTGTGGATGGGCTGAAGGGTTTCGGTGTTGATGAGATTGTCGTCGGTGGAATCATGGCGGTTGTGGACGAGGCGATTTCCGTCAATAAAACTTCCTCGCCCGTAGGCATAAAGTAATGTACAGTGGTTTCGGTATTTTCGTTTCCAGCGCTCGGTTTGGTTTCTACCGGCGATTGGGTGGTGAGTACCGGCGAATTGCCGTCATCGAGTCTATTGAAAGAGAACCTGTGCGGACCTTCGTTGTTGCGATTCTGATCGGTTTTGGAAGCCAAAATTTCCAGCAGTTTTTTGTACAGTTCCGCTTCTTTCGTTAGATTAGCTTGTACTTGAATTGTCGTCGATGTAGCTGGTAAAGTCGTCGTGATTTCGTTCAATTGCGGCGCCGAAGTTAGAAAACCCGGGTAACTGTACAGAACGTGTTTGTGCCCTTCGGCGTCCACGCCCAATACCACCTCCGGCTTGAATTGCGTCTGGACGATTTTTCTATTGTAATACTAAAAAAATAACAAGCGTACGTTAGTCTATCGATGCAATTTTAAGCGATTATCTCTTACTTCCGGATAATATTTGCTCGTTTCGCTGCTCCTGATGACGAACACGTGCCCGGCTATGGCGTAATTGAACCGATCGCGCCGCATGATTATCTGATCGTTGGCCTCGTTCACCGGACTGACGATGTACTCGAGTTCGAAGCGCGTCCCGTCGGGGTCCCGGTGCCTCAGTCGTTTCACCGTCCACAGGGCCACCAGGATCTCCTTGTTTCGGGGCGCGTACGGGCGGCAATCGTGCCGCTCGCACCGCCTCGGATTGTGGCAATCGTCGCAATCGTTGCGATAGGGGTCCTGCAACAGCAGGAAATCGCCGCCGTGCGCGGCGTACAATTGGCCGCGCGCCAACACGACGACGTCGCCGAAGGTCCTGGCGGCGTCTTGGCGCCCGATCAATTGGGCGCCGTTTAATCTTTGGCGTAGGTTGGGCTCCCAGTAGCCTTCGCGCAGGAGGGCTTGGTGTATGGCTTCCCTGAGGCCTATCTGGAATAACGCGATTATTCTTAGATTGTTGAGGGGATATATGTGGATTGTTTGTTACCTCCCAGTTGGCTAGAGGTCCTGACGTTGGTCCTGCGGGGATGTGTCGGAAATATCTCACGCCGGCCGATTGTTCGGTAGACGGTCTTTTGTTGGTAATAGCCGTCGATTCCCATGGAACAATTACCGTCTGAAAGTTAATAAAATGAGTAATTGGTTCGAAGCGTTTTTATCTGCGTTTTAGGTACACACACAAATCATGTTCTTGGTAAATTTTTTTTACGTAAAATGCGATTCGTATAGCTTTCACCGAGTACGTGATATACGTGTGACATTTTCTTCTTTATTGTTTCTATTATTCGGGCCTGGCGGGATGTTATGTAGACGAAATTTTGATCGTTTATTTATTCAAAAAATCCACTTAAAAGTATGTTGATAAAAACGATAAAATATTTCTTATACATTCGAAATTTTACGTTTAAGACATATGAAGTTTTTTTCTTACAATGGCTCCAAGAATCATCCCCTTAAATATTAGCATGTCATTATGGAACACCCTAATAGTACTAAAAACTATAGTAATATTTTTTTTCGAATCAAAAATTTAATCAGAAACCACCAATCATTTTTACTCACCAAAATCAACACGAACAACCACTGAACCATATTTATGTTACATTAAACATCACCTTTATTAGTTCATTAAGTATCATATTAATTCGCTGCTTTAAACGCAAATTATTTCGCAATTATATCCGCCTCGAATCGTCGAGCATTCTTCGACGTTCTTTTTATCACTGGCTTCGCTAATATATTTTTTTTCTCGACCAAAACTCGAAGGATTCTCGTTGTTTTGGCGCGATTTCGACACGACAATCTGCCTCCCCGCTACGGAAGATCCCCAGTTCAAACGATATGCAAGCGTGTAGGTAATTTTACTTACACGCTTCGCCGCCGATTTTGTTTTGAACAATCGCAAAAAAATTGGAAAACACTGTCATAATTGATATGTAAATTATTCTGCGAGAAGTTAATTGGTTTAATTGCGATTTTTTTAGCCGTGGAAATTTCGAATGAGTTTAACGCGAAAAAAAATGCATTTATTTCGAGATGTTTTATATTGTTAAACTAGAAATTTCTGGGTCAAGTATCTCGTTGTTTTCGTGGTTTACATTTTCGTTTTGGAATATTTGGAGTATTTCACTGGCAGGGACAACCTGTAGCGGGACTCGGAATAACGGATTTCCATTTTCTTTGATGCGGTTTTTTCTTCTATACGGTAATCTGCGGCTGCGATCTCGGCGCTTGCGAAATTCTGTTTGCATTTTTAACTGATTTTGCTCGCACAACTAATTGTTGCAATCTTTCGTTGTTCGATGAGAACTTCTCGTATACAGAACGTCCCTTTTGGACGCGCAAAAAATTATTTTTCGATTCGAACAAACACGGTAATATTCTAATTACTTTCACCGACTAGTTAGCAGTTTATGTAAAATTGTTGGTAATTAGTCGAGACAATAAAGCGAATGAATTAACCGGAAAGAAAACAACGAAAGAAAGTAAAAGTGTTGAAAATTCAACCGCAAACGTTCTTCGTGTTTAATTATATTAAATCGCGTGTTTTCGGGAAAAATTCTATACTGCACACATTATTATATTACTACAACTTTCTTTTACGCATAATTATAAATATCCTCTTGTCAAATCCTGATCCTGTTTGCCCAATTTCTTATCTACCAATCATCTTAACCTTGATGTTCGAGTTAATGGCGAGCATTTTTTTACAAATTGCCCACTTGCTCAACATCTAACGACAGCGAATTCCTATTTAAATCCGTTAATGTTTAGATATTCGTAAAGGATTTCGCAAGAGCCTGGCATTGTTCGAATTTTATTTGCCGATTATCTACCACCATCTTCGACTACCCGAATTTCATTCTACGGGAAAATGTTCGATACTAATTTTCTCGATAATCGATTAAAATAACGGAACTAATACCGGATTAAAACGTTCCCCAACATCCTACGATCGGCCGATAAAATGATTTAATTAAGAAAACTAGAATTGGTCAATCATCGAGTCCGACATTGAACCATTTATGTAACACACATCGCAGGGTTCTAATGCTATGCGCAATTATGAAAACGCACCGCATCCTGCAAAATGCGATGTACAAACGCCGATTCTCCGCACTCTAATGGTTCTTGTGAAATTTATATGGCACTTATTCGTTTAGGTTTTCATTGTCGTTCCGACGATTTTTATCGCAAATCGCGCCGGTTTCGTTCCCTACATTTTAAATGCCGTTCGAGTCGATAAAAGATTACACGTAGAGCTTTAGAATGGAGTTGTAAACGATTCAAAAAGTGTGGGAGCTTCGAGACTAGAGCCGTAGAATGTGGAACTTCAAAAGTAGAGTCTTAAAGTGTGGATGTTTAGGAGTAGAGACTCACATTGTAAAGTTTTGAGAGTAAAGTCTTAAAGTGTGAAGATTTAAGATTTAAGAGTGGAGACATAAAGTGTGGAGCTTCAATAGTAGAGGCTTAGAATGTGGAGCTTCAAGAAAGAGTATAATCGTAGAATGTGGAGCTTCAAGAGTATAGTCTTAAAGTGTAGAACTTTAGACTTATATTGTGAAGCTTTAGTAGTAGAGATACAAAGTGTGGAGCTTCGAGAGTAAAGGCGTAGAATGTGGAGCTCCAGGAGTAGAGTCTTAGAATGTTAGCTTCAACAGTAGAATCGTAGAATGTGGAGCTTTGAGAGTAGAACCACAAAACCGGAAGATTCAAGAGTACAGTAATGAAATGTGAAGCTTTAGAGAGTAGAGTACATAGAGCGTGGTTGGTTTGTCGCGAATATGGTTTTTTTGTTTCGATTCCAGCGAATCTACCGGGCACGGAGGCGGCCCACAAGCTGGTGGTGTCGATCAGACAGAAGTGCACGCCCGAGGAGGTGCTGGCGGTGCTGAAGGACCTGCCGAATCCGCGATCGGACGAAGAAGGCGACGGCAGATTCAATCCTCTGAAGATCGACGTGTTCGTGCAGACGCTGCTCAATTTGGGCTCGAAGAGTTTCTCGCACAGCTTCGCGGCCATATCGAAGTTCCACTACGTGTTCAAGATACTGGCCGAGTCCGAAGAGGCGCAGATATGCGTGTTGCGCAACATGTTCGAGCTGTGGCACCACCACCAGCAGATGATGGTCGTGCTGATCGATAAGATGCTGAAGACCCAGATCGTCGAGTGTTCGGCCGTAAGTCGATCGATTCGAAAGACAATTCGAATGGTTGATCGAGCTTCTTGTTTGCAGGTGGCCAATTGGATATTCTCCAAGGAGATGACGTCGGAGTTCACGAAGATGTACCTGTGGGAGATCCTGCACCTGACCATCAAGAAGATGAACAAGCACGTGATCAAATTGGGCGGCGAGCTGACGGAGGCGCGCGAGAAGTTGGCGCGCGCCGAATCGAGCGAGAGCGAAAGCGAGGAGGACGAGGCGAAGAAGAAGCCCGAGGACGCGGAGAAGCCGACCGAGGAGATGGTCGAGCGGATGGAGGAGAAGCTGGAGGGGGCGCAGGCCGATCAGAAGAATCTGTTTCTGATCATCTTCCAGAGGTTCATCATGATTTTGTCGGAGCATTTGGTGCGTTGCGACACCGACGGTAAGGATTACAATACGCATTGGTACAAGTGGACCATCGGGAGGTTGCAACAGGTTTTTTTGGCTGTAAGTTTTTAATTAATTTATTGTACAAATATGTTAGTGTGATTGTTTTGGTTTAGCATCACGAGCAAGTGCAAAAGTACAGCTCTACATTGGAGACTCTGCTGTTCACCCAAGACTTGGACCATCATATCCTCGAAGTTTTCCAACAGTTCGTGTCGTTGAAGGCTTAGCGACCGGATTATTTAAATATTGTTCATTTTATATTTTATTTGCGTGGAAAAGAAGTTTTATTAGCGTTCCATATCGTACGGACGAAATGTATTTGATTGAATAAAAAGGAGAAAAAATACAACAGACGTTTTAGTAATTCACATCGTCGTATTTTACTTTGAACAGGCTCAGCACGTATTTGATCTCGCTGTCCCAGATGGTCTTGAACTCCTCGAGGTGCTGCAGCATTTTCCTGGCGACGAAATCGTCCATTTTGGTTTTGATAGCCTCCAGTTCCTCGTCCAAGGCCACGATGGGGTCGACCTTCGGCTTGTTTTCCACGCCTGATTTCAAGCTTTCCATTTTTAATTGGATCTCCTGGTAACTCGTTCTCGACTGTTGGTAGTATTCATGCATGTATTCACCGACGTCTGGAAATATTTATTGATGTATTTATCGAATTTCCGTGAGAAATAGTTTACCGGAAGAGGAGGAGTACATGGAGAACATTTCCGTAGACAGCAGGGGAATCTTTTCCTCGATTTGTTCCATAAAATTTTCGATCATTTTGATAATATCGTCGGTGTTTAACGTTGGTAAAATCGTTTCTAAACTTTCAATTTCGGTTTTTATTTTGATCACCACATCATCCAAATGTTCCTGCAAGAGATAAACGAGTGAATTCCATCGAATGCGATTGGAAAGTTAACTAGCTTTGTGAGGATCCAGTATTTTTCTGAATTTCTCTTCGTTATCCGCGTGCATTTCGTCGTGGTCTCTCCTCAACTGGTTCAACATCTCGTTGTTCTTCGGATGCCCGAACAACACCTTCAATCTGGTGTAGATTTGCTTCAGTCTCTCGTTGAAGTTCAAGCGTTCTTGTTCCAGATCATCCATAATCGATCCAGCGCTGTCTTCGAGCTTGCGCTGAATAACGAGCTGCGGTAGCGTCAAGTACGAGACCGTCTCGAGCACTCACCATGCATTTATCGAAAAACGCCTTTTTGAAATCCGAGATAAACGAGTCTTTGAATTCTATTATTTCGTTTAGGATCTGAATGAACTTCGTGGCGTTCTCCAACCAGCAAATCTCGCACTGCAACATATACGGCTGGTATTTCCTGTAAATTTCCTCCAAACAATCCTCGTAGCTCGGCTGCAGCTTCGTCGAGTCCAGGATGAGGCCAGTCTGCTTATTGGACGAGTAGAATTCCTAAAATTTACACAATTTATCGCCTTGCTCCAACGTAGGTTGGCAACGCTTGACATCTCCGCCAATCACATCGACAGGTCCAGTCGAAACGAAATTACAGTTCACTCAAATCGCTGTTGGAACTCCGGCAAGATGCCCATCGAATGGAGAGGCATAGCCCCCGACAAGGAGCTCGGCTGGAAGGCCAACATAGTGCGCGAGAACACCCTCAAGCTGGTGTGGTTCAGGAAGAACCAGAAGCGATTAGACGAGATCGCCAACGTCGAATTGAAGAAAACCGTCCCGCCGGAGGAACAGGACGCCCTCGAGGACACCCTGGTGGAGAACGCCCTCTTTCGGGAGTTCAAACCGCGCCGGAAATTCGGCGAGCCGGAACCGCCCGACCTCAAGGCCATGCACCGTACGTTGCACCCTACACCTTCCTTAACCATCCATTAAACACCCCATTCGTTAGATACCATGCGACCGGTGGAACCGGAGCACTTGAAGCTGATGAAGGAAGTGGACGGCAGGAGGAGGTACCTGAAGCAGCGGGTGCTCATCCTGCCGGAGGTAAAGTATTACCTACCGGAGAACGTGAACGCCACCTACGGCTGGAAGATGTTCAAGCACAAGACCACAAAGTACGGGTTCAACCGGTGGTCGGTGATCAAAGAGTCCTTCTACAGGAGGCAAGGAGTCGCCAAGGATCCGGAGTGGTACCGGGAACCTGCCAGCTACTCTCCCTCGATTTGTACTCGATGATTTAATTATAAGTGGAAATTTACTTACGTGCTTCGTTTGATTTGGCTCACCTGCGAGGTGTGCTTGATGTTGTCCAGGGAAGTTTTGAAAACGTTCATCATGGAAGATATAAAATCTTTGTTACCGGCTATTTGCAAGTTACTCTTGAACGGGTCCTCCTGGTGGTAGCTTCTCTTCGTGTGACTCGATTCTAATTCTAAAAAGAAATTCCACATTAAAGGGTAAGAGTATGAGACAGCTGGTAACTCTTGGTGCTTCTGGTGGATTTGAGGAACAGCTGCACCGGCTCCGGATGCTCCAGGTAATCGTTCAATCCCTCAGCGGTTTTCAGGACCTCCTGAAACCGCCCGACGAACTCGTTCAAATAGTCCTTGTTGCCCACGTTGTAACGCGCCTTGCTGTTGATGTTCTCCAGTTGCTGGCGCATCTTCCTGAAGGACTTTCGCAGGTTTACCACGATCTCGCGCACGTCCCTGTGCACTCTTTCGACTTTCTTCACCAGATTCTCGAGGAATTTGTGCTCGTTGAACGCCCTGGTCAAGCTGCGAATATTGCGATGTTATTAGTTTGGCAAAACACGAGGTATTCTTTAACCTGGAGTAAATGGTAGTTTTGGCGATTTGCATCTGATTGGAGCAGTGGTACATGCTGTCGTCGAGTTTCACGGTAGCCGAAATATCTTCGATTCTTTTCAGTTCTTTCTGCAAGTCCGGGATTTCGTTTAAGTTGTAATCGCCTCCTTCGTTGAAAAGTCTACAAATTCAACATTCGATTAATCGCTCATCGAAGTCCAATACTAACCTGATTTTCTCCAAAATGCCGTAATTCATGTATTTCACTTCGTCGGGGAAATTCGCGAACGATTCGACGCATTTGCTGACGATGGTCTCCACTTCGTGTTCCACACTCTCCAATTTCGGGTAGACATTCGTCATGAGCGCCTTCACTTCCGCGGAATTGTTGGTAGTTGGTAGAGCTTTGATAGCAGCATCGGATATTTCCGCGTATTTGTCGTACAAATCGTTGCATTCGGAGCAAACGACGAGCCTTTGAGTCTCCAAATCGGGCATTTTGGTGCATATAATAAACTGATTAAAAATGTAGCGATATTTCGGCTTCATTAGCTCACCATTTTGTGGTCGTTGAGGATTTTCTCGTGCCTCTTCAATTCCTCCAACCGCTTCTCGTAGTTGACGATTTTAATTTGCGACACCCGCGGTTGGTAGAGGGACAGTTTCGTGTTCAATCTCTCGTCGATTTTCTCCCGTTGCCTCGCCATCCACTTTTCCGCTGTCGCCATTATTTCCTGTCTGCAGGCGTTCGCGTATTGGTCCAATCCCTCCCACAATCTGCGCGTGCGTAGTTCAAATCTATCTTTCGATATAGCCGATTGTTTTACCCGAACATCCAGTTACTGACGGCTCCTACTTGGTAAACGCAGTAGAGGATCTGTATGGGCAAACTGGGTCCTTGTTCTTGCACCGACATTTGGCTGGCCCGGCGTCGCTGCTTCTTCGGATCCCTCTCGTAGTCGGGCGGATGGATCACTAAATACCGTCTGATTCCCATTATCAGCAAATCCACGGACAAGTCCATCCAGATCTTGTACTTTTGGACGACGTTCAACTCCTTCTGGGCGTCCTCGACGTACGCCTCCTTGATCTTCTCCAGAATCCTAACGGCCTCCTCCAGCAATCTGTCCAGTTCGGCTTTGTTGGGCGCCTGCCGCAGCTGCTCCATGGTGATGTTCAACGACGCTTCGTGGCACTGAAAATGCTAGAACAGAAGCCGCCAATGATACGAGCAGTTTCTTACGCCTGTCGAAATGCAATGTCTCCTGATGGCGTTGTCGAGATCGCGCAGGACGAGCTTCCGCAGTTCCTCCAACCGTCTGAAGTACCGGTCCCACAGGGTGGCGGCCTCCTTGAGGAACGTGTACGCCTCGTTGATTTCGTCGGTCATCTTCTGGATGGTCTTGCTCCACGTGTCCTGCAACTTCTCCAGCTCCTCCAGGTTTTTGATCATCAATTGATCGATGGTCGGCGTGTACATTTCGCTGAGGTAGTCCTGCACCTGGCTGCTGTGGACGATGCTGTTGGCCAGGTCGATCTTGATGAACTTCAGCTCCTTGAAGCACCGGTTGAACAGCACCGAGATCATGGATTTGTACGTTTGTATGACGTTCTTGGAGGATTGCTCTGGAAGCGGTGGCGAGTTAGCGGGTTCGTTGGGTGAAGTGGGATCGAAGTACCGGCGGCTGCTAGATGTTTTTGGACCAGCTTCAGCCAGCGCTCGATCTTCGGGCGAATCTCCTCCAGGCTGTCGTCCTTCGTCACCTCGTAGTTGAATTCGGATTTCAGCGAGTCGAGCCGGCGCAATTGGGCCGCCATCTGCTCGGGTTTCTGGTCCGAGATGTCGTCGATCTCCGCGTAGCTGCAATTTGAACTCGAATTATTTGCATAAGCAGAAATAAGGATGGCGTACGTTGTGACCCGTCTGGTTAACACTCTGATCTGCTCCTTGAGGGCTTCTTTCAGTTGCAGCAGCTCCTCGTACCAGGATTTCTGGTCCTGCTCGATTTGGAGCTTCAGCTCCCGTTCGGTTTCGTCGTACATTTCGTAATTGTTGATGGTGATTTTGTTTATGTCCTGTGGAAATATAGGGGAGGTAATTACGCCGAGTGACTGGTACTTGTTGAGTTATCTTACAGACATTTTTTTACCGAAAAATTCGTCGATGTAAAAGGGCAATTCGTAGCCTAATTGGCTGGATTGCGATTTGGTGTCTTTTAGTAGAATTTTGAATTTTTTTATTCGGGATTCTTCGAGTTTTTTCATGAAGACTACGAAGTCATCCACGGCTTCCACGGCTTTTTTCTGGTTCTTGTGTAATATTTTCTTGGTTTTCTTATAAAAATCATCGCCTATTTGGTGGTTCTGAAAGCTAACAGGCTCGGAACGACTGTACAAAAATTAATACAGCGAAAAACTAACGTTCAAATCGAATTTCATGTCGACATAGTGGCGTTTAACGTCGTGTTTAACTTGATCTAGTTTCTTGTTAATCTCCTCGGTTTTTTTCTTGGCCTCCGCGTCGACGTCTTCGTTTATCTCGCGCATGGACTTGTTCAGTTTTTCCATCAACGCCTCTTGGGCCGCTTTCTTCTTCTCCAGCATTTGCTCGATTTTCGGAATGGGACTCGACACCGGCACTACAAATACCTTTATTTTTACGGCGAAAAATATACAAAAAGTGCGATTTATTTACCGATGTTCACCGGGAGGTCCTTAATTATTTGAACGTCTTCTGCACTCATTTTAGCTGATAATCGCTATACAAAACGAAATATTCTTGTACACAAAATTAATAGCTACACTGTTGACATTGACTGTTGATTAGAAACCTAACCTCATTGTTTAAGTAAGTAAACGTTTAATAAATTTTATTCAACAAAATATTCAACAAATACAACGCATTCTAACGAACAGAATGGCAAGATAACAGAATAAATAAAAAAATAAATAAATTATAAGCGTTCCTATTCGGCCCGTTTCTTCGATCTGATCCGATGACCGAATTCCGAGCCCTCCTCAGACTTGGCGTTGTCCTCCTCCTCGTCGTACTCGCCGTATTTCTCATCCACGTCCTTCTTATCCTCGATTTTCGCCTCGTCGGCGCCCTCCTCGTCGTCCGGTATCAGAATGGTGATGGGCTCGCGCTGGCCCTGCGCCAGCTTCATCAGCCCGCTGTTGACCTTCCCGGCGGTCTGCAGCTGCGCCAGCCGCTCGGCCGCCTCCTGGTTGGGCAGCGACGCGTAGTAGACGCCCGCGATCTTCTCATCCGGCTCGATCCGGTTGTCGCCGACGTCGCTGCGGCTGTCGAAGTAGTTTCGCACCAGCTCCGGCTCCTCCTCGTCGGCCTCCGAGCCGAAGTTGTAGGTGGCCGAGACCTTCTTGGACTGGCTCTTCTGGTGCGCCTGCTCGTCGTAGTTGAACGACTGGTACTCCGGGCGGAAGGCGAGCTTCTCTTGGTTCTCTGCGGACGGTTCCGGGGCGTATTGCTCCGCGAAACCGGCGTCCGGTTGGAAGAATTCGACGTGGTCCTGTTGCTGGGTTTGCTGCGGTTGGGGGTAGGCGGCGCTGACCAGCTGGTAGAGGTCTTTGGGGCTCAACGCGCCCTCTTGGTTCGAATGTTGGTCGGCTACTGGTATATCGGAGGTCAGCACGATTTGCTGGGGTTGGTCCTGTTGAGCGCTCTGCTTCTGCATTTGCTCGATCTGCTTCTGGATTTGGAGCTGTATCTGCCGCTGGTGCTCCTGCTGCGCCCTGAGCAGCTTCTGGTTGTGCTCCGGCGGCTCGGTGACCTGGTATTCGTGGCTTTTCTGGATCGTCACGTGCGTGGATTGCGGGATTTTCTGCCCGAAGCCGAGGTCTCCTCGGATTTCGTGAGCGATATTCCCGTATTGGAAACTGACTTCTTGCTGAGGCACGTGCTTTGGATATTCGCTTCTTACTTCGTTGATGACAGGAGGTTTGTCTTTGAGGCTCAGGTTTGGCGCTGGGATGGTGTGAATGGGACCCTTCTCGCCGATTTGTTTGATTGGGTTGATGTGCGAGTGAGGAATTTGGTTGGTTTGTATGTGATAATCGTACTCCTGAAAATTATTACAACATTAGATAGGAATTGGTTTTTGGATCTTTCAAGGTTGTGGAGGTGTATTTCTTTAGCTAGTGTTGCGTTTATGGTTTTGTTTTCTTACCGGTAGTGGAAGACTGGGAGCCGATCTGAAAGGTTTTTGCTTCTCGACGGGCTGCGGCGGGCTCTGCGGCTTGTACACCACCTCCGGCACGTTGAGCGGGTTCTTCCAGAACCCCCTGGTGGGCGGCCGTTGCGGCATGTTGTGCAGCTGCAGCGGCATCGCCATCAACACGGGCGCGTTGTTGACGTTGTGATTGATCTTCTGGGGCTTCTGCCTCACCGGCGGGCCCCTGTAGGAGAACGGCTGGGCGCCTTGCAGCATCCCCAGCGGCTTGACGGGCGCCTGGTGCCATTTCTTCGCGAACTGCCGGTGGGGCGGGGGCGGCGGCGGCGATCGCCGCCTCAGCGGCGGCCCGCGCGGTTTGTACCTCAGCTGATCCGCGTTAAGTAGCGCGCATAACGATAGCAGGATGAGAAGAATGATCTGCAATGAACGCGGTGAGTAGCGAGTATTGGAAAATAGCGGATTGTAAATTGTACTTACCTTCATCATAGGATTACAATGGGTAATTCCTGAGTATCGGCGATGGCATTAACGCCGGCGTTTGTGATGTAGATAAATGTTCGATCACAGATTGTGGTACTGTCGGAGAGAGCGCGTTGATTGCGATTCATGAGCGACACTTCATCGTACGAAACTGAACAAATAGGTCAGCGTCGCGGCTTTTATGCGGCGGTACGAGCGCGGGGCGGTGTCGTCGACCTTCTTCCTCTCTTCCTTTTCCTTTTCGCGCTCGGTTTTCCGATCTTCCGCCGGGAAACGGTGCCCGGGGAGCGCCAGTTGCGTAACGGGCCGGAACCTGTGGAGTCGGTGGAGCCGAAAAATATATTTTTCGAGTAGCGCTGTTTAATTGGGGTACTTTCATCGAGTATCGAAAACGCGTTTCGCTCTTTTAATTATCGAAACAATGTCAAGAATTCACCTCGCCGGAAGGGTTTTCGTCGATCGAGCGAAATAAAAAAAAATGCGGATAAATGAACCTGCGCGTTCGCGCTTATGACACACATGCACATAAATAAATATAATGGCGCGACTTTCACTGGAAAACAGTTAGCCGGCCATAATTTCGGATTTAATAACGAAATTAATTGAAGCGTTAGGATTCTCCGGTATGCGGCCGAAGAAAGGGAGCGCGGCGCGCCAAACCGGAGATTATACGCGTGAAAATCCTATACTTTCCTCGAATAATTATTTTTAATATTAATTTTTTTGGTTTTACTATTCTTTCTTTTAACAGCAATACTTCTAATCGTGTAGATTTTCCTAAATTAACGCGATTACTGGTGGTAATTACGGTCAATTATAATTCGATTACCGAGCGTTCTGTTAGATAAAAAAATAATGAAAGCTGTTTTACAATGTGTTTTACAAGAAGATTACTGTTTTCTCTTAGCTATTAGCGATTTTATACGGTCGAATTCTTCAGCTTAATGATCACCTCTTCATTAACCGCTACAATTAATAAAAAAAACGCCAACTAAATACATCGAATTTGCGGTGATTTAAGCACCAAACAGTTGGTAGAACATAAAACAACAGTTGGCATTATTGTTTCTCCCAGTAATACCAACCTAAAACTGTGCTCGAAGTAAAATTCGACGTGAAAATATCCTAGCGTATATAAACTAAAAAGTGACATGTCAATTTCAAGGTGAAAGCCGAAACCTTCTGGTGATCGGTGCGACAGGACGAAAGAAAAAAAAAAACTACACAACCGACTTGCCTAGCGTAATTTCTACTTTCGAACACTTCCATCCTCTTCGTGGACGTTCTTCCGGTTCAGTGGGTCAAGGTCGTCGTACGCTAGAACTCGATTGGCTTACATTTCGTTTATTAAAAACGCTCCGTTTCCATTAAAAATCGGCGGAACTCTCTACTTGTCGCCACAAAATGGATTTAATCGCGTTTTGCGAAGATAGCCGAGGACGCGGCGTGCGCGAGACTCGGTGCGCAGGGTACTACTCTCTCGTCTCCAGCTATTCCTGGTGAACTGTATCGGCTAGGAATCGGATTTGTGATCGATTATTCGGAATTCGAGGAAAGCGCGTGAAAAGGTGAAAGCACACATCCAAAGAATTCGCGTTATCGATCGATTGATTTAATGCGATGAATATGCAAATATTTCGTAGGAAATCCTCCTCTTTCTCTCGCGATTCTGCCGCTTTGGAAATTCCGTCGAACTAGGTTTGTGGTTCAACGCTCGATCGGCTGTATTGCCTTTTACAATAAGGAGTTTTATTAAATCGAATAATAAGCGAGAAAAGTAGGAAAGTATTTGAATTATTCATAATTGTTTGGGCGATTTTTTTGCTAGGAAATTGGCGATTTACGTAATGAAACTACCATTATTTTCTAATTTTACTTTAATTTTTCCAAACGATTTAACAAATACTATACAATCTGTAACAACCTGTAAAAAATGGAAATTTCGGAAATTCAAATACTTGTTGGGTATTCAAAAAAATTGTTCTATTAATACTGATGTTAGTATTAAAGTGAAATACAGAAAAATAGAGCAAACGAGTAAAAGAACAACGTAAGAATAGAAGAAAAATAGATTATGTTTATAGTAGGTAGAGAAGATATTGTGTAAGAATAGATAAATAACGAGAAGAATGAAGAAAATATGCAGTAAATATCTTAGTATAAAGTGGAAAGAATGATGTAGCAAGAGTACTCTATGAGAAATAAAATAAATGAAAAGTATATTTAACAAACAGGTCAAAGTGAAATAGAAGAGATATCTGGAAGAATAGAGAAATGAAAACAATACAGACTAAAAAAAGATGCACAGAAAATAGAAATTAAAAGAAGAAGAATCAGAAAAAGATAAGAAAGATTAGAATAGAAAATACTACACTTAATTTCTAAATAATGTGTTACAATTCTACTTAACAACTAAATATTCCATTACCATTTATAACATACTATAAGAATAATACCAATCAATCAAATTAAATAAATAAAATAATTTAAATCAGTTATCTGCTATTAATTAAGAAAGCGACATTAAATACATTAAGTACGAAACAAATTCGAGTTTTGCGCTAATGAGTAATCCATTCCTAAAACTCTGGGGTATGATCACATTCGAATATTACAAATTCACCGCAAAAATCGAACCGTTCTTATTCTATTTTCGCCAAAAACTTTATCTACTACGTTTAGTTTGCAGTGGTTGATATTTATTAATACACCTACCAATAAATTAATTATGAAGATGAAGACTACAAATTAATCGAAATAAAGAGTACAAGAAGAGCTACTGCAAAGAATGAAAAAGAAAAAAAAAGTAAGATAGAAGAAGGAGATTAAATAAAGGAGAAGTTTGGAGGAAGAAGAATATAAAAAGAACCAAGTAAATAGAGTAAACAGTGTAAGGAAACAGAGGAAATTGCTAATAAAACAGCTAATTATTTAAAAGAGTAGTTCTGCTAAGTAGAAGTTGTGCACAAGTAGATAATAAGAAAGAGTGAACTGAAGTGAATAAAAGAGTAATAAAGAGAATCAAGATATGATAGAAAAGTAGTAGTAAAGATGGAACTAACCAGAGAAACGAAGTAACAGAAATTATTGAAATAAAGGTAGAAATAGTGAGTTAAAGTTAACACGAAAAGAGGAAGAATAAATAGGCAAAATACCCAACAAATATCTTCTGTTTTGGAAACATAATCAATTCTTTTATAACCAACATAAAATCTACAATAAAAAATGTGTTTTTACAACATCCACGTCTTAAAAGAAAGGCAAGTAGAAAAAAACAAGAGGAAAGAAGAATAAAAATACAACGAAAACGAAGACATCAAGTCCAATTCAGTGAAGAAAAAAGAGAGAGAAAAGTAGAAGAAAAAGAAAACAGTATCTAGTAATAAAACGAAACGTCCCCCTCATCGATTTTCTTCAAGGATGAGAGTCCCAGGACTCTCCCGTGGGCGCTCCGAGACCTATCTATTTCCTGACGTGATTGGCGCACCGCGGCACCGTTTCGGGCTCCTCGCAGCTGAGGCTGCGCTCGTCCACCACCTTCCCTTCGCCGCACGTTATCAACCGCGGGTACCCGTTGACGCACGTTATCAGCCGATGGCAGTCGCCGGGCACCGGGAACCTCGGGTACGGCCAGAACTTCGCCGCCAGGCTGTTCGACGGCACCTTCGTCGGGCACTTGAAACCCACCACGGCTAAAAAAAACACAACAAAATTATATACTCTACATTCAATATTAACCGGTTATGACGTGGTGGGTGTGTATAGCGTGTTCAAGATAAATAAGTGGTGATGTTCGTGGTTACCTTCGGGGTTGCATTTTTCGGCTAGGAGATCGGGCCAATTGCAGCCGTGTATTCGCTCGTCGTAGACCAATCCGGGGTCGCACTGGTGCGGTATGGGTTCCCCGTAGGCGCATTTAATGTAGTGCACGGAGCACTCCTGCCCGTCCGGGTAGAGGCCGAATTGGTACTCGCATCCCGGCGTGCTGATGGGGGTCACTGTGTAATAGAAACGATACTTTCTCTATGACAGATTGCCTGACAGATTGCTTCAATTGAGACCGCAACATGGTCGTTTCCACGAGTTGAACAAAGAAAGATTAATAAAATAACAGCTGTCAGAGTGAAAAGTTGACAAATGACAGACATTTATGTCTTTATTGTTTATAAGTGTCTAATGGAAGTTGTCTTTATCGTACCTATAGCCTATATATAAACTATGTTGCGATCTGGAATGAAGCACGGTGTATGTATTTGTATGTATAGTACGTACGATCGGCTTTCCTGTGGCCGCAATCGACGGCCCAGTTGTAGTTGCAGTGATGGTGGACGTTGCCCTTGCCGTCGAAGAGCAGGCCGTTCTCGCAGGTTTCGACGGTGAGCGTGCCGTTGGTGCAGAGGAAGAACAGATTGCAGGATTCCGGGTGGGCGTACGCCTGGACGCCGTGCTCCTCCGGGCACGCCGGTCCGTCTTGGACCAAGACCGCTCCCGCTGTCGGGTCAAAAAATATACATAAAGTTTCCTGATTGTATCGATAAAGTACATCGCTCGAAGCATAGGCTACACTGATGGTACGAATTGACGTGATCTATTGACAGATAATCTAAATTTTTGACATTGACAGCTCGAGTTTTTGTGATTATTAAATGATTTCGAATTGATTTATTAATTATACTCTTTAGTCAGACTCTTAGGAGAAATTAGCTAATAAAAGTAATATAATTTAGCTAATTATATCAAACAGGTATTTTGATAAAAAAAGCGCATAACAATTTCGGACTACTATGATTATACAAATTGACATGACACAGTGAGAGATAATCGAACTCTTTGACATTGACAGCTTAATTTTTGTGTGATGGTGACTTCGAGTTTCGATTTGATTAACAGGTAATTATATTCTTTAATAATTAGACCCTTAATTATATTATTAGGTTAATTAAATATAGGTACTCATAGAAGTAATTAGCTAATAGGAGTAATATAATAAAATTACTTTGTTATATCAAACGGGTATTTTGATAAAAAAACACAGGCTACTACGATTGTAGATTTAAATCGACATGAGAGAAATTCCAACATTTTGACATTGACAGCTCGATTTTTTTTGTGATTTCAAATTATTTCCTAATTAAACTCTTCAATAAAACACCTACATAATTACATTATTAAGATACTTAAATATAATCTTAATTATACCAAACGAGTAATTTGATAAAAGCGTACAATAATCACAGGCTACTACGATTGTACATGATAATTGACACGACACAATGACAGTTCCTAAATATTAAGACATTGACAGTTCGATTTTGCGGTAATTTTTTATCGATTAATTTTAATTACTAATATATGTAGATTGTGTTGCCCGAGGTGAAATTTCGCGGTAACTTTAACGGAACCAAAAGTATATTTTCGTTGCGATAATTACCTATTCGGTACTGCACCTATTCGAGTGAAGGTAACTGGTCTAGAATTACAATTCGAACACAACCGAGAATGTTACTCAAGAGTGTTTTGTTGGCGTATTTTATTGTATTTTTAATTAATGTATTGCTTCTGTGATTCGTACGGTTCCCTATTCTTATCGCACTTCATGCATTTTCAATATACTTCCTTTTTTTATTTGTTACCAATTTTCTTAGCATGCTCTAGAATGTGTCAAATTCTGCGATAAATAATCAGTGTGTTGTGAATGTAAATGTCAAATTAATTATTTAGATTGAAACATCGTTACATAACAAATTCCGGTCTGCGGTGTTGTGGGATTTAAAAAACGAAATGAGATAATGGAAAGCGCAATTTTCTAATCTCGTTATTATTTGTTTAGTCGGGTATTGATTTGGACACGACGAGAAAGTGTAATTTTTTGTTTGTTTCGTTTATTCTCGTTCATCCATTAGCAGTAATTTATTTTTATTAGAAATTTCACTTTTAAAAAAGTCCATTACACGAATGACTGATGGTCGAATTCCTTCGTATAATGCAGTAATTATGTACGATACATTATTTGGTACACAATTTATTTATGTTTACATTTTCATTCGAAATTCGTATTAGAATCCTACCTAATGCCTAAATGTTACACCTGAATATTTAATGTTGGCTAAAACCAGTTTGTTTCTTAAGTAATTAAAGTAATTGCATGCATTACTAGAGGTACAATGTAGGTAAAATTGCAAATTGAAAACTCAGTTATTAATTCAATTAGAAACTGAATATTACCACTAAACTATCGGGATTTCTCGTTTCTAACTACAAAAATTTAAATAAATTAAATTATTGTAGATTAGATAATCTTAATGTAAATGCAATGTGAAATTGTTTACTAATATTATTGAATTTTCTTGTCTCAATAAGAGTAAGATTTTTGCCATTCGAAGTGCCATTTTCTTAATAATCCACACTTTCATCAAATGCAAGATCACATCCAAAATGTATTTACCAAATAACATAATTATTTAACAACAACTGATAACCAAATTCATCGATAAATCGAGCAACAGTAAAGGAACAATATGGTACTTACCGAAACTGGTGATGGAGAAAGAAAGGACGGCGATGGCGAGCGATCTCATGGCGACTGCCTCTATCCTTGACGAGACCCTAAGTTAAATAAACTGCCCGAGTTCTCCGACAGTCTCAACACTTTCTACACGCCTCGGCGACTTGCCGACGAATAGTTTAAGGCGAATTAAAGTGTCTTAAGACCGTGATACGCACCACTCTCAGCTGGTTTTCACGAGTTTACTTGCACATTATACAGGGCGTTTTTTTTGTAATCGGAGAATTGGTCGATATACAGGGGGAAGAAGCGTTTCCGCGTCGGTGTATTGCGTAAATAAACCGTTTGTGCTACTAATAAAAAAATAATTAGCATCTTCATTATGATTATGATTTCGTTATGTAATTTATTCGATCGAGTTCATTGTGTTTTCGCAGAGGAAGAGTGAAGAAATTCGAACCCACCTAAAATCTGTCAATATTTTCTCGAATTATTTTTGTGGTATTATCTCAATTCGTTTTCCTCTTGAGCTGTGATAATAACTGTACTTTATTACCCGCAACAAAACGGAGATAATTGAATATTGGAGTTAAAGTAACCGAATTCGTGACCGCAACATGAAAATAAAACATTACATTATGTGTACTTTCTCTTGTATATTTCGCAGTCATCAGATGTGTTATTGGCAATGGTATTTTCTTTCGACAATCGTATTATTTGGCAAGATACAGTTCCTTATAAGCGCCGAAGGAACTATTAATTTTTAAGAGATAAAAGATATTTACGACTCCCCGTATATGTAGGTGTATAGCAGAACATTCACGATTTATTAAAATACTACCGTATACAGCTATAAATATCGAGCGGCATTAAAATTATTGTGTAATAACGACATATTCTAATTATCGAGAACAGTGAAAGTTTCAAAACAATATTTTTTTGATTCGTGTTGCCACATTTCTGGCAAACTGTTCTCATTGTGAACATTCACCGATCTAATAGGGTTTCAAACTATTTTGTATATACCTTTTGTTGCTCAAACAGTTCTGAATTTATTGTGTATTAAAATTAGCGGGCGACAATGAATTAATTCGAACATACTCCAAAATCGTTGCATTAATTATGACGTTGAGCGAAAACCGCTTTTTACTTTACGCTTAACCGTTTTTCAAGGTAATCCGCATTGATGCAGCCGCAAACGAACCCAAAGAAAACCTTTCGAAACAAGAATTTATTATAAATAACTCGACAATCGAGTTAACAAACCCATTCATCGATACAAGTAAAACGCTTATCAAAACTTACAAATTTATTTTAAAAATCCTTACACCTACAAGTCTATTTTAACCTGTTCTATTACTTATTCTTCCTGGACGGTATCCCCGCCGGCTGCCCGGCCGGTTTCGAATTCCCCGAATAATAATTCTCGCTAAAAAAAAACAACCCCTCATTACCACCGCACCTCGCCGAAAACCGAACAAACTCACCATCCCTGCACGTTGGCGGGATCCTCGCACCTGTAGGACACGTCGTTGTACACGCTGCCGGGCGAGCAGGAGCCCAGCTGCGGATCGAGCCCGTTCCTGCATATGTAGAACTTCTGGCAATCGGTGGGATGCGGGTAGGTCGGGTGCGGCACCTTCCTGCCGTCCGCCTCCGTCAGGCCCTGCGCCTCCCCGGGGCACTCGAACCCGTCCTCCAGCGGATCGCGCTTCGGCTTCAGGCACTCCGGCCTCCTGCTGCTCGCCGCCCAGACGCACGTGCTGGACACCTCGTCGTAGACGAGCCCTCAAAAAAACACCGCTGAATTGCGATAGCCTGTGCACCAGCGAGCGCTTACCTGCCGGACAGTGGAACTCCTTGGGCTTGCCCTCGAAGCAGTTGTGGAACTTCGTGCAGTCCCTCGGGTGCGGGTAGAAGCCGTTCGCTCTGGGACAGCCGGCGCTCGGTTTGGCTTCCTCTGTACAACACACTCGATGGGTTCAAGGTTTCCCTTTAAGGGGTGCTACTCACGCAGGGCGGTTCTGTCTCCGCAGTCCACGTTAGCGGGGACCTCGCAGCGCTCGAAGTTCGGGTCCCTGTCGTCGAAGACCAGACCGTCGGGGCACAGCCTCTCCTCGTGCTTGCCCTTCGAGCAGATGTAGTAGAGGTCGCATTGGTCCGGGTCGGGGAAGAACCCCGTGCCGGTGGGGCACCGGTTTTGCGCGTACACGCCTGCGAATGTTTTTGTACAGGCTGGACTCTTTGTCGGTTGAATTACTTACCGGCGAACAGGAGGACGAGCAGGAATTTCATTGTGTCGGGAGCAACTGTAGCACCGTGACACTCGGCGTGAGCGCGTCTTCGAATATGGGACGCGCTCGTTCGAAGAAAGTGACTGATTCCGTCTCGTTAGACTCGCACCTTTTGCAGCCGAGGTTCCTCGCTTACGAGGTGCGGCCGAATTGTTGTCTGTGTACGGATACGTGTAAATTTGTTGGCAATTTCTACGACTTAAACGAAGATTTGCATTCGCGAGAAGGCCGTAAAATAACAGTGGTTAGAATGAGAAGCATTCCCACAATTTCACTGTACCTTTTTCCTTATTATGAGACTTGTTTTTGTTGCACTCAAAGCTGCACTTACCTGTATATGCACCTACTTGACTAATTATCTGTAGCATCTCCAAAAATATTATTATCAGTTTTGTTTTAGCTTTCATCATGATTGAGTGGATAAGCTGCGGTCGAGGAGTAAGCGATAGTGAACTCTTCATTAGTACTCATCGTAAGCACCCGGTAAGTTTAAAATTTATTCAATTGCATCTTCTCGTGATTTTACGGTTGCGTAAAGGAGTGTTGATACAGAATCGTTTAACCTTTCGATAATGTAATTAAATCGTAGGTGGCGTAGCAGTGTGGGGTTTTGCAAAAATTTTCGGATTGGGTGCGAGGTGAGGGAAACGAATTTGAATTATATAATCTTTTATTGATAATAATCCAGAGCAATAGCGACATTTCCAATACAATTTACAATTCGTGGGATGTCATTTTTGTTTTCAATATCGTAACTATTTTATAATACTTGAAAATATTGTAAAATATATCTAAAAATATCGGCTACGTAGGAAACGATAAAAAAATTCTAAACTAAAACTAAAACTAAAACGAAAAACGTTATTTTATTAGTAAGTACCTAAAGAACGTATTAGAATACTAAAGTAAAATAATTTAATAAAATGAGCCTTTCCAGCTTTTAGTTTGTAAATTATTAATTCAAATTTCACTTTTTTTATAAACCCGTTATAATAATACTTCGCTTCATAGAAGCGAATCTATACAATTCTACAGTGTGTTTAGTTTTATAAAATTACTAACGAGATGAAAATATATTTGCGTAAAAACAGCCATTCCAAATAAAAAAAATAACATAAACCAATTTCGTGTAGCATTCTAGTATATTTCAACAAATAATATCCTCCATTTTTACTCTACATATTCATACGAAAATTATTCGATGAAAATGATTTGGGAAAAGGCTGTTCAACGTTCGCACACTGCGCAACATGGTGTAAGTCTAAAATTTGTAAATTCGTTACAAGAAATACTTAATATCTACAGAGAAACGAACAGTTATATTTTTACATAAACTGCGGTAGGATTAGGAGTTTCTAAAAAGTTCCTTTTCAAATCGAATTCGAGTAAAAAAACACAACGATTCGCCGAAGAAACGAACGTTTATTGCGGTTTGTGGAGATATGTTCAGTAAAAATCAAACTCCGTTAGGATTAAACGACCTTAAGTAAAATTAAAAATTATTAATACTAACTTTTTTTTATAAATATCGTTATTAGAAAAAAGTTTTTTAAGCGGAGCTAAGAGAATTTTTTTATCTGCTACTGTAATTGCTACGTCACGTAGCATATTTTGTTATAAATAACTATACATAGGTATTTACAAGAGGAATAGATTATTGCTAAAAATGATATCTAAACAAAAACTTAATAGGTATTCTTTCCTTCAAATATTATTATTTGCGCATCCAGGACGAGGCATTAAAAATTAATTAACGCTACGTCCTGTATATCTTATAATTTCAACAGTTTTTCTTTCAATTTTATAACATCGAATTTAATGAACTTAAAATTGGTAATTCCAAAAGTGCAATAAACATTTTATTACAATATTGGAACACCCTGTATATTAGCTCTCTACTAATTAACGCTAAAAAGAAACTAATTAAAGTTTTATAAGCTCGTAACTCGTTTGTACAGTCCAATTTTTCATCGATTTTACCTACAACTAATTAAATTTTAGTAGCCAGAAGAACGAAAAAACGATAGGAAATAATATCGATGATTATCGATTATCGGCGAAATTTTAATCGGGAAAGTCTACATCTAAATCCGGACAATTTTATTGTCGACTCAGCAGTGACAAATCCAAGTGTTCCAAATAACTTTCGAAAAAGCTCTTATTAAACCAAGGCTCGTAAATTCAACAGGTTGGATCGCGATGTACGTGACGTCATTAACTTATTTTAATATTAGAGAAGTGAAATGAACCAAATTTTCGGCCATTTTGTTCACGTACGATACAACCTATACTAAAATATCGAGTTTAAACGGCAAGAAATGGCATCAACTGTTGAAATTATTCTAATTATTTTTCAGTTCTTTTAATTTCATAACGCATAATTAATGTATAATATTTTAATCGGTTTTCGCTCGGGGAATACACAAGTTGGTTTGAGTGACGACATATTTATTTTTTTTTTCGTACAAACTAATTTAATTTCGACAACAAAACGGTTAAATATTCGTTTTGTATTGATTGTCCGTAAACATTTAAGCGAGTTATTAGTGAAGCTCCTTTTCCGGGGGTAAAAGGGGAAGCAGATTTACGCGCCCTGCTTTCGAATTAATACGTGGGAAAGATCAAAAACCAGCCGCTGCAGAACTCCATATGAGTGACAATTAATTTTTTCGATAATAAAAAATATTGAAAATATTCATCAGTCGAGGATGGGTTTCTTTTTCTTATGAAATTTTACAGCAACTTTAAAAACGTATTTACATATTTTTTTTTAATGTACTTAGGTGTAATATATATAATATATAATTTTTTTTTCAAAGGGACCAACACATGTAAGCTGAACAATATTGCTTTAAAAAGTGTACTAAAATTTACAATATATTCATCGTCGTCTTGAAAGCTTCAATTTCGTTTTTTTTTCTTTCTCTATGATTTTTTTTACAAAGTTCATTTCGCTTTTTGACGCTTTCTTGGTCCGAAATAGATCAGTTTTTCAAGCTGACTGTTGAAATTTACTTTTTTCTTCTTCTAAATTCAAGTTCGAAATTATTAAAATATCATCTTTCTTTTTAAATTACAGTACACGTATATCACAGACCTACAATATTCATAAAAAAAATGAAACGAAAATCCGAAAATCAATCCAAACAGGACGAAAATGTCTCGAACCAACTCAAAAACTCGCCTCGAGTACCGCCATTTTGTCGTAAACTATTACTCGAAAATGCTATTACTAGATCGCGGTACTCGAGGAAGCACATACGAATAAAGTCGATATTATTTAAAAGCACAAAATTCAAGCACTATCGGGGCAAAGGGGGTAGAGTTTAGGGAACGATTAAAATTGCGACCGTCTCGAATCCTCGAGTGGGCACTTAACTCGAACAAATACCAACTAATAACTACTCCGAACGTTTCCTGTCGGAGCGGCCGAAATCTAAGCGAGTACGCAACTCTCTCGAAACGAAATAACGAAATTAAAAAAAAAATATATCTAACCGATTAGGTCCAAAAATTATTTACACGAATAAAACGAGAGTCCAATACAAGGGAATTCCTAAATAGGTGAGTGCCAACGGGCCGCGTTCAAGGAGCTATCACACCAACGGCCTGTAGATTTCATTCGGATGGCTGTTCTGGTTGCTCGCGTTCTGGCGCGTCGAACATTGCTGCAAAACAATCATCGAATCAGTAACGAGCTCGCGCCGCCACCGAGACCACTTACCGCCTGCTTCTTCTCCCACGTCTTCATCGCCGACTTGTACTTCTCGAATTCGTGGCACCAATCCGAGTAGATCTTCTGGTAGTCGTTGCTCTTGGCCGGCGGCGAGCAGCGGTGCGCGTCGACGGTCACGTTGAACGAGCACAACAGCGAGGCGCCCATCCAGCAATCGTACCGGCCGGCGTCGGCCTCCGTCACGGCGATGATCACCAGCCCGTGCTCGGACGTTTCCACGTACTTGTCCGGCCGGTACTGGATCTTGTAGCGGCCCTTCTCCTTCGAATAGTGGAACCAGGTGATCGTCTGCGTCGACAGCACGGCCGGCATCTTCAGGAAGCAGCCGAGGTGCAGCGATTGGCCCCACGTCACCACCATTTTCTTCTTCACCACGCTGCTGTCGCACACGTCGTGCGTACGGTTCGCCACGTCCTGCAGGAGACTACAGAAAACACTCAATAATTACGATAATTTATAATTTAATCGATCTTACCCTGGTGAGTAGGGTTTGCAAACGTTCAGATCCTTGTCCCAGCCGCAGTAGGGGTCGTGGACGCACCTCAAGCAGTTATCGTATCTCCTGTTGCACATCACCAAATCCACTTGCTTCACCCGGTGATCCGAAGCTACATACAACGCTTTGTGGACCTTCGATAACTCCATCACTTGTATCGGCTCGTTGGGTGTAACATCGAACACGTCGAGCAAAATCGAAGAAGAACCTTCTTCGCGAGCCCACTCCACTATCTTATGCACCCTACCATCATCTGCACACCACAGCGAGATTAATACAACGATCATCAAACCAAAGAAATAGATACTTACTAGTTCCTGCATAGTAAACGGTATAATCCAACACATCGCCGCCGATATCGACTTTGATCTTATCGACGACCAATCGCGTGAAGAATATATCGCGCTTGAAGAAGACCGGCTTCTCGTTCTCGTGCATGACGGCCGAATCCATGAGCGGGTGGCTCCTGATGAAGTTCAGCACGGTGTCCGGCAGCGTTTCGGTGTCGTTGACGCAGGTGCCCGGCCGCGGCTCGGGCACGCGGCTCGAGAGGACCGGCAGCCAGGCCGACGACGACGACGCCTGCTCCTTGAATTTGCCGCTGAAGGCGGCCTGGATGTCGGGCAGCGTGAACGAGCAAATGGCCGAGCCCATCAGGCCGTTGGTCGACGTGGTGAAGGTGCCGAAGAAGCGGTTGTCGTCGCCCGGTACCTTGTAGATGCTCTCTGGAATTCGATCGAGTGGTAATTGCGAATTTTTAGAGGGGATTGGAGCTTACGGATTTCGTTGAAGTAGAAGGGGAACTCGCCGGGTATGGAGCAGTTGAGCCGGGCTTTGAGGTAGGTGGCCCAGTTCTGGGAGAGGATGTTCTTGCCGCCGGTGTCCTTTTTGCAGACGCGCGCCACTCGCGAGTAGACGCTCTTGCCGCAGTTTATGTACTCGACGGCGGTTTCTCTGAAGAAGAACAGCACGTAGTCGCCGATGTCGAAGGACCCCACGAAGTTCGGCTCTGTAATTGAGAGGCATTTAATCCTCGAACGGTTTTATTTTTTTTTTCGTTTCGCATTAAATCAGTTGAGTAGAAGGGAGACACCTGAGCCGTCGTGCGGGCGTGTAATCGCCTCTCCTAACAGCTCTAATCCGGTTATTCCGGCGGAAGGAGCAAACAACCAAACACCTTTGAGCGTAGGGTTACCCGTTATACTCTATAGTGGACTGGGTATAATCCGGGGCGCCCCGCGTCTCTTTTTCGTTTTGCGATTCCCGCTGGTCTGGGGTTCACTATATCGGCGCCAAGGTGATGATGGTTACAGCGAGGGGACGTTTCCAAAGAGGATTCATAAAACCGCTTACCGGGGGATATTTTCCACGACAACCTGATGGGTTTATATATAAAGTGTCATCAACTTTGAAACGCGAAATAGATAGTATGATGTAGCAAATATTCTTTTTCAAAAAGTAAATTACTACAACAGAAAAAATGGTCGTGGAATTCTCATCTTAACGCACGCTGCGATCAGGTTGTACCCGGAAAAATTCACACACGTACGGTTTTTTTTTATTTAATACAAAAGGGACATATTCTAGATAATAATTCTTTGTGATAAAAGCATTAAAGCCCGCATTAATCTGAAATTCACCAGGCTATCATCTCTCGGAATCCCGGCCCGAAATACCATAGAAAATGGCGTCATCAAACAAAAGCATGTGCAACTGGATAATTAAAACGGGGAGCTTTTCTATTTTCGCGGATCTCTTTCGCTCGGTTTTAGTACGAACGGTATATACTAACAAAGTTAGTATATACCTACATCTAATAATTTATTTATTATTAGTGAATAATCTTTTTATTGTAAAATATTTTAAGGCATTACAAAACTAGGCAAATATTCTTATAAATTATCGAGAGTAGGTACCTACATAATATTAATATGAAGATGAAGAATATGTTGAATGAAAATTATTGCTACTAAATCCACGATGATAATGAATCTTTTATACTTCATTAAGCGCTTCAATTAACTACCTCCAGGTAATCGAATATATCAGGATAATTTTATCTATATCGCCGATACTATTTCCCTTCCGGATCCCCCTAGTTCCCTTTTTTACCCGGACGTGGTTACTGGACCAGTTTTTGCGCCTTTGATTACTACCTACCTATCTCCATTAGCGCGGTTTCCTCAATACACCGTTCGTTTTCCACCTTCGGAATTTCTATGCACATACACACACACACACACACGTCTTTAGGAACACTAAAAAATACACCAGGGAAGGAAATTACATACATCAAAAACCTCGATTCCTAGTTCCCGACGATAGAAATATTAACGCTAGATAATCGCGCAAGTTTATCAACCTTTGAAGTTCCCGTAAGGTCGTGGAAAGTATATGGAAACCGCACGGAAATTATCGAGATACCTTCCTCTAATTAAATCCTCGCTACCTCCGGCCCTTGAGTAATTGGCGCGTTTTCGGCGCGTCCGCCTATCTAATTTCTAATGGCCACCCTACGTGATTAAAGATGTCGAAGTAGCGCCCGTCGAAGATAGCCCTCTTGTTAGCGCCCCCCGGATCGAAATGTTCGAGGCGGAAAGGTAACCGTTAAACGCGTAAATAAAGGACCTTAATTACAGCGACGAGTGCCTTAGGTGGAAATTTGCTGGAGCATTTACCGTTTTTTGCGCGTATCGTTCTTGAATACTCGAAAGATAGCGATTGTACAAGCGTAATTAGTGTTGCCTAAGCGTATGGTAAAGTGGGGCAAGTAACAGGTTACGAATTTTTATACCTGGCGAAGTTACCCTCGTAATTTTCGGAAGTCTCCTCATTTTACGGGACATTTACATACATATTATTCCCGGGACCTCGTGCATTTTTATTATTTTATGCTCGGGCGTACTTAGAGGACGCCGCCGCGTTATTCAACGGTCTTTCTTATTTATGTAAATTATTCGAAACAGCAACTTCATAAAAATGTAAATTGATAGTAAATTAGGGCATTTTTACACGTCTCGATCTCGGAGTTACAAAAACATTTTCTACCCGAGATTCTCGCGTAATTTCCGATGAAATAATTCCCGGAAAATTCGAGGAGTAAATACATCTCGCTCGAACGATTGATGTATTTTCGCGGCGTAATTATAATACCTGGGGTTTTCGATTCCTGCGAACGAAACGTACATGTAAAAATTCCCTCGCTCGAAATTCCTCTTACACATTCGCCAAAGTGAAACACGATCCCCCATTCAACAAATAATAAAATTCGAAATTGTATCAAATTTCGCAACGAGTGTGTACGGTCTCGTCTGGGGGATGAATGAGGAACGTTATACGATAAAAATGCAGTGGTGTCGCCTTTTAAATCAATCACCCTCTTACACAAAATACAACTAAAATGTTAATACTAAATTAATTAGCGGCAATATCTCGATGCAAGGTAGTGCATTGCACAAAGAAATAAACAGTAACAGGGGTTTATATAAAAAAAAATTGGTATAAAGTACGACTCGCGCCGCCCCTGGGCTTCGTACAATGTGGGTAGGGGGCGGGTTCGTAATTATCTTTCGCCCCAATAACCGCAAAATGCGAAGCCACGTATTTTGCGTAATGACGTTAAGACCGTATGAAAGTTACGTAAGCTTTAGAGACATTAGTTAAATGTCTGGAAAAATTATACGCGTGACGGGTATAAGCTCCGGGAACGACCCGCTGAATTATCGATACGATTTTACTGTATTTTCACGATTAGCACACGCAAAAGAGGCGCTCCTTTGATATGATTGAGAGACGAGCGCGCTAAAGGAAAATTCCAGCGCGCCGCGGAGAGGAAAATTAGAAATTTCTCGATAAAACAAAAAAATACTCACTGTCCAACCATTTCGAATCGTACTTCAACGTCCTCTTGAAGCTGTACTCCTTCCTGCCGGTGGTCAAGTTGTGCAGGTCCGTCCTGAATATGACGGTGTCCGCTTTGGTGAATTCCGCGTTGGTGCCGGAATAGAGACCGGCCAAGTCGCCCGGATTGCCCTTTTCCACCCAAACGGCCGTCGAATTGTCCGCCGGATCGTACGGGCATTTCGCTATGCCCATACCTATGCCGGGCACGAACGTATTGCGCGGAAGATGCGTCAAATTCGCCTGAAAAACAATGCAAAATCATACCGCCATGTTGTTTCAAACACAGCCATTTTGTTTCAAACACAGCCATTTTGTTTCAAACATCGCCATTTTGTTTCAAACTTCGCCATTTTGATTCAAACGCCGCCATTTAGTTTCAAACTCAGCCATTTTGTTTCAACTGTCGCCCTTTTTGGATTTTCATATGTTGACAAGTGGCAGACGACGTGTGACATACAGTTGTCAAATTTAATTAAAATGGCGGATGCAAATAGGAAGTTAATAATAATAATAATAGGGGGTTTGTAGTGAAATAAACTAATAACGCGAAAGGTTAAATCAAAGTAAACCTCGCAGACTATTTAATACCTGCAAATTGAGTTTGTTTAGAAGGAATTTAATATTTATTCAGAGCGGGCGAGGTACCCACTCGAATCCGCGCCGCTCTCGGGACCAAATAAATTAATAATACTCCAAATATTGATTCAAGCCGGAACCGATATCTGGGGTAATGATGCTAACAAGCTGCGATGATGTAATTTTCGAAACTAGAAATTGCATGATTGACAATAACTTCGGTCGGGTTTATCTTGTCATTACACACGGGGAATCGATCTTTCGTTTTAAGATTTAATGAACCCGACGGTCGCAACTAGTTGTTAGCTAGTTCGTTAGCTAACTAAGTATACGGGAATTTAATTGGAATTCGTATATGCATTTTACATGCGCGCTAGCAACTTTGTTGCTTCGTGGAAATTTTCAACGATTCCACTATATAGAAATGTTCATTTGGATTCGAACAAATTATCTATTTACGTCGTACACGAAGCAAAAAAAAACGGTCCAACGCAACCCCATTTCATTAGTGACTCACTCGGCATCCGAAAAAAAAATATATGCACGCACCGAAATCCTACTTATATCATCCACCAGAAGGCATCAGGACTTTAATTCCCTAATGTAACTCAAGGATTTCGCATTATTATTGTACATATTCGGGCCCGGGTCGTCGGCCGATAAGGAAGGGAAAATCTTCTCGTTTTCGACTAAATACGACTCTACGGCTGATGCATTGAAAACTCCCAAATGGAAAACGGGGAGAGAACCGCAAAAAGAACCAGGAACGCACTGAACACTTTCCCTTTCACTACATTCACTAATTCAGGTAGTTTTCGTAAAAAACAAACGCATTGAAACCAACAATAAATAAAGCGTTGCATGAAGAACAATAATTTGTTGAAGAATAAGTGAACAACAATTGAAGTATAGGTGAACAACAATTGATGTATAGAACAACAATTGAAGTATAAAGGAACAACAATTAAAGTATAGAACAACAATTGAAGTATAATGGAACAACAATTGAAGTATAGATGAACAACAATTGAACATGAGCAGGTTTCTTAATTTCATCTGGTATGGAAGACAAAAAAAGTCGTGTGTGTTGGATGCGTCCCTGTATATAGAACGTATGCGGGAGTCAAGCGTTATGAACCCAATAATAGCGAACGAGAATGGCGGAATTAATAAAGCGAAACGCGCTGGGTTCGAAGCTAATGCGACGGGAAACGTCGGCGGTGGAAAGAGAAAGCCGCATCTAATAACGCAACATCAGGTACTGGTGTAAAATGCGATAAGACACCTCTTTCGAGCCACACACCTTCCCCGCGCTGAACGATAGTCGTATTAAAGATGCATGTATATCGTTCAGAACGGCGTCGATTCGATAGTTATGAAAAATTTAAAAGCTCATATACTCACGTTAATGACCCAATCTTTGGGATTGTGGGCGTTGGTGCCGCACACGTACAGCCTGTTCCCGTCTCCCATCGACTGGATGACTCGAATGTGATTGCGGCAATCGAAGTGCTGAAACAAAAATTTCGACGTTGAGTATAACAAAAAAAAATCGAAATCGAAAGGAAACGCCGCCGCCCCCCTTCCGATGCCGGGAGAGAGAAATCGGCGGGTGTCGAAGCAGAATGGCTGTTAACCTCCGACCGCGAAAATACTGCCGGCCATCGATTCCCCCGGAGACCGACTCCTTATATGAAGTTGGAAAAAGTTTCAGCTATCCCGCGAGCCGCCGGACACGGTGGAAAAAGGAAGCGAAAGAGGAGAGAAAAAAAAACCCGGCTCTGATCGCCTCGATTCAAGTGGAAATTGCCGTGTTATACGCTCCTGACCGCTTGGGACTACTTTTATTGGTAATCGGAGGAATCCGCTTCTGCTATTAAACTTGCGATAATATCGCCGGGAACTCACTCCTCTTCGCTATATATAAAAGGCGCTGCGATTACTTTTCTTCGACGCTACAAATCGGGTCGATCAAAAGGGCATTTGTCATCTTTTACCTCGCTTTTTTATTGATATCATAACAGTTTACCGGAATCGTAAAGGTATTTTTCACGACCTACCGCCGTTAGAACGCCGTTTGTCACGTTTCCGGATTATTAACCAAGTCCTTCAACAATTCATTCAACAATAATATAACGAAAAATTAATCCAATCTCCACATAACTAATACCTATAAAAGCCTTTTTTCCTGTTACGCACATTCATAACTCTCCATATACGTTTGCCGAAAACGTTCATCATCATCATCGTTTAATTGAAATCCAATAAAGAAACATAAACGAACCGTCGAAGGGGAAAAGGGCCGAGGCGAAAAAGGGGAACCCGTCCGCTCCCTCAATTTGCTTAAGTACTGAGCGATGGCCTAAAAGCGACCTTAATTGGAAAAACGGTCCACTTGAATATTTCGTTTGAACCGTTAAGATACGTACTACGTATCACGTATACGTTATTAAAAACGATATAATTGCATAAAATCGTGCGTATACAGGGCGATTCGTCGATTCTAAAATCCTATAATTAATATTCGGAATCGAACGGAAACCTTTCCCGGCTACAACAGAGACGCTAGTATCACTTACACAATTTTCCCATCTCTATGTATTACTCGTAATTAAGCTAACCGAATGCAGCGCTGCATGTTGCACCAAAAATGAGTACATTTGTAATAGTATATGCGCCTATTCGATACGCCAGTATGACGTTAATTTAGTAATTTACTTAGCAATTTTATCGACAGTTGGTAGCATTTATATCACTATAAAATAAGGGGTATTTTTATACACCTCTACGAGGTAAATCGAGTTAATTAGAATTCATATAAAACTCCCTAATTAGCGATTGGTTCGCATTACTTCCGCCAAAAATTATAATCGATTAATTAGCTAATAATATTATGATTATTCCGGCACGTGATTTAGCTCATGCTCGTGTGAGCCCGTTCGAGTAAAACCGGGCGAATGTTTTGTCCCTTGAAAGTTGTAGGTAGTAATTTACCAGGCGCTTAGATTGCACTTTACTCCGGAGCTCGAGAGTTCGAGAGTTCGACTCCTAATGGATTGCATGCTGGCTTGGCGTTTGTGCGGATACAGGGCGAGCAAAAAGTAAGTTACCGCGAGCAACAAAAAATCCCTTTGTTTCGAGTATTAATGTGGCACCCTGTATAAAAGAAATCTCGATTAATGTTTCTGAATAATTCGCGAATCCTTCCGACAAGTCCCTGCTTATGTTTCGTCGTTGTTTGAATAATTCCTAAAGCGTTCGAGAGAGGAAAAAATCGCCACTTTGCCGATACTCCCGCTCCCCAGGTCGCCAATTAACAATGAGCTTTTTATTAAAAGTGAAGAGCTTTCGCCGCACGATAAGCCGCCGAGTTTTCCGTCTAGCAGCGCTTTCCCGGGCGGAAATTTCTTCCGATATCGCCCGGAGGAAGCGTACAAGTCGGGAATTTTATTGTTGTTTTTTTATCCACTTTTTCGAGCAAGTAAAAAATAATCGATTTTGTGTCGTAGAAAAGGGGTTAATTAGATTTTCGTATTGTAATTAATGTAATATGCAAAGTATCCGGCGGTATTTTCAATTGTCTTCCACAGCGTTAGCGCTTTATTTAAATTTATCCGTAAAGTTTACGGGAAAAAGGGGCGAGAGAGAAAAAAAAAGTAATTTTAATCCGCATCCTCCTACCTCCGTTGACAGCGTTGCTCTTTTAACAAAAAATATATCCGCTTTAAATTTGGTACATAAGCCGAATTTCCTCAAATGAAATCCCCCAACCCGGTGGCCTATAAATAAAAATACGTATCCAGGTCGCCGTAAGTTCTCCCTTTAGCCGATTGTCCGCGTTAAGGAAGCGACGGGCGAAAGGAAGAAAAAAAAAAGGAGCCGAGGAAATTCTGGAAGTATCTTCGCCATCTACTCGCGCTAAGTTGATAATTTACGAGCAGATTCGAGTTTAGCTTTTCTAATTTGCATGTTTCGAACGGGCACGGGCGTATGTGTGAGGGCGAGGATAACGACAATTTAGTATTGCGATTACAAAGAATCGCGAAAAAGGACGAAGAAGAAAAAAATGGAAAACGGAAACTTTTTTCGCTGTATATACGAATGAATTTTTACGGCTCTATACAATTTATAAGTTCTTTCGAAGTAATACAAGCACTGTGTAGCACTGTGTAGCACAAACAGTAGAGGCCACAAATTCACTACAAAAAGAAGACATATTTAAAAATTAAAAATTGGCGCGCCACTGCGGGTTGGCCCCCTATTTTATTCAGTGGGGGGGCGTCGTTTTAATCTTTTTCTGGTGCACCTGAGCTTGTTCCGTTTTCGCAACGTTAACTTACGAGCATTCCGAGAACCTTCTTCTATCAATTACACGCATTATTGATTAGAACGTATACGGCCCCCGAGGGGCCCGCGGAGCCCGGGCGGGTTCAGTTTGGAAATTCAACGATTCATGACGTTCAATTTTCGTTATGTAACTATTACGGAGACCGAACGACGTTAATAGACAATCAGAAGCAGCGTCGGGGGTCACGTAAATTTACTGTATAGTTTGGATGATCTAAAGTATCTAAAGTAAAAGAATTTTTGTGCCTTTTATAGTACAAAAAGTAGTTCAAAATTAATAGTAATGAACTTTAAATGGGCGGCAATTCGTATCCAACTAACACATTGTTTAAAAAGTCAATCATAAACTCGAAATGGTCGAGAAAGTTTAATGTAGATACATTCTCGTTATTTTTAACTATTATATTTTCGAAATGCGCTAGTTTTGCGGGACGACATGTTACATGCAAATTTCGCCGAATTCGCCGAAGTTCGAAATTCGAAACGAGCCAATTGTGTTTTTGAAATTGCGGGGAAAAAGACGAGAGGCGCGCGCGTTCGCAAAATCGCATATGTTACCGCAATTTTCGCTCTATTCATCAACATCGATCAGACCGTAAAACGCGCTGCAATGATTTCGCATAAATTACCCCGAAACTTTCCCTAATGCGCCTAATAGCGTATACGCTATTTTAACGTATCGTTCAAGCATCTCCCGCGACATTCTGAATTCACTCGAACAGCGATTGTCGACCGGCTAAGAACTCGATATAACGTTTTATCAATTTAACGTGATATAAAAGCAGACCGTATGTAAAACTGTCACGTTTGAGAGTCGAAATTTATAGAACAAGCGGATAACTGGGATAACTTTCCGTGCATAGAGTCCGCGACCGATGCTCGGCCCAGATTAAATTAGACGGCGCCAGGTTTAAATGGTCCGGAAACCGGAATTTTTCCACGATAATTGCCCTGTTCCGTGTCGTAAAACGGTTCGCGAAACGGTCGATCGGGGATTTTCGGCGTGTTCGGGCAACGCTGCAAAACGTGATTGGATTCAGACGAAATCCCAGTCTGTAATGCCCATTCAATAGATATACAGAGTCTAACCAAAAAGTAGTTCTTACCACATTTTATTACAGAAATAGTCATAAAAAATCTTTTTGTTACACCCTGTATACTAGTAGTTATCGTCGAACTTTCGAATAGAAATTTGCTGTTTCGAAACAAACTCAGATATACATAAAAATTAACAATAATAACATTTAACGTACATCAAATAATCGTAACGTTATATTAGCGTAAATTCCGCGGAAACTCCATTGTTTTATGCCCGCATATACGGTATAAATTCGCTCTTTTTACATTTTAGAGACAGCTCTAAAAATTCAACGACTCATTATGCGCAAAGTTTAAAACCCAAACGCTTTTACCATATCAAAAAGCCCTGGCTTTTATTGAATCTTCTCCGGCGCAACGTAAAAGTGAAAGCCCGGGCGGGAAATAAACAATTTAATGGCTTTTCATCTCGTATGCACTCTTGCGCATTTAAAACGTCAAACTCTCGGGGAAAGGCGAAAGACAATTCTCTTCGACGAGAAGAAGAGAAAAAAAAAGGAGAACATCACTTGATCCTCGTGTTCTACGTATCCCGTTCTTCGTACGGTAAAATTACAGATTCAATTCCTATTTTTCACGCAATAAATCCAAACGTGAGAGGCTCTTATCCCGTCACTCTCGGGTTTCTTTTCGAGCATCCCGCTCGAGCGTAACGTAACGTAAACGTAGACTCGGAAAAAACGCCACGACGGAACAAAAAAAATACTTTTACGGATAGATTAGCGTTAAAATATCTTCATAATTTCATCCCCAATTTGCGCGTACGGATTCGAATCCGATGCGATAGATAAACGAGACGGAATATAACGTTTAAAGTTGGATTTTATTTCATTTTAGCGACCCTTTTCCGGAACGAAATTTTCCGCTAAAAACCCACCCGAATTACGGGGGTTTCGAAATTTAATAACAACTTGTCCGAGTTATATTGTACCCTTACCGTTTTCGGGCGATTATTCCCCGTCAATGCCCGGATCTTTTCCTTTTCGAACGAAAATACGAGGCGACTTCGATAAATATTTTTGCCGTATTTTTCCGAAATTCGGAACCTAATTCGTCGAATAATTTGC